ATGTAATTTATTATTTTCAGCTTTGATACGTATTTACTGATCAATATATATATAACCTACAAATATAAAAACCTGAAAAATGCTGTGATTTTTAAATTATTATTATTATTATTATTATTATTATTTTTGGAGAGACAGAGTGTGGCAGTGGGGAGGGGCAGAGCAAACTCTACATGGAAAGCAACATGGGGCTGGATCACACAACCCTGAGATCACGACATGAGCCGAAACCAAGGGTGAGAGGCTTAACTGACTGCACCACTCAGGTGCCCCATGAATGCTGTGATTTTCAAGCAGATTGATAATCTAACCTTTAAGCACAAAACATATGATCTCATTTTCCCCTTTGATTAGAGTATGTAAAGCACGTTTAGCTTTCTAATTATTATTTACTACGGTGGCCTTAAAGTTTTAAGAGAAAAACTAAAGAAGAAAATATTTTTTAAAGATTATTTATTTTAGGGATCCCTGGGTGGCTCAGCGGTTTAGCCTCTGCCTTTGGCCCAGGGTGTGATCCTGGAGTCCCAGGATCGAGTCCCACTTTGGGCTCCCGGCATGGAGCCTGCTTCTTCCTCTGTCTGTGTCTCTGCCTCTCTCTCTCTCTCTCTCAATGTCTATCATGAATAAATAAATAAAATCTTAAAAAGAAAAGATTATTTATTTTATTTGAGAGAGAGAGAAAAAAAGTGAGTGCAGGAGCAGGGGGAAGGAATAGAGGGAGAGGGAGAAGCACACTCCCTGTTGAGCAGGGAGCCTGCGGTGGGGCTCCATTATTCCATGACCTGCGACCTGCGAGGAAGGCAGACAACCAATCGAGCCCCTGAGGTGCTCAAGAAGAAAATATTTTGTAAAGTGAACTATATTGTGTTGGGAGAACTGGACAGCTACATGCAAAAGAATGAAACTGGACCACTTTCTAATGCTGTACACAAAAATAAATCCAAAATGGATTAAAGACTTAAATATGAGGCTGAAACCATAAAAATCCTAAAACACGGGCAGTAATTTCTCTGGCATCAGCCAAAGCAACATTTTTCTAGACATGTTTCCTAAAGCAAGGGAAACAAAAGCAAAAATAAATTACTGAGACTACATCAAAATAAAAAGCTTTTGCACAGTGAAGGAAACCATCAGCAAAACAAAATGGCAACCTACAAAATGGGAGAAGGTATTTGCAAATGATATATCTAATAAGAGATTAATATCTAAAATATATAAAGAACTTCTGTAATTCAACTCTAAAAAAAAAAAATCTGATTTAAAAATGGGCAGAGGACCTAAATGACATTTTTCTAAAAAAGACATATAAGTGGTCAACAGAAATATGAAAAGATGTTCAACATCACAAATCACCAGGGAAATACAAATCAAAACCACAGTGAGATACAACTTCACATCTGTCAGAATGGCTAAAATAAAAAAGAGAAGAAATAATAAATGTTGGCAAGGATGTGGAAAAAAAGGGACCCCTGTACACGGTTGGTGGGAATGTGTACTGGTACAGCCACTGTAGAAAATACAGAGATCCCCAAAAAATTAAAAACAGAAATACCATATGATCCAACAATTCCACTACTGGATACTTTACCCAAAGAAAATGAAAATACTAATTCAAAAAGATATATACACGTCTATGTTTATTGCAGCATTATTTACAGTAGCCAAGACATGGAAGCAACTTAAAGTGTCCGTCCATCAATAGATGAGTGGATTGGAAGATGTGATATGCATGCATGCGTGCGTGCACGCACGCACGCACACACACACACACATATATCCCACAGGAATATTACATAGTCATAAAAAGGGATAAGATTGTGCTATCTGAAACAACATGGATGGACCTAAAGGATATTATGCTAAGTGAAGTAAGTCAGACTGAGAAAGACAAATACCATATGATTTCAATCTTATGTGTAAGCTAAAAAAAATAAAACAAATGAATAAACAAACCAAAAGCCAAATCAAACCTATAAATACAGAGAATAAACTGATGGTTGCTAGAGGGAAGGGCCCGGAGGAGATAGGTAAAACGAGTGAAGGGAAGTGGAAGATACAGGCTTCCAGTTATGGAATGAATAAGTCACAGGAACAAAAAACACAACATAAGGAATATAATCAGTGATACTGTAACAATGTTGTATGATGATAGATAGCAGCTACCTCTGTGGTGAGCACAGCATCAATGTATAAACTTGTCAAATCACTATGTTGTACCCAGAAAACTAATGTAACACTGTGTGTCAACTATATTCAAATTTTTAAAAAAGATACTGATAGAATATAAAAAATTAAAAAATAAAAGGAACTATTTTAATACATTACTTTATAGAATTTAATTGTTCCTGGTTTATAACAAACAAGTGGACTTAAAACTAGTCTCATTAATATGAAAGAAAGTTAACTTGCACAGTAGAAGATACAGTAAAAGTTAACTTGTACAGTAAAAAGGAAAAAAAATAAAATGACTCATTAAAATCACTTAAATGGTTGCTTTCACTATAAAACCATTAATCAGGACATAGAATCAGATAAGTGGTATCATGTGGTCAAAAATATATCCAATGAATTCAATACCAAATGAAAGAGTTTCACTCTTATATTCCAAAGATAGTCATCTGTCAGATCAATTCAGTTTCTCTCTTTTATATTAAAACTTGAAAGTCATAATCAAAGGGGAAGAAAAAACAAGGATTTTACATATTTCTTGGAAGCACAGTGCTAGGACCCATGTCCTACCAAATCTTGGTCATTGAAAGAACTGTTACTGTTAGTGAACTGCTTGATTCTTTATATATAAGTATTAAACTACTACACATTTCAAAGTGAAATACATGATACTTTCCCCTGAAACAGTCTTAATTTGGGGTTCAAGTATTCTTAGAAGCATTTGTCTCTCAAAAAAAGATGTGGGTTTTGATTCCCTTGTGATAAGGTGAATTTCCTTCATATCTTCAAGGTCTCTATATAAGAGATAGGATTGAATTCCTTCAAGGTCACCCAAAGTCTTGAGAGCCCTCAAGGATTACTTTGGCACTCTAACTCTCCTATTCTCTGAAACATTTGGCAATGTCGTAGAGTTCCATCAGAGAAAAAAAATAAAGCCCACAAAATTTATGGGAAAAAGTCATAACTGACTATATTTGCCAACGCAATCATATTCATTCAAAAAATATTCAGTATGGAGATATGTATCAATTAGAGTGAAACACTTGGCTTCTATTTTAAAATGTTCTATTTATAACTCACTGAGTATTTATTTGTCTCAGTCAAAGCTGATAAAGGTCTGCTCTCCGAACTTTTGTATTACATATTAAGTTAAATAAAAAAATTATATATATTAAGTCCAATTGTTCTAAACTCTTTCTAAATAAAACTTCCTTTAACTGGCCAACACCTCGGTTTCTTTTATTCTTCTTATGATTTCTATTGACTTATTATATGTTAATTAGATATTATTTAATGACATTGTACTTAATGACATTTTGTTGTAAGTCAACAAGAATTTAACTATTGCCATCTTGTGGCCAGACATTCATATATGTGGAACCGAAAACAATGTCACTTTCCTAAAGAGGTAACTTTAAAATCTTACCAAATAAATTTTCCTATCAGCTGAGAAAAATGACCATTTTATTACATATAATATCCTCCCAAAAGAAAAAAATTATTAATAATTTTAAGAAATTACAATTTTTAAACCCAACTTAAATATAGTCTTTGACTATAAAATGGTAACAGTACTCAGTAGAAGGACATCAAGCAGTCCTGATATTATCTTAGAAATATTCATTTGATCATATCTATATACTGTCATGATTAATTTTTAAATACTATAATAATTTTACAGGTAAGTTTCCATGGGATTCTAAAATACAATATTAACACTACTGTATTATGGTTGGGTTGAAAAGGTGGTCAGGACAGCAAAGTTCTAAGAAGTTAGAGCAAGAGAGGAACAGAAAACAGAAAAGTAAAAACCTAAACATTACATGCCATAATTTTAATAATTATCTTGAGTAATTCCTCATTTAGGTCTTCCCTATAAAACTAAATGCAGAGTTACATTAGCAATTATATTGGCATTCAATAAATGGGATAAAAATCACAATTATAAAAGCAAAGAAAAACATTCTATTGCCCAAAACATTCCTAACACTTTTTCCTAGATTGTGGAAATAAAGTTTTAAAACAGAAGATACCTTAATTTCTACTGCCAAATTTCATAATTTAGGTTATATTAAATTTAAATGACTAAGAAGCAAGAAAGTAAATAAAGCACAAAGCCAACAGTCTTTCAGAAACAAAAGGCAACATCAAAATGTTGGGATGCTTATTGTAGAGATGAAGTTCAACCACACAACTTTGATAATCAAACAACAGTATAGAAAAGGTCATTCATATTAATAGAATTTAATATGAGAGTCCTTTGGTTTTTTTTACATTGTGCTTATTGGTTATCTTTACCCACACTAAATAGCCTTTACAAAGCTCCTTTATAGCCATAGCTCCTGCCTTTATCCTATTATAATTTAAAACAGACAACTAGGACACAGATACAGACCTATCAGTAGATAAAAGGGCATTTAATTGTACAAGAACCAAAAGGTAAGATTAAAGGAAAAACACTATGTGATGAACATTAAGGAAGGCATATGATGTAATGTGCACTGGGTGTTGTATTAGACTGATGAATCACTGACCTTTACCTCTGAAACCAATAATACATTATATGTTAATTAAATTTAAATAAAATTTTAAAATAACAATAAAGGAAAAACACTACCTAAGAGTTTAAAAAATCCATTAGAAATAATGTTTACTGGTAAAAAGAACACACATACAGTCAAATATGATACCAAATTCTTTATCCCAGTAGACTAAGAAAAAACAAAATACCTACAGACAAGAATAAGATGTATATAAAAATATTCTCATTTATACTTATTCAATATCAGGACAAGAATCAAACTATTACATTACAAGAAAACAAATCTTACCTTGTTGCTGTGAAAACGAAGTATCAGATTTACTTCTTACACGTATTAAACGACTTTGTGCTGGCTTATGTTCAACTTGCTTATGTTCTTGGTCATGTTTTTGTTGGTACTAAAGAATTTAAGACATAAGTCATTGCTTTTTAAGTTACTTTAAAGATTTTTGAGCAATAAAATTTAGATGTTTCTAAAATTTGAATACTATACATATCTTCTAATTGCTAAATGCATGATAGAGTACATATTACTAATGAAAAGATATTGGAAATAAAATCTTTAGAAGATTTGGGTAATATACAGATTTCAAATATTCAAATCATTTCTGTCTATTTTCACTAGAGAATTCAAAGCTCCTTATAAATCAAACTATTCTAGATACATATACATGACAGATTTAGACAGGATAAAAACTTAATTTGCTTGTAAGCTCTCCCACATAACCACTTTTACATAAAATGAAAATCTGCATAATGCACTGCAATTTTCAAAGAGCTTTTATATTTAGTAATATCATTTAATTCTCACAAGCATGAGTAGGTATTGTTACCCTCCTTTGCCTTTCAAGAAATGTATATTCCACCATAAGCCCCATCCCCTCTTTTCCTTACCTATAACTTAAAACAAACTTGAAATTGACCACAGTCACACATTCTTTTACAATCACACATCACAAATGGTGAAACCATTTTCTTTCTTCCTTTTCCTGCCTTATGGGCCTAATTATGAATGAGTTCTGAAAACAGCTATCGGATATACTTTAACAGGAATTTAAAAAGCTGTCTTTGGATTCTTATCAATGACTGGTTGATCCACAAGCTGAACTCAGGCAATCAGAGGCTCCTTGCTCTCTCCCTGTCTTTGGAATGTACGTTCCACCTACTATTTCCATACTATAAGTAGTTTTAAGGACATAGTCTTAAGAGAGTAAGGTGTTATGAGACCATCTGGACTACCACCTGACTAAACCAAATTAAGGCTTCCATATAAATTTTTATTCTGGTGGGTGGGTACAGAGATCTACTTGTCTCACAGCTGCCTAAGACAAGCCTCATAAGTAAGTTCCCTTGCTTATTAAACTTGCCACCCACCAATCTGAAGTGGTCTGTGTCTTTATTTGGTCTCCTCTTGCTCTCCATGCATAGGAAGCCAGTTTTGAACTTTACCCAGGAAACTCCTGAGGTTGCAACCAGTAGTACCAACACCATGCAATGCTATACAATTCCATGCAATAAACACTTAGGGAATAAATTAATCTACCATGAGAAATGCATTGCTATCACACAGATACAAAACTGTTTTGAATAATATGAACATTTCTTTACACATTGAAGAGTAATTAATCTATTTTTTTCAGTATACAAGATCACATGGGCCATTGGCCTAACTCAGTATGAAATTTCTTATGCTTCCATGTTAACAACCTTTACAAATTTTAATATAATAAATAATTCTTGAGTACCCACTATGCACAATTTACTGAGCCCAATATTGCATGGGAATCCAAAGTATAAATAATAACAGCTACCTAACTAGTGACAAGCATTTTATATATGTTATTTTTAATCTTTAAAATAAAGATGAGGATACCGAGGCTTAGAAAAAGGCTATATATTCAGGGTCACAGCAAGAATCCTAAGAGCTAATAAGATTCGTTATCCAGGTGTGAGTTAGTAAATAAAGGAAGCATGGCTCCAAAGACTATGCTCTTGACAGTATACCATGCTAAGACAATATTATTAGCATTCTCATTTTAAGTAAAGTACATTAATTTGGTACCTGATGAATATCTTCAGCTGCTCCTGATAACTTAACATCATTTTCTTGTGCTGTCAGAAGAGTTGTGGGAAGAGCAAGGTTGGAATTTGGCTGAAACTCCAATTCTTCCAAACTCATTGGACCATGACTAGCACATGAATCTTCATAACCAGAACCTGTTATCAAATATATAAACAAAAAGTTAAAATTGCTTATCTTAGAAAAAGAACAAGTAATTGACTAAAATTACCAATATTTCTCATTGCTGAATAAGAAGTAGCAGTGTACTTTAACCAAAATAATCTGGTACCAAGTCTTCATTACAATTAAAACCAAAGCATGTAGAGGATGCAAAAAATACCTATGTTCCAACAACTCTATGGATTATTCTAAGGTTCCAATCAACAAGTTTTTCATGCAGTCTTTCATGCAAATCCAACTCCTAAACTCCAACTCCTTAGATTCCAGCTTACTTTTTCTATCAGTAAGAGCCAACACATAACTTTATTTCTAAAATGTAATGTGAAAGCAAGGGGCAATTTCCTAGCTAGAAAATGTTAGTATTGCTTAGCTTTGTTCTGTAGATATTTTTCTTCAAGTGATCAAGTTCTTCTTTTTTTCATCCAAATGGCATCTCAATCAAATCAATAAAAAGAAGGCAATAAGAGCAGAGCTATCTATCTAATATCATGGTACATTTATATTGCACCTTATACTCCATACACTTTCACATATGTTGTCATTTAATTTAACTATTATAAACATTCTATAAAGTAGGCAGGTCAGATAGTTTTATAACTATCGTTTACTGACAAAGTTAAGGCTCAGGGAAGTTAACTATCCAAAAAGCAGAGGAATTAGAATCTTCATTTTCCAACTCCCAGTCATTTATTTTATATTCCTACTGAAATATTTCTAGGAAAATTTTGTTTTTCCTAATTAATGGTCACCTTTTAAATATATACCACAGTATATAAAATTTGTATATACTGTGTATATACAAATATAGTATATCTCACTGTAGTCAATAGAAATAGATGTAGATCTGAAGCATTATACCTAAACAAATCATTTTAAATGAAATAATATTTTAAAGACATCATAGGGATCCCTGTGTGGCGCAGCAGTTTAGCGCCTGCCTTTGGCCCAGGGCACGATCCTGGAGACCCGGGATCAAGTCCCACGTCGGGCTCCCGGTGCATGGAGCCTGCTTCTCCCTCTGCCTGTGTCTCTGCCTCTCTCTCTCTCTCTCTCTCTGTGACTATCATAAATAAATAAAAAATTAAAAAAATAGCTTAAAGACATCATAAATATTTTCCATTTAAAGTCAGTGTATTTAAAAAAAGAAGTCATTGTGGGGGGTGCTTGCGTGGCTCAATTGGTTAAGCATCTACCTCTTAGTTTTGGCTCAGGTCATGATGTCAGGATTTTGAGACTGAGCCCTCTGTCAGGCTCCATGCTGGGTGTAGAGCCTACTTAAGATACTCTCTGGGGCACCTGGGCAGCTCAGTTGGCTAAGCATCTGGCCTTTGGCTTGGGTCATAGTCCCAAGGTCCTGGAATCAAGCCTCACATCAGGCTCCCCACTCAGTGGAGAGCCTGCTTCTCCCTCTCCCTCTGCCTGCTGCTCCTCCTGCTTGTGCTTTCTCTCTCTTTCAAATAAATAAATAAAACCTTAAAAAATTTTTGATTCTCCCCCCCACCTCTCCTTCTCTTAAAAAAAAAAAGTCAGTGTATTGACAATATCTTAGGTATAACAAATAAATACCCTCTGTTCTTTTATGTTAATCTCTATTTTTAGGTGAGTTTTACATAAAATAAATTATATACCTTGAGTTTTAATTTTTATATTTCCAGATTCAATCTCTACAATTTCTTAAATATTTATCACCTATTTTATTCTCATTTAATTATCTAGCATAATATCGTTAATAATGGTAATAATATCCATCATTCAGATTAACTATTGTTCCAGGCCTTATACTCTCCTATATCCTATTTTATTTATAACTATTGTTCCAGGCTTCTTTATACTCTCCTATATCCTATTTTATTCATATGTCACTTTTCCAGGATTTTCCTAAGACTGGCAAATGAATTAAGATAAAAAAATTAGCAAATATAATGTTAAAAGAGAAGATATTAAAAATTCTGTGCTGATCATAAGGTTACATATCTAGAAAAACCAAGACACTCTAGTGAGGAAATATAACTCTATGAGAATTAAGATAATTAAGTAATGTGACTGAATACTAGGTAAATATATAAAAATCATTGGTTAGAATCCACATGAATAAATTATTAAAACATATTGATGTGAACAAACAAGATATGAATAGTAAGACATACTATAAAAATATTAATTCTTCCAATATTAATTAATGGTACAATTCCAATTAGGACGATTTTTTAAAATATTTTATTTATTCATGAGAGACACAGAGAGAAAGAGAGAGAGAGGCAGAGACACAGGCAGAGGGAGAAGCAGGCTCCATGCAGGGAGCCTTACGTAGGACTCGATCCCGGGTCCCCAAGATCAGGCCCTGGGCTGAAGGCAGCGCTAAACCACTGAGCCACCCAGGCTGCCCTAGGATGATTTTTAATAAAAAAATAGTTTTAGAGTTTATATGGAATAAATGTCTGGAACCTGCCAACCAAAGTATGAAAAAATTTTTGAAGGGGAACTTTGCCCTGTCAGATAATAGAATGTGCCATAAAGACACAATAGTCTGATATGTGTAAGATTATAGAGAATCCAGAATACTTATAATAAAGAATCCAGAAAATACTCCTATATCTATGAGAACAGTATACAAATTGATATTTAATTTTTTTATTTTTTTAAAGATTTATTTATTTATTTATGAGAGAGAGAGAGAGAGAGAGAAGCAGAGACACAGGAGGAAGGAGAAGCAGGCTCCATGCCGAGAGCCTGAGGTGGAACTTGATCCCGGGACTCCAGGATCGTGCCCTGGGCCAAAGGGAAGTGCTAAACTGCTGAGCCACCCAGGGATCCCCCAAATTGATATTTTAATATCAATATTTTAATATTGATATTTTAATTCAGTGGAAAGGAAAACAGTTTATATATTAGTTGATGCTGGCCCAACTATTTATGTGGAAGAAAATCATATTGAACTTTTACCTTACACCATTTGCAAAAGTAAATTCCACATAGACTTAAATATAAATATATACTAAATAATGAAAATCTTGCAAGAAAACCTATGAGACTACAGGTATAAACTTGTGTTAGGAGAAACCTAATCAAGTCATAAAAACACATAAAGTATAAAAGAAATAACTATATAAAATTCTTTTAACTATATGGCAAAGAAAGATTATAAATAATGTCAATGAATTCAATTCAAATTTGGAAAAAGATATTTGCAATATAGATGATAGAAAACATCTAAAATATAGAAATTTTAAAAATAAAATAAATAAAAATAAAATATAGAAATAGTTCTTATAAAATTATAAGAAAAATTTAGAACCTAACAGATGGGAAAAAACTTAAAAGGTAATTCACAGAAGAGCAAATCCAAATGGTTAACAAACATAAGAAGACATATATATTCATATGCAATCAGAGACGTGTGAGTAATTTCTACAGGATTTACTATGCAAAAACAAATGCAGGCAGGTAGGCATTATATGATATCAGCTTGTAAAATAACAGCGCACACACACATCATATGTATCTATCATGTATATTATACATGTGAGTATGTCCATGAACAAAAACAGGAAGATTACATGCCAGAATCTTAGTATGAGTTAGCTGGAGTAAGGCATAATATGAGATAGAAGAAAATGTGAGGACAAATGAATGGACAGAAGACACTCCAAAAAAATTGTTTATAGTTTAATGTATGATATAATCACATTTTGTTTTATGTGAAATTATATGTGGTTAATATATAAGTATAAAGAAAAAATTAATTAAAAAGACATGAAATAAATTTTGATAAATATCTAAATGTAGGGACGCCTGGGTGGCTCAGCAGTTGAGCATCTGCCTTCAGCTCAGGGCATGATCCCGGGATCCAGGATTGAGTCCCCGCATCGGGCTCCCTGCGAGAAGCCTGCTTCTCCCTCTGCCTGGGTCTCTGCCTCTCTCTCTGTCTCTCATGAATAAGTAAATCTTTAAAAATAAACAAACAAAAAGATCTAAATGTAAAAACCCAGAAAGTATATAATCAAATTTTTCCCCAAAGCATTCAAAAAAGTACGTAATAGCTTTCAACTCATATAACACCCTATCATTTAACATATATTTACTATGTCCTAGATGCTACAAACTTTGCTTGACGACAGGATAGGACAGTAAACAAGATAAAGTCCCTACTACCCTCGTGAGATTACAGATCAGCGTAACAAAAGCAACATGAGGCAGGCAACATTAGAGAACTATACAGAGAGCACATATGACAGGTATCTAAACTAGTGATAAAGGGTCAGGAAAGAATTCCTTGACAGTCATGGTAACAATGCTAAATTTGCTCAACACAATAGTGTGACTTCTATAAAGTATGCTCATTGAATGTGGGAGTCTTGTCTGTATAATGTAACTTCCCTCTTTGTAACTATTATATCATCCACATCAAATTCATAATAACTTGAAATCCATAACTTACTCTTCTAGAGACTTATGCAATGAAAAAGGAACCTTAGACTTAGAAACTAAGACTTTTAGAGAAGACTAAATCCACTCAAAATTGCCAGTGTGAGCAGCAGCTTCAGGTTTGTCACAAAAATAGACTTCTCCATTTGTATGAAACCCAAAGGTGCCTAAAATACTATATGCTTAAAACTCCATTCATCCTTATGTCCTCCTAATTCTATCCTTTCTCCATATTCCCTCTTTCTTAGTGAATGGAAATTCCATCTATTGAACCATATGGATGGACTTTCTTTTGCTCCTCTCATTTTCAAACTAAGTTTTGTCCATTCTCCTCCTTGTCTTTCCAATCTCCCTTTTTACATTTCCTCACTGTTGCATAATAATGGTTCACCAGCTTTTCTGTAACACCTGTCCAATCAGGCTCCTTGCCTCCAGTCTTAATCCTTTCCAATCTACTCATCACGCTGTACACCTTAGATGATCTCGCTAAATAAAAGGCAAAGATGATCATATCAGGCATTTACTTACAACCCTTAATGAATCTGAGAATATCACAAAACATTCAGAATTGACAGAAATTCAAGACTGAATTTTCCATGGATATAAATATAAAATAAGATTGGCATTATCTTCCATTTGGCATATAAATGGATCCCTATCATGTTAGAGTAAATTCAAAAACTATTTCATATATTATCCAGGACTTTTTAGGACCTAGTTTCTGCTAACTACTCCAATCTTATTGCATCCTAAGCTCTAGCTCATTGATTAAGTACTTATATCTCCCTAGTTAAGTCTTGCTATTTTTTTACTTTTTCCCCTCGTTTCATTGCATATTCAGCCTGCAAGGTCTCTCCTCATTTACTACATGGCAAACATCCATTTATCTTTGAGAATCCATTTCAAATAAGCCTCCTCTCATGTATGAAGTCTTTTTTGATTGCTCTCTGCAGGTACAAGTGACCTGTACCCCATCCTACAACTACAACAATTTACTGCATGTTTGTGTCCTCTTGTTTATTACTTCTACTAGAGAAAAAATCCATTATGGATAAGGCCTTAATAGGTTTTATATTCCTAGTCCTTAGAGTATACTTAGAGCATAGCAAACAGTCAAAAAATATTTTCTAAATCAATCAGTAACTGTACAAACTGGAACATGCTCCACCATTAAGATTCAATTTCATATCGACTTGTAGGAAACCTTCTCGGAGCCCACATGTGTGGGTACAGTCCTCCCCTGCACTCCCACAGCAGTCTGCATTGTACTAATCACACAGTATTATATTACCTTTTTTGTATTTCTCCTACAGTAGTTTGTAAACTTCCTTGAGAGCAGATGTCTAGCATCTCTGTATCTTAAGTCCCTAACATTGTACTAATATATCACCAGATACATAATAGGTACTCAATACAAGTTTTCTGAATAAATGAGAGCTATAATTCAAAGTGTATTCTAGAGTCCTCACAATTCATTCAAAAATACCAGTTTATATATTAGGATTCTTAAGGCAACTCTTCAAAGCTAATTTTGCATGTTTTTGTTATTCAACCCAAACTGAGTGCCTCAGGATTAGGAAGGGTGCTAGGGAAATATAGGTTGCAAATAGGATACTTACTGACAACGAACAGAGGTGGGAAGATGCAAGGTAAGAGGTGATGAGCCTCTATAGATAGTTATTAAAAAATCAATATAGGGCACCTGGGTGGCTCAGTCAGTTAAGCATCCAACTCTTGATTTTGGCTCAGGTCATGATCTCAGGGTCGTGGGATCAAGTCCTACATCAATCTCTATGCTGAGCATGAAGCCTACTTAAGATTCTCTCTCTCCCTCTAACCTCTGTCCCTCCCCCGCACTCTCTCTCTAACAACAACAAAATCAATATAAAAGGCATGAAATTAGCCACCAGCAGAAATAATGATACATGGTATTAGTTCTCTATGGGCATAGTCTTTTTAGGTAACTGTGAGTAGTTTCCATTTCTCTTTTTTTTTTTTTTTTTAAATTTTTTTTTATTTTTTTATGATAGTCACAGAGAGAGAGAGAGGCAGAGACACAGGCAGAGGGAGAAGCAGGCTCCATGCACTGGGAGCCTGATGTGGGGTTCGATCCTGGGTCTCCAGGATCGCTCCCTGGGCCAAAGGCAGGCGCCAAACCACTGCGCCACCCAGGGATCCCTCCATTTCTCTTAAATACATGTCAGAAGGCATTTTTACATACTCTGAGTATTATTAGAGAGAACACCACTCACTATGTGCTAAGTAAGCACTGTGCTGACTACTTTATATGCATTGTCATTTACTAATCCTAATAACCTTAAACGGTGGACACTATGTGATAACCAGCCTCCAAGATGGCTCCCCGAATCCTGTCTCCTGGTATTCACACCTTTCTGTAGTCCCCTACAGTATTATTTCAGGATTGGTCTGTGTTACTGATAGGATTTGCAGGATTGCATAAACAATTGCATGTCACTTCTGATATTAAATTATAAAAGACATTGAGGTTTCCATCCTGATTGCTTACTTTCTCTAAGATCATCTTTGTGGGAAGCCAGCTGCTGTCATGGGCAGTTCTAAAAAAGGTTCTTTGTAGTGAGGAACTGAGGCCTTCTGCCAGCAGCCATGTTGAGTGAGCTTGGAAAAAAAGATCCTCCAACCCTGGTGGAAGCCTTCAGATTACCTCAGCCCCAGAAAACAAGCTCAAGGGGGATCCTGAGAATTACCTAGCTAAGCCACAACCATATTTGTGACTTTCAGAATTGTGTGAGATAATAAATGTTTGCTGTCTTTGGCTGCTAAATTGTGGGGTAATCTGTTAAATAGCAATGGATAACTAATACACTAATATTATCCCTACTTGATAGATGAAGAAGCTTGAGCTGAGAGATATTAAATTACTTGCCTCAAAGTACACAGAACTGAAATGCAAACTAATATCTGAAACTTCAAAAGCCCAAATTCTTAGCCATACTCTGCTATATGCCTGACCTTGTGTTATGCCACATAACTTATTTTTTCCTGTTAAATAAATACCTAAAATGTGCTTACTATTACAAATACACTGTACTGTAGGCAATATGCTAGGTGCTACCAGAGGGATAGGGAGGGACTAAATAGGATATAACTTTATGTATTTTATTCTATAATAATCTAACAAGTACCTAGTTTTTCTCAAGTACCTTACAGCTCTGAAGTGATCTGTGGGAGCCACCTAGTGTTCATTCTGTTTAACTGCAATCTGCATAGTTAGCTATATACAAATATAAGCAAAGAAGGATAAAGAAAGAGAGGCAAGGGGGCATCCAGGGTGGCTCAGAGGTTTAGCACCGCCTTTAGCCCAGGGCATGATCCTGGAGACTGGGACTGAGTCCCACGTCAGGGTCCCTGCATGGAGCCTGCTTCTCCCTCTGCCTGTGTCTCTGCCTCTCTCTCTCTCTCTCTGTGTCTCTCATGAATAAATTAAAAAAACATCTTAAAAAAAAAAACCTGTAAAACATTTAATCCTATCTCTATGTGCACAAAATGAGAAATAACTCCAATCTTACATTTATTCTCCTGGAAAATTTAGTCTTGAATTTCTCTCAATTCTGAAAGATAAAAGGTGTTTGCTCATTATGAAATGGGAGATTTTAAACATTGCATGCCAATGTTTTCCTAACTTTATGCATTCCCTTTTCTGATTTCTGGAAAATCTGCATAACTCCAGAAGTTCTTCTCACTTAAGAGAATCCAGCAATAGGCATGGAAAAAAATCAGTAAATGACAATATATTTGATCCTCATTAATTTGCTGATTCCCTATTTACAAATTCACCTACTCAATAAAATTTATTTCTAACTCCAAAATCAATAGTCACAGTGCTTTTGTGGTCATTCACAGACATGTGCAGACCAGTAAAAAATTTTGCCTCACCCAACTTACATTTTACCAGCTGAGGCTGAACAAAGTGATGCTGTTTTCTCATTTCAGCTCTTATAACTGTAAACAAGGGTCCTTTTTGCTGTATATTTACTGTCTGTTCACATTTAAAAATGCTTTTTGTTGGTGATCTGTGGTTTCCAAGGGCTCCCAGTCACAGTGCTGAAGGGCTATCTGGTTTCCTAAGTGCACAAAGGTATGACGGGCCTTAGAGAGAAAATCTTGGATTTGATAAGCTTTGTTCAGGCACAAGCTACAGTATTGTGAACTCGGATCTCAAGGTTAATGCATCAACAATATAGACTATAATAAGATTTCTTTACACATAACACAGGTTATATATCAATCAGTGGACAAAGATGTTATCATCAGAGGCTTTCAGGAATCAGGCCTGTATTTTCCCCTCAGAGCAATGGGTCAGTATTTACTAATCCAGTGTTCCTGGTGACTCCATAGAACATAACTACCAGAGATAATGAAAATCAACTGTTTGTGCTAGTGATCAGTATTCTCTCTTCTATTCTTATTTCCAAAGTGTTATAGCAGAAAGTGTGCTTAATAAGATTCTAAAATAGCCACAAATGCACTGAGCGCTGTGTCAGGAATTTTATACAATGTGAAGAATGAATTTCTACAGTATTATCTCATTTAACCTAGTCCCAAACAAGATATGTTCTGTCACAGTTTTGGTGTTCTAAATTATATTTTTCTAATACACAGTAAAATAAATACATCACTATTAAAAAAAATTAAGTGTATGTATGCATATTACCAAAATTATCCCATGCATCACCCAATAGGGTTCACATACTTACACTGATACCTGAATCATGTTTGGTAAAATATTGGTATATAGGCCACAAAAAAAGTCATTACTAAACTTTTCAATAATGAAGACGCTTTTTAATAAAGAAATTTTGCCTCCACCTAAAAATCACTATTTTCTTAACTCAGATGAGGATCATGACCGCAATTATTATACAAGACAGAATATAGCATTCAGCATGGAAACAGTACAAAGAAAGTGTGATGGAGTCAAGTGCATTCTAATAAATGATACATTAAGAAGCAATGTGTTGGTGCATACCTGTAACTGTGTCAAATTGCTGAGATAGTGACTTAGGAGCACATTTTTGACCCAAAGACCCCACATTAGTGGCAGGTGGCTGCATAGAGACAGAACGCCCCAGGAAGATGTTCTCTGCTGCTGCTGTCAGCCCAGGCCTTTGTCCCTCACTAAGCTCACCTGCACTGTTTTCCAAGTCCTATGGAAGGCAGAAACAATTGCTAAAAACATCATATTAAATTCAAGTCAAAACAGCAAAAATTAGTCAAATATCATGATCCATGACACTTGGCTACTTGAAAGATATTTTAGAAAGTACTTATTATGATGCCACACTCACACTAATGAAAGTCTTAAAAAGTTAGTTCAATCAGGCATCTAGCAATTGGCTTTGTTACTAATGTTTTATGAAGATAAGTAACCATTATCTATTTTTCCAACTCCAAATTCAATAGCAAAACATCTAAGAAAAATTTTATGATTTAAACTAAATGCTGGCACACATTACATATGATTCATACAGCCTCAAATAAAAATTACAGAAAATTTATCTTTCATTCTCCATTAATAAAAACTGCCTGAACTTCCTAGAGTGAACTTTATAGTTAAACAAGTATGATGAGGAAAATATACCTTACGTGACATAAACATTACCCCTATCCAAATAACTACATTTTTATAAGTATATAAGTGGAAGAAGACTACTTTCACCATATTTAATAAAGCTTTTTTACCTGGGAAAGTATACAAGTACAAATATATTTCTTTATCAAATACACAAAATCTAAAAACTAAAAAGAAAATTATGATTTCTATTTTCTTTCTGTATTAAAAATTATATATCTGATCACTACCACATTTTGTGACTTAGAAATATTGAGTTTACTAATCCAGAACTGAATAAAAATTCTATTATCTGAACATTCTCGTGTTTCTCATTTAAATGGGATTTAATTTCAACGAAGTGTTTTTACTAGGGTATATGAAGAAATCACTGCTGAAACATCTTTGATGGCTCTGTTGAGCTACAAAATAAAATCCAACTTCTTAGCTCAACATTCAAGATTTTCTAAAATTTCCCCAAATTCTTCTATCTCCTCTAAGTCCCTAATCTGACTTTTCTTTAGGAATGTTAATTACTTCAACAGCCTTTAAATAGAAAAAGATTGTTTTGCAATTAAAATAAAACCTTTGGAGACTCTTAAGTAAAGTTCAGAATGATGGCAGATACATTTTCCCTAGAAATTAATTAGGAATATTTCACAGTGCTTCTATTACTCTGCCACCACTATATAAAATGTTGTGCAATAAATAGTACCTTCTCTATTGTGAATCAGTTTTCCAGGGTACTTGTAATTGTTGAGCTATTTAACACCTTAATATGCTATGACTCTATTGAAGCCTTGGCTTGCCTACTCACAAAATGTTCTCATACTCATAAGGATCATTGATCTTGGTAACAACCCAGACTGCAGACACTGGTACTATATGTCTGGCATATAGTAGAAATTCAATAAATGGTTGAGAAAGAAAGAATGAATGAATAATCCTCACAAATCATTTAAAAGGGCTTCAGTTTTTCTCAACTGTAGATCAAAAGGGCTGGAACAGATGGCCTAAATTCCTTTCAACTGTAAAACTCTAAAGTTTGCACTTCAGGTTAAAGTCACTAAAAGGTTGACCCCTGAATAAGTTGAAGAATTAGCATGCTTTCACTAAAAGTAGGAATATTTTGTTATTTTTCCTGTATTTAGATCAAACCAAAAGAAAACAAAAATCATTAAGGTTAATAAGTACCTCTGAATGGTAGGCTGCTTGCGGTGAAACCAAAGAGTCCTGGTTTTCTTTAGCAAGAAGAGAAAGAATTGCATCTGCATGAATTTTTTTATGGGGAATCCTCATTACTTGTCCTTCACTGGGAGGATCATCATCCTGAATGAAATATAGGGACAATTAATGTAACCAAAAATTCTAAGAAACAATTGCATTTTTCTTGATTTATGATTAATAAAACATGAGACCACCATGAAAATAGTCTTATTAACACTTTATGGAAAGAAGGTAGACTGTATTTTCATCTAGTTCTCATTTTCATTTGACAACTAACAACTCCTTACTTTGCCTCAAAAAGAAACAACAGCATAGAATAATTTGGTTACAGTTAAACTGGACATTTATTATAATAAACATGGAAACTGGACCCTGTATCCCAAGTGATTGACTTATAACGATTTATAAATGTTTTATATAGGGCCATCAAGTTTTTGGCTCATACAGTTTCCTGCTTCATATTTATGCAGCACCTAAAACACCACCACAGTGTGGTGATGGGGGCAGAGCACTGTAGGGATGCTGCATCCTGCACTGCAGGCTAAAATGAAAAACTGCAGAAATATGTTAAGGCACCTATAATTACTGTTAGAGAAGTAACTATTCCATTAAAATCTTATCAAAAAAAATCTCTTTAATGCATTATTTTATAACCCTGTATATATACAGTAAAGCGAATTGGTTTTAACAAATTTCATTACTTGCATATGTTAATTTCCAGATTCAGAATCTTTATACTATTAAGGATATTTAATATATGCTATGTAGCCTCCAAAGCTGTTTGTGGACTTGAGAAATGCTTCACCACGAGCACCCAGCTGCTTGTAACTTCAGCTTTAGGATTCAGATAGCCCCACACAGAACTCAAAATTTAGAGTTATTAGCTTAAAATGAAAGGAAAAGGTACCATGTATCTATGCAAAGAGAGTTGCATATCTGTCACTGAATAGCTATGTGACATGGACAAATCATTTAACCTCACTCAACAGCTGTAAAATGAGTAGTCACATATAACAAAGGATGCACATGAGAACACTGGGAACTTTTTCAAAATATATAGGTCTAGGCTTCTAACCACTCATACACAACAGCATACAACTCTCATGATCTGCTGAATCCTCACATCAGAGGATGGAACCAGGATACATATTTTTTTAAGGTTCCACTAGTGAATTTAATATACAGTCCTATTTACATCACTTCAAGTGGTTGCTTTTTTTTTTTTTTTTAAGATTTCATTTATTTCTTTCAGAGAGAGAGCGCGCACACAGAGGAAGAGGGAGAGGGAGAAATAGACTCCCCACTGAGCAGAGAGCCCAATGCCTGGCTTGATCCCAGGACGCTGGGATCATGACCTAAGCTGAAGGCAGATATTTAACTGACTGAGCTACCTACGCACCCCGCAACTAGTTGCTTTAAAGGAACTTCTAGCATTATGATCATAAAGGGATAGAATGAAGTGATTTTTCCAAAATACACCAATCTCTTTCTGTTTTCATCATGATCGTGTATAATGATACAAATGGAAAGATAATAACACCAGCAGACTTTACTTTTAGATTTACCTAACCCCTTGAAACTACTAAAAAATGGACAAAGTATGTGAAAAATTGCATTTTAAGACACAGGACATCAGGTAACGAAAAACAGTGATCCCTGAGAGATGGCAACAAATTAGGAGCACCCTGGGACTGCTCCCACTGACCGCCTGTGGGGCTTTCCAGGTGGCAGCACAGAGGGAAAATCCAGGCAGAGCTCAGTGGTCCCCTGAGCTAAGATGGGACTGAAACTCCAAGGAAGCCAAGACAGCTAGAGTTCATAAGACAGGCTACCAGGAAAGTAAAAGCTGCACAGGGTGAGTACTCTGGAGATCTGCAGAGGGTACCCTTTGAGCACTGAATATTGATCAGCATACACATGTGAGGAAGTCATATGAGTCTGGAGAATGGACTGGCTCCAACAGTGCCCAGGGTGTATACACTGGCTGGAGTAATAGCTGTTCCCACCAGGAAGGCTGGAAAACCACATTTAATGAGGCATTGGGTGGAGTGCCTCGAAGGGTCTTGCCTCCACAGGGGGGAACAAATAGCCATAGAGTAAGTACTGCTCTGGTCTTGCCTGATGAATCCTTTTTTTTTTTTTTTAGATTTTATTTACTTGAGAGAGAGAGCATGCGCACAAGCAGGGGAAAGGGGCAGAGGGAGAAGAAGACTCCCCAGTGAGCAGGGAGCCCAAAGCCAGACTCAATTCCAAGGTCCCAGGACCATCCATGATCTAAGCTGAAGGCAGATGCTTAAGTGACTGAGCAACCCAGGCACCCCTAATGAATCTTTAAAGCAGGACTCAAAAGGGTAAAACCATCTTCAGGTAATTTAACCATATGTCTAAGCAAAGCCCAAAACTCACTGCAGATTCCTATAATTCCTGTAAAATGTAATTCCTATAAAACATGCAAGTAAAAGCCAACACAAAATTTCAGCAGATCAAATTAAATAGCTTTTCTTAAAAAGTTTACCATATACCTACCACATATAAATTCATTCTACTCCTAAGTATTTGCCCAAGGAAATGAAAGCATATGTCCATACAAAACTTGTACACAAATGTTCACAGTTGCTTTATTTGTGATAGCCAAAACTGGAATAAACCTAAAAGTCCACTGACAGGTGAACAGACCAATTGTGGTACATCCATATAACACATTACTACTCAGCAATAAAAAGGAACAAACAGGGCAGCCCCAGTGGCACAGCGGTTTGGCGCCGCCTGCAGCCTGGCGTGTGATCCTGGAGACCCGGGACCGAGTCCCACATCAGGGTCCCTGCATGGAGCCTGCTTCTCCCTCTGTGTCTCTGCCCCTCTCTCTCTGTGTCTATGAATAAATAAAATCTTTAAAAAAAAAAAAGGAAAGGAACAAACAATGATATGCACTACAACACAGATGAATCTCAAAATAATTATGCTGAGTTAAAGCAAGCAGGGGAGGAAAAGTATACCACATGATTCCATTTCTGTTATTTTGGAAAACACAAACTATTTATAGTTACAGAAAGTAGACCAGTAATTGTGGTATACATGTGGTAGATGAGAGGACTGGTAAGAGATGAGGAGGGATTACAAAATGTCATGAGGAAACTTTGTGGAGTGCTGAATGATGTTATGTTCATTATGTTGATTGTAGTAATGGTTTTACAGATATCTACATGTCAAAAATTATCAAACTTTGGGATCCCTGAGTAGCTCAGTGGGTTTAGCGCCTGCCTTCTGCCTAGGGCATGATCCTAGAGTCCCAGGATCTGGTCCCACGTCAGGCTCCCTGCATGGAGCCTGCTTCTCCTTTTGCCTGTGTCTCTGCCTCTCTTTCTCTCTGTGTCTCTCATGAATAAATAAATAAAATCTTTAAAAAAAAATTATCAAACTTTTTAAAAAAGAGCAACAATAACAGTAATACTTAGCAAAAGCTATAGATAAATGTAGATGAAAATTGAGTACCACTACCTTCCATTGCTTAGGTGGTTAAAAATATATATATAAAGTAAAGATTTCTATTCCTTAGTAGTATTTCAAAAGATAATTCCTATTACCATTTCTGTATGATATTTATATGTGGATACATACTAACTGATATTACATATATTGTAATACTAATTAATATTACCCATGTTATAATAATTATAACTATATATATTTAATTTAAATATAAACATATATATAAATTTGTATAAATATATTTAATTATATAAATATATATTTATATGTAAGTTTTAAAGTAAGTTCCATGTCTAGCATGGAGCCCAATGTGGGGCTTGAACTTATGACCTTGAGATCAAGACCTGAGGTGAGACCAAGAGTTGGCCACTTAACTAAGCCACCCAGGTGCCCCTAATAAAAATTATATATTTATTTGAGAGAGAATGCATACAGAGTCGGGGGAGGGGCAGAGGGCGAGAGAGAGACACAAAGAGAGAGAGAGAGAATATCCTCAGGCAGACTCCCACTGAGTGCAAAATCCAATGTGGAGCTCCATCCCAGGACCCCGAGATCATGACGTGAGCCAAAATCAAGAGTCAGGCACTTAACTAACTGAACCACCCAGGAGTCCCTGTAATAATGTTTTTAAATACCAAGTTTTTCTTCCATAGAGCTAGGTAATAACTAGGAAGTGCTGATACTACTATGTCCTATTTCAGTTTCTTTTTCTTATGTTAACAAACTCAATTATTTTTAGGGCAAAGAATTACAATCCTGATTAGGGAAAAATAATACATATATCATAAGAGAGCAGGTTTAAACAGATAAAGTCCTGTCTGAAATTATATATAGGCAATCTATCCATATGATGATTTTCATTGAGCTAGATTTTCATTACATAATTACATTAACTTCATTTTTCAACTACTGGAGCCACAGAGCTTAATAATTTTATCCTTATTTCTCACATTTATGATAATGAAATGTGCATATATGATAATGAAATATGCAAGAAATTTTAAATTTCTTCATGGATATTTTATTAAATTTTATATCTATAACTCAAATATCTGAGAAAAAATCCTGATCAATGGCACCAAGTTCACTGAAGTATTCTTTATGTCAGAATTCAATATGGAGCCAGTAATTTCTTACCATTTCAAGGGCATCATGTAGAGTACTGGATAAGCTATCATTTAGGTTCATGAGATACAGTCCTCCATCTCCTAAAACTAGAAATTACATTGTAAAAATTTAGAAAACAGAAGAAACATAAATTTAGTAAATAATCTTACTATAAAGCCAGAGAACATGACATTTAAACTTATACTGTTCATAAATAATAATTCACAAGCTACTCAATTCCCACCAGCTTTTTTTAAAGTACATTTTATAACAAAGATGGGATTTGTACTTTACCTACCAGCTTGTCAGAAATTAAAAATAACTAAAGGTATCAACAGTAATTATGAAATTGAGAAAAAGACACTAATACTACTAGTATTACTAGTATTAGTATTTAATAGATGTATTTAATGCTATATATTATTGATGTATTTAAAAATTGATTAAAGTTAAAACTGATTAACCTTTCTAAAGAACATGTTGACAATGTATCATGTATTAAAGGTATGTATGTATTAAAGGTGCATATTCTGATTCAGCAATTCCACCTCTAGGCATGTATTCTAAGGAATTTATCAGATAGGTACACAAAGTGTGTGTGTAAGAATAGTCACTGGAGAATTACGTATAGTATGGAAATACTGAAAGCAATCTACATGCTAACCACTATGGCATTGTTTTGATAGACCACACTCAACTAAAAAAATGAGGTACAGCTATATGTATTGCTATAGAAAGATGTCCACAATATATTATTAGGTAAAAAAAAAAAGTCTGGCTTCAAAACAAGATAGATAGATAGATATAGTATGGTCCCATTTTTTAAAGGTAAAAATACACACACATACACACACACACACGTATTTATATGCATAGAAAAAAAAAAGACTTGGAAAGGTATAACCCTAAACCATTAAGAGTTATATTATTTCTGGAAGGTGAGTTTTTTTTTTTTTTTTTTTTTGGAAGGTGAGATTTATGAGCGAGACATTAACTCTCTGAAGTTAAGGCATAGAAAAGTTAACTTGCAGAGCCCATTATTATACCATGTTTAATCCTGAAAATTAAGTAAAAAACACTTGACATAGAAAAGTAATACTTAGGAATTGTCATAATCTAGCCAGTGAAATCAATTGAAACAACTTAACTTACTCCTGGGAGCCACTTTTTGACCATAGTTAAGTAAAACCTCTCCTTCGGAGATAGGTCTATCCAGAGTCTCAGTTTCAGTGACAGTAACACCCAAGGTGCTTTCTGTTGTTGATGAATCAGAACCTGGCATCTGTGTGGGGGGAAGGGTCTTGGTGCCAATAGGAAGCAGAAGTTCTGGAGGTGCAGGCTGAGGAGGGAAATCCACAGTCTCAGGCTCTTCATCCTTGGCCACAGACATTACACTAAGAAGAAAAAGACATGTTTTGAACTTATTAGGTCACTAAAGGCCTATATTAATTTTTATATTTAAAAAAAACAGATTCAAAGGCCCCCTTACCAAAGTATTTCTATAATCTGCACTACTATAATTACCATACTACTATACTACATATACCATACTATAATTGTTTTCATGCTTTAATCACAGACCATCTTAAAAGTTCTACCATCTCTAAAATAAATCTGTATGGTAATAGAAAAGTTAACTGATCATTGTAAATGAAGATTCGCTCTGGGGAAAAATGATTTTCTATATGACTAACAATATTATAACAATATATTTTAATCTGTTCCACAAAAAATGTTTTAAAAAATAATTGAAGGCACAAATAAATTTGGTGAAAATCTTAAAAACTTGAAGTTTATGAAACTTCTTTCTACTAAGCTTGTGGTTTATAAAGCTTCAACATTTCTAATGTTTTCAATAGATCATATATGTCAACTTAAGATGAAATACAGGTACTGAAAGTGAGTATGTTATTTACATAGCTCTTGGGTGAAGTTCTTCTTGAGGAGAGTTAGGATTCTCCTCTTCCAGTGGCAGGTCTCCATCACTCCATGGCTTAGGAAGCTCTGGGCCTGCGAGCTTCAATTTATCAATGGAAATCTCTGACAAACTTGGGGAAAGAGCTGCTGCAGGAGGAGGGGTAGTAACAGGGGTAACCACTGGAGTAGTAACAAGTGTGATGGCAGGCACCTCATTTCCTAAAGATTTGTTGTTTAAAAAAGAAATTAAAAGATAAAAGTCAATAAACAACTCCATAGGAAGGCAAGATATGTTGTTTCAGGAATCTCTCAACATTTTGGCATATAAAATAATCACTAACAATAATAATAATGGCCATTAATGGGAAAATTCTCAAATTAATTTAGTAAAGTATAAGAAAATCTTGAAAAGACCTATCATTTTTATACTGCCATGAAGTTAAAAGTAGTCTAAGTGTTTATCAGATCATATACTTTTTTTAAGATGCTTTATTTTTTTCAAGTAATCTCTACGCCCCATATGGGGCTCAAACTCACAACCCTGAGATCAAGAGTCACATGGTCTCCTGGCTGAGACATCCAAGGCACCCCTAGATCATATACTTTAAAAAATGGCAACCAATTTCTTAGTTTTCTTGCCAGAAAAAATGATTTACTGAAACCTAATAAGCAACAGGTATATGTGTATTAATCTACAAAACACCTTGTGAAATAAACCATGAAATCTTATTGATACAGATTAAAACTGATATATAGAAATTAGGTTTCTACCTTTTTCAGCAAGTATTTCTTTCTCAGGAATACTTAAATCATGATCTGAATCACAGGGAGAAGAATCTGGAGTTTTTACTAACACACGCTCCTTAGGAGGTGATGAAGGTGAGCGAGGAGGAGTTGGCTGTGGGGTAGCCACTGGGGTACATATTCTTGCCTAAAATAAAAAAAAAACAAGATATCATGATTATTTATTTATTGATATTATCAATAAGATATTATCATCACCAAAATAAGGGTAATGTAAAACAATGAAATGAGCTCATTCAGAGATTACAGAGAATTTAAATGAATGGGAAAGAAATGGAGCCCTTCCTTGAACTTCTAGCTGTTAGTTTCAAGACTAGCCTGCAGAGAGCCTCAGGCTATTGAAATAGCTCTGCCTCTGAAGTAGGCCCCAAAGAAACCTAAGGCTCCCTCTCCTAATACAGAGAGGAAGATACAGTGAATATACAGCTGAAGATCAAATGCAAACACAAGCTGGGTAAGCCATGTAACAGAAAGGAAACATTTTAACTGACAAGATATCAAAGAGTAGCCTTTTAGCACAAAAGAACAGAGCTTGCAAAAAGCAAGAAAGGATAAGAAAAAGCAAATGGGGGATAAAATGAAGATAATATGGAATGGAAAGTACAGACGAAGAAAAAAGTAAACATTTTAAAATAGATTTGCTAAACAGAAATTATTCAAAGGAGTCAAAATTCAAAAAGGTACATAAGAACAATAGTGCAAATTAAGTTTCATTTCCTAACCATGTCCTATCTACCTAGTTCCATTCCCATCATCAAACATAATTTTGACTGAATGCATTTCATATGTGTATAGATTATCTGTGGGATAACTTCCTAAAAGTGGGACAGCTTGGTTAATGGGTTAATTGCATTTTTTATTTGAATATATATTGTCAAATTTCACTCTGCAGGGTTATATTTTTGTACACTAACCACAAAAAGATATGAGAATTCCCATTTCCCCAAGGTTTTCTATACAATGCCATCAAACTTCTAGTGTTTTACCATCTAATCAGTAAAAATGAGGTTTCAGTGATTTTTTTCTTATTATCAGTGATATTGACCATCTTTTTATATGTATTTGGGTCATTTGTGTTTCTTTTTTGTGTGTGAATTGTCTAGACATGTCTTTTACCTATTTTTCAAATTATTGTCTTTTTCTCCTCATTCTAAAACATCATAGACAGGAGGGTAATTAGCCTTTATTCTGTATTATGAGTTGAAAATTGACATGCAGGGATCCCTGGGTGGCGCGGCGGTTTGGCGCCTGCCTTTGGGCCCAGGGCGTGATCCTGGAGACCCAGGATCGAATCCCACCTCGGGTTCCCGGTGCATGGAGCCTGCTTCTCCCTCTGCCTATGTCTCTGCCTCTCTCTCTCTCTCTCTCTCTCTCTCTCTCTGTGTAACTATCATAAATAAAAATTTAAAAAAAATTAAAAAAAAAAAGAAAATTGACATGCAATATAAAAACCATGAAGCATATTAGAAATCCTACAGCACTGGTTAATAATTAGCATGTACTTAGCCTTTATTTTTTTTCTCTTGACGTCATAAAACTATAGCATAAGAGCACTGTTTTCAAATATAATGCTACTGACCATCATCATGAGAGGATCTGAAGGTATTCTAAATAGTTTTGGTAATGGATGATAATGATAAACAATTAGCTATTAAGTACCAAATTCTAGGCATTAGATTAAGCTCTTTTCATTCATCATCTCACTATATCGTCCACAAAATCTTGGCTAAGAAGATAACAGTATCATAAAGATGTCAATCTCTCCAAATTAAACCAATCAAAATTGGATCAATTCCCATAAAAATCCCAACAAAATCTTTCACAGCACTTGAAAACTAAATTTTAATGTATACTTCGAAGACCAAAGGGCCATGAAAAATCATGACAATTCTGAAGATAATGAACAATATGGCAGTGGGAGAAGGGAGCTTCCCCTCCTACATACTCCGTAAGCAGATTTTGGTAAAGTCCTGGTTATTTAAACTCTATGTATTTTCTCTATTATACATATGAAACTAAAGCAACAGACCTGAAGGTACAAATTCACATCTTCCCCACTCCCAAGTCCATCCTCTCAATCTTAATAATTGTATTTTCCTACATTTTCTCATGTAGAATGAGAAAGTATATGTAGAATATATGGAGTATATGGATAGGAAACATACCAACATTAATTAGCACAGAGAAAGCCACAACCCTGAAAACATCTGCACTGCATGCATGACCAATGAGCTAAAAAAAGCACAGGCCAAAACTATGTACCTAGTCTCTGGCACACTAATCACATCATGCCAATTACATTATACCAACCGCCATAAAATTCAAATATGTAACTTTATGTTTATACTTCAAATGAGGCAGTTTAACTGTTTCACCTATGTAAAATGATGCCCTCATGATCTATAGAATCAGAAGTGTCTACAAAGGTTTAAACAGTTGGTAGTAGTAGAGAGTCTATTTTGATTTTGTATAATTCCATGTTCCTATAATAGATTAGAAACTACTTAGCATAATAAGGCTGATGAAACAAATAACAAAAGTGCCTAATATACATTTTCTTTTAAAGATTAAAAATAGCAGTTTATATGACAACCAAAAGCAATGTGTGAACCCTGGCTGTCTCTTGAATTAAAAAAAAAATCTATAAAGGATATTTTTAGAATAATAGGGAAACTTGAATATGGACTCTATATTACATAGTATTATATAATATTAAAATATATTATGTTATGTAGTATTATTATATAGTATTAACATCAATGTTATATAGTATTAACATATCAATGTTAACTTTCTTCAAGAGTATGATGATGGCATTTCATTATGTAATAAAGTATCTTGTTCTTAGGAGATACTGTTGATGCTTTCAAAAAGTGAAGTGTCATGATATTTGCAACTTTCAAATGATTTTTAAAGAATATATAACATATAAAGACATAAATTATGTCAAAAAGTTATCAATTGGTGAGTATTAGATAAAGGGCATACAGATATTGTGCTATGCTTTCAACTTTTCTACAGATTTAAAAGTTTTTAAAGTAAAATGCTGGGGAAAATATTACTATAATAACATTGCAACAAAAGATCAATCTTCTCCATAAACTATGACCTTATTATGATACCTAATTTAAAATTTATTCATCTTACTGTTTTTTAATAAATGTATCAAAAATTCCCTAAGTCATGAAAGGAGAGTCACTCCTACCGGCAAGTGTGTGTTGCTTATTGAAACATCCCCAGAAACACTTGTAGCAATAGGACCTTGATTCTTTGCTTCTCTGTCACCCAGCATGACAGCAATGGTCTCAGCAAGAGCTTCATTCACAAAATGGCTAATCATGTCTGAATTCACAGGAACCCCAGCATCAACAAAAAGCTGGAGGGCACCACCGCTTGTTCCTTCCACTAAAAAAAATATGAAAGAATTTCAGAATAAGTGTGCAAGAAACATGTCGACAATCCAAATTTTAATTCTTAAAATTTTAGAGATGCAAACATATGTATATAAAGGAGTAGGAGGAAGAATAAAAATGAAAATACAAAATTACTTATTACAAAAGAGAATAAGATGATAAGTTACATAATGAACACCCTCTTTAACAAACCATAAAGGAGAGGAAAACACCCAGATGAAAATTTTACTTAAAAGCCTTCTTCCCTACCACTTCAGAATTTAGTGATAACAAGGATTTGCAACCCCATAAAGTTCTCATCTGAAAACAACCCACATTTCCAACAGGAAACTCCATGACAGATCTTAATCAAAACACAAAGACATGAGGGCACCTGGGTGGCTCAGGACTGGTTGAGTGTCTACCTTCAGGTCAGATCATTGTTCCAGAGTCCTGGGATCCAGCCCAGTGTTGGGCTATCTGTTCAGTGGGAAGCCTGCTTCTCCCTCTCCTTTTGCCCTTTCCCCCTAATTATGCACTCACTCTCTCTCTCTAATAAATAAAATGTTTTAAATAAATAGATAAATAACAAAACAAAAAGACCCAATGACTGTGGGGGTTTTAGAGAAATAGTAGCTACTTCATAAATATGAAGAACAAACCTTCCTTCCTTCCAGTTTCAGATACATCCATTACTAACAACAGGCTATTCCTACTCAAACTTTAATAGTAGTTTACATGCTTGATATCAGAAGCTATATAGGTATATGAATATTCCAAATAGATTATCATTTTTATTCAGAATAAATAAAGAGCTTTTACAACTCAAAAATAGGAAGATACAAACTTCAATTTAAAAATGAGCAAAAGATTTAAAAGGACATTTCATCAAAGTAACTGTACAGGTAGCAAATAAGCATATGAAAAAAATGTACATCATTAGTTATTAGGGAAACATAAATAATGAGTTACCTCCACATGTTCACAGAATGTCTATAATTAAAAACACTGATAACACCAAGTGCTGGTGAGGATGTAGAGCAACTAAACAATTGGAGCTCTCATACACTGCTGGTTGGGAATGTAAAATAGAACAGCCTCTCTAAAAACACTTGGCAGTTTCTTATAAAGTTAAATATCTATTTACCATATGACCAAGAGAAATTAGAAGCTATATCTAAAAGATTTGCTTGAAAATATCCATATTATAGCTTTATTTATAATAGCCCCAAACTAAAATGCTACAAATTTCCATCGACTGGTAAATTGGTTAACAAATTATGATATATCCATATGATTAATATTACTACATGTACAAAACATGATTGCCAAAGTTTTATGCTAAATAAAGGCAGACACAAAAGGCTACATACCATATGACTACATATGTATAAAATTCTGGTAAGGGCAAAAATACAGTAACAGAAAGCCCATCAGTGGTTGTTAGAGACCAGTAGCATGGGACGGGGTGAGGAACTAACTACAAAGTGACATGAGTGAACTTTTCGGAACGATGCAAGTGTTTTTCTAGATCATGATTGTGTGGCTAATGCACAGTTGTGTTAATTTATCAAAACTCATCAAACTATACACTTAGAATTGGTAAATTTTATGGCAAGTAAACTATACCTCAAAAAAGCTGATGGAAAAGAAGGGGGAAGAAAAGAAAAGAGAGGGAGGAAGAAAAGGAAGAAGAGGAAGGGAAGAAAACAGAAGAGGAACAGGAGACAGGATGAGAAGAGAACTATATGGGTTCCATAAAGAGGTTCATTCTTCCATTCAGTGAATACCTAGTCTCCTTAGGTGTCAAAGTCTAGGCACTAAAAGGGAAACATCCATAATCTGGAGTGATTTATAGTCTAATGAGACAAATATATCAGCCAACTGGAATCCAATCTGATAGTTACAGTAACAAAGATATATACAAAGTACTATGGAAAATAATAGTAAATTTGGGGTGGGAGGGATAGAATAATCTGAATGCTACAGTATGAAATAAGGAGGTGAGAGAAAACTTACCTCTACTACAGAGAACAACAGGGAAATGATATTGGAAGTAAGAGTTTATCTTTTGTCAGCTGAGGGACTATTTGATCCCTAAAATACAGAAATCCATGACTTGAAGGTTTTATCTTTTTTTTTTTTTTAAGATTTACTTATTTATTTGAGAGAGAGAACGTGCATGTGCGCACACATGTGAATGGGGGGAGGGGCGGGGGGGGGAGAATCTCAAGCAGACTCCCCACTAAGCACAGAGCCTGACAAGAGACTCTATCCTACAACCCATGAGATGATGACCTGAGCCAAAATCAAGAGTCAAATGCTGAACCAACTGAACCACCCAGCAGCACTCCAAGGTTCTTGTTTTTGTTTTTAAAGATTTTACTTATTTATTCATGAGAGACAGAGAGAAAGAGAGGCAGAGACATGGGCAGAGGGAGAAGCAGGCTCCATGTAGGGAGCCCGATGTGGGACTCAATCCTGGAACTCCAGGATCATGCCCTGAGCTAAAGGCAGATGTCCAACCACTGAGCCTCCCAGGTGTCCCAGCACTCCAAGGTTTTATCTTTTAACAAAAAAAGTAAAAGATTGCATTTCACTTACCAACATCAGAAGTCAATGATTCACTTGCCTCACTGACTGAAGCACTAACATTAGGTATGGTCTGCTGTTGGACTGGAAAGAGCCCAGAGATAATTCTTGACATTATTTCTTGTTCTACCCTGGGGAATAAAAGATGAGGATTCTGAAATTTGATTAAATTATACATATATAAAGTGTAGCACTGGGTGTTATTCTGTATGTTGGCAAATTGAACACCAATAAAAAATAAATTTATTATTAAAAAAATGTATAAAGTGTTAGAAATAACACATGTAAAAATAAATTTTACCCATGGACAGAAACATTTATGAGTGAAAGCAGTAATTCTGAAGGTTGAATCTGAAAAGAAGAAATAAATGTATCTCCCAGCGAAATAAACAACACAAAACAGAATCTCCATGTGGGAGACAGATTTAAAAAACTTTCAGATTAGTCTAATGAAAAGTTTAGCAGACCTCTAAATTCATAATAAGGTTGAGGTCAAAGATTATCTGACATATAATGTGCCTAAAATGTTAGGTTCCCTACTCTGAAGGCACCCATATAAAAGCACACAAGATCAGAGTTAGAAAAGAAGTCCAATTGCCTTCTCTTCAAAGAAATAAATATAGAGACTGCAATACAGGTAGTTTTCCTCTTAAAAAGGAAAGGCAATTTATTTCCAAGGTCATTTTTAGGAAATGAAAGAGGAAGGAAAAGAGGAACACAATAGATCACTTCTGTACATTTCTTTAGAGCACCTTAGAGGGCTGATGAAAAATTATTATTATATACATATAAGATAGTCATTATAGAGAAATTAGAAAATATATGTTAAAAAAAAAGAGGGGATCCCTGGGTAGCTCAGTGGTTTAGCGCCTGCCTTTGGCCCAGGGCATGATCCTGGAGTTCTGGGATCAAGTCCCACATTGGGCTCCTTGCAAGGAGACTGCTTATCCCTCTGCCTATGTCTCTGCCTCTCTCTCTCTCTCTCTCTGTGTGTGTGTGTGTTTCTCATGAATAAATAAATAAAATCTTTAAAAAATAAAAAAATAAAAAATAAAAGATAAGGCTCCACAATATTCCAGACTCAGGGATAAACACAACTAACAATTTGGTATATGTTATTCAAATTTTTTCCTATGCACATTTATTTTTGTTTTTGGTTTATTTTGTTGTTGTTTTAAAGATTCCATTTATTTATTCATGAGAGACAGAGCGAGAGAGAGAGAGAGAGACAGAGACAGAGACAGAAGCAGGCTTAAGCAGGGAGCCTGACATGGGACTCCATCCCAAGTCTCCAGGATCACGCCCTGGGCTAAAGGTGGCGCTAAACCACTGAGCCACCCCCAGGCTGCCCCTATTTTTTTTTTTTAAAGATAGAGAGTACACATGGGAGCAGGGGTAGGGGGCAGAGACAGGTAGAGGGACAGGGGGAGAGGGAACCTTACATAGGTTCCCATGCCCAACACAAAGTCCACATGGGGCTCGATCTCACAAGCCTGAGATCATGATCTGAGCTGAAATCCAGAGTTAGACAGTTAACCAACTGAGCCACCCATGTGCCCCTGCACACTTATTTTTGAGTGAGTTCTTGTAATTATCTCTCTTTCAACATCATTAAATATTTATAAATATTATTCAACATCATTAAATATTCTTCTAAGTTTAATCTTGGTAACTATTACTATTCAGCTTAGTTTATTCCATAACTTCCTTAAGGCTTTTCACTGGTAAAAACAGGGATAAAACAGTTTCACGAGTTGATAGAAGTAACAAGCAGAACAATGCCTTGTTTATAGTAAGCATTGTATGTGCTAAGTAGTCTGTGACTGAGCAGCAGAACCATAATTATTTCCTTAGGAATTCTGGAAGAGCCTCAGTGTCCATCGAAAGATGAATGGATAAAGAAGATGGTTTATGTATACAATGGAATATTACTCAGCCATTAGAAATGACAAATACCCACCATTTGCTTCAACGTGGATGGAACTGGAGGGTATTGTGCTGAGTGAAGTAAGTCAATCGGAGAAGGACAAACATTATATGGTCTCATTCATTTGGGGAATATAAATAATAGTGAAAGGGAATATAAGGGAAGGGAGAAGAAGTGTGTGGGAAATATCAGAAAGGGAGACAGAACATGAAAGACTCCTAACTCTGGGAAACGAACTAGGGGTGGTGGAAGGAGAGGAGGGCGGGGGGTGGGAGTGAATGGGTGACGGGCACTGAGGGGGGCACTTGATGGGATGAGCACTGGGTGTTATTCTGTAAGTTGGCAAATTGAACACCAATAAAAAATAAATTTATTATTAAAAAAAGGAATTCTGGAAGTGAATCACTGGATTAAAGAATATGTATATTTTTAAAAAAGAATATGTACATTTTCAAGACTTTTGTTACTTAATAACAGCCTCTTTTGTCATAATAGTCTAAATACAAATATTCAAGGAAAGAAACAATACTTTCAACAACCAGTTAAACCTTCATATCATGTCAAATAGTTTCCAGTGACTGTAGCAAAGGAAAAGTTTAATCAACAAAAGGAGACAAGGAAGATTTTCAACTAAAACTTAATATTTTGTTTACATCTGCTACTATGATTCTCTTCACACCAATACCACTGTAAACTCACCACTGAATTAAGCTATTTTCCAATGTTTCTTTTCTCTGAATTACTTTATCCAGAGTATCAGTAGTGGGCTGAAAAGTAGAAGCAACTGGAGGAAATGGTGGACCATTGTATTTTGTAGAAACAACTTTAACACTTCTGTTAAACTCCAGAATTGGTTCAGAGTATTCTGGAATTTCATCACGTTTTTCCTCTTCCTGGTAATGATAAAAACAAAACTATTATATTCATGTACCTGTTTAGCATTTACTGAGTGACAAGTATAGGCAGGGAACTTAGGTCGGTAAATTAACCAACACTTCTACACTAATCAAGAGCATTTATTATTAGGTAGCATCATGTTATTTATAATATACACATTTGTCATACAAATTGCATTGAAGAAACCCTAATTATACAATTATTTTGTCTTTTTAAACCCAATGTTCATTTTAAGAAGTGATAAAACAAACTAGGTATCTCGGTTATTCCTGCATAAAACATTAACATTTCCCTCTAGAAATTTATTAACCTAATTTATTATAATAAAACTGATGTTTCCAAATATCACTGCTTCTTCTTTCTGAATCTATAACTTACATTTACATATGCAGTTAGGTTATCTTATACATTATTTGTACCATCATATCATGATCAAAGGAGATGTTTTTGAAATTTTTAAACTTTTCATCATGAAAATATCACATATGTTTAAAAGCAAACAAAATAGTGCTCATATACTATATCAGTTATGTATAAAATGATACATATCCCATATACCTGTTCCCCAGCTTTAACAATTACCAACTCATGCCTAACTTATCTATCTTCCTCTTATCCACTTTACCCTTCACATACAATTTTGAAATAAATCAGATATCATTCTACCTGTAAATAATTTTGTATCTATCTCAAAAAAAATAGGACTTTAAAAATTATAACTTGGTTAATATGCTCCCATCACAAAATGAACTCCACAGTAAGTGCCAGAGCCAGGGTAGGAATACTTGGCTTTGAACTCCAAATCATTTGCTATTTCTAAAACTGTTTCTTTCACTTGTACAGTGGGAAAAAGAAGGTGTCAAGTATCTTTGCTAGGCATTAGAAATATAAAGATAAATAACATTCTTGCCTCTGAAACACTCATGTGGAGTTCACATGAGAACACCAGTAAACAAAAAATTGTAATATATTGCATATCTCTTAATATTCTAAAATAGGTTTTGATTTTATGATAAAAAAAACTGGTCTTAGCTCTGAAAGTTCTGAAAGAAATATGAACAAATGTCTTGAAATTCTATTGACATTTTATTATTCAAGTAGTTTCTATGTTCTATGGTCTTTTCTCCCATCCTTTATAGTTTACTTCCTCCCATTTTCCCCCTTCTTCTATTTTACCATTTCTATCATTTCTATAGTTCATCCTGCTATACAGGCTCTCCTCTTAGGTTTTCGACCCCTCACAACTTTTTCCCTCAATATGAACTAACTTGTGATTACTGAACCCAGAAATCAAACAGACAAATGTAACAGAATAAAGAAAGGATAGACTGGAGGGAGGGAAGCCAAAGGAAATGGAAAGGAGGAAGAAAATAGGAAGCAGAGATGAGATATAGATGGGAAACAACTGATAATCATTAAGTTTCATTGAGGCAGCTAGAGGATATAAATGAAGAGAATATTGTACTATGGAATACTAACTTAGTAATTTTAAAGAAAATACAAAAAAAAAGAAAAAAAAAGAAAATATATATAGTTTAAAAAGTAAAGGGAAGTTCCTCAAAGCACTGTAACATAATATCAATGTCAGGACGCCTAGGTGGCTCAGCTGTTAAGCATCTGCCTTCGGCTCAGGGCATGATCTCGGGATCCGGGATTGACATTGGGCTTCCTGTGAGGAGCCTGCTTCTCCCTCTGCCTGTGTCTCTGCCTCTCTCTCTCTATGTCTCTCATGAATACATAAATAAATATTTTTTTAAATAAATAAATCTTAAAAAAAACCATAATATCAATGGTCAAAGCATACTCAACTGTCAGGAATAAGGCAAGGATGTCTCCTCTTACCACTCCTTTTCAACCCTGTACTAAAAGCCCTTGCTAATGTAGGTAGACAATAAAAGGAAACAAAAGGTGTTGGGAAGGAAGAAAAAACTGTCTTTGTTTGCTGAGGATATGACTGTCTATATAGAAAATTTGAAAGAACTGACCAAAAAACCTCCTAGAATAAATTATTGATTATAACAAATTCGCCAACAATGAACAAATGGAATCTGAAATTAAAAGCACAATACCATTTACATAAACACCCCCGAAAATGAAATACTTAGGTATAAATCTAATAAAATATGTACAAGAACTATTTGAGGAAAAGTACAACATTATAAAGAATAAAATCCAAGAACTAAATCAATAAAGAGATATTCTATGTTTTTTTGTTGTTGTTTTGTTTTTTTAAGAGGCAGGGGAGAGGAACAAGAGAATCTTATTAAATAAAGAGTCAGATGCTTAACCAACTGAGCCACCCATGCACCCTGAGATATTCTATGTTCTTAGATAGGAAGACTCAATATTGTCAAGATGTTGGTTGTTCCCAACTTGATCTATAGATTCAATGCAATCCCAATAAACATCTCAGCAGGTTATTATGTGGATATCAACTGACTCTAAAATTTATTTGGAGGGCAGCCCCAATGGCTCAGCGGTTTAGCATGGCCTTCAGCCCAGGGTGTGATCCTGGAGACCCAGGATCGAGTCCCGTGTCGGGCTCCCTGCATGGAGCCTGCTTCTCCCTCTGCCTGTGTCTCTGCCTCTCTCTCTCTCTCTCTCTCTGCATCTCTCATGAATAAATATAAATCTTAAAAAAAAACTAAATTTATTTGGAGAGACAAAACCAGAATAGTCAACACGACAATGAAGGAGAAAAATAAAGTTGGAGGACTGACACTATTTAACTTGAAGACTTACTATAAAGCAACTGTAATCGAGATGGTGTGGTATTGATGAAAGAACAGACAAATAGATGAATAGAACAGACTAGAGGGCCCATAATTAGAACCATAGAAATATAATCATCAACTGATCTTTGACAAAGAAGCAAGGGCAACACAATGGAACAAGGACAATCTTTTCAATGAATAGTACTGAACAACTGGACATCCACAGGCAAAAAAAAAAAAAATCAATCTAGGCATAGACCTTATACATTTCACAAAAACTAACTCAGAATGCATCAGAGACTAAATATAAAAAACAGGGCAGCCCGGTGGCTCAGCCGTTTAGCGCTGCCTTCAGCCCAGGGCGTGATCCTGGAGACCCACGGGATCAAGACCCAAGTCAGGCTCCCTGCATAGAGCCTGCTTCTCCCTCTGCCTATGTCTCTGCCTCTCTATCTCTCTCTCCTCTGTGTATTCTCATGAATAAATAAATAAAATCTTTAAAAAAAAACTATAAAAACTCTGAAGAGAACATAGGAGAAAACTGAGATGACTGTGGATATGGCAATGACTTTTTAGATAGGGGTGATCCATGGAAAGAAATAAATGATAAGCTAGACTTCATTCAAATAAAAAACTTCTGCTCTGTGAAAGACAATGTCAAGAGAATTAAAAGCCAAGACATAGACTAGGAGAAAATATGTGCCAAAAGACACAACAATAAAGAATTGTTATTCAAAATATACAAAGTACTCTTAAAATTCAACAATAGAAAACAACCCAATTTTAAAGGTAAGCCAAAAGCCTTACCAGACACCTCACCAAAAAAGATATACAGAAGGAAAATAAGCATATGCAAAAATGCTCCACATCAGATGTCATCAGGGAAATGCAAATTACAAAAAAAAAATAATGAGGGACACCTGAGTGACTCAGTAGTTGAGTGTCTACCTTTGTCTCCCAGCATGATCCTGGGTCCTGGGATTGAGTCTTGCCTCAGGCTTCCCACAGAGAGCCTGCTTCTCCCTCTGCCTATGTCTCTGCCTCTCTCATGAATAAATAAAATCTTTTTTAAAAAAATAAACAAAAAATAAAATAAAATAAAATAAAATAAAATAAAATAAATAAAATAAAATAAAAAAACAAAACAATGAAATACTGCTACATAAAATCTGGCCAAAATCTAGCACACACACCAAATGACAAAGATGTGCAGCAGTAGGAACTCTCATTCATTGCTGGTAGGAAAGCAAAATGTCCACTTTGGAAGACAGTTTAGTGGTTTCTTACAAATCTAAACATACTTTTACCATATTATCTAGCAATAGCAATCTTATTCCTTGATTTTTACTCAAAGGAAATGAAAACTTATGTCCACACACAAAAAGTCTGTGCACAGATGTTTATCACAACTTTATTCATAATTGTCAAAATTCAGAAACAGTCCTTTAGTAGGTGAATGAGTAAATAAACTATGGTACATCCAAACAATGGGATATTATTCAGTGCTAAAAAGAAATGAGCTATTCAGTCATGAAAAGATATGGAGGAAGCTTAAATGCACATAACTAAATAAAAGAATTCAAAAAGGCTACACACTGTATGATTCTGTCTCCATGACATTCTGGAAAAGGCAAAACTGTGGAGATAATAAAAAGATCCATGTTTACCAGGGATAACCTTGAAACAGAAAGAATTTTAAGGCATTGAAAATACTCTGTATGATACTATAACGATGAATACATTTGTTCAAGCCCACTGAATGTACATCATCAAGAGTGAACTCTAAGGTAAACTATGGACTTCGAGTGATTATGATGTGTCAGTGTAGGTTCATCAATTTTAACAAATGTACCACTCCACTGGGGATGCTAAGAGTGAGGGAGGCTATGCACGTATGGGGGTAGAAGGTATACGGGAAATCTCTGTACTTTCATTTTTGCTGTGAACCTAAATCTGCTCTAATATATAAAGTCTTTAAAGAAAAGATAATCAATCACATGGAAGAATACTGTAGAAAAATAACTTCTCACGGTTTCTAAGCTTTGTTACCTGTATGATATCGATTACTTCATCAAAGTTTGTTCCTGGAAACTTCACCTCTTCTTCATCGACCTTCGTAAATTCTGGGGTCTAAGAAAGCATTTTCAAAAACATTGTGCTTAATATCTTCTTAATTTATACATAATTTATCATATTTCCACTCATAAGATAAGCTTGTAATTACATGGCCCTATTTTTTAAAATTTTAATATACTGTTAAGAATTGATTTCATTAAGTAGATGAAATCCAAGATAGTTCCAAAGCCATCAGGTTTCATTCCAATAGCTATCAAAAATTAAACGTAACTTTTTGTCAATGATTCCACCAACAAAGCAACTCAAGTTGATAGGATTATGATTTCTCTCCTACAGTTAAAACAAAGTATTTATATATTAGCTATGTAAGTATACATATATACAAAGTCACAAAAAGACAGATACAGAATCAAATAAATTAGAAAGTTATTATACAAATTTAGCCTCTAGTCCTCACTTGATATATAATCTAGTTCCCCAAACCACAGTAGCCTCTTCCTGAAAATAGAATGGTAAACAGTCCAAAGAACTATTTGTAACTATATATTCTAATAAACTTCTGGTGAAAAAAAATTACTGATGAAAAAATTAAATGAGGCACAATTGCCATCTAGGGTTTCTATTTTACTATTTCTGATCAAGGAAAATTGTTGGTGTTCTACCTCTCCTTAATCGTATCCTCAAGGACCACATTTGCTTACAACAGATGAAAGCTGGGGAAAGTTACAGGGTTATTTCAGTGTGTAGTAAAGTCAGAGCTTCATTATTTGATAGCAAATAAATACTAAGGAGAAACGCCTATTTTTGCATCATGTCAATATTATCTTGACAAAGTAACACCCCAAAATATGAACTCCAAACATCACTATGAAATGCACATTTAGAAAAACTATAATTTGATTCCTGTCTAAATCAAGTTTCTTCTCCAAAGAAACAGAAATCTCCTCTTCACAGATGAGACAGATGAGCTTCACAGATGAGATTGTTTAAGCTACCAAAAAGCTACACTGAGGATTATCACTTTCACAATGTTTATATATATAAGGATCTTAAACAAACTTTCTTTTTCAAGTTCAACAGCAATACTAGATTCATGTTGAATCTTTTCCTTTAAAAATTAAATTATTATACCAAACTATACAATGGAAGACTTTGCATGGAATAATATTAGTTAAGCTCCATAATCAGACATTACTCAAAATTATACGATAGATTTCTGGGTACCTGTATCCAGGTTTTCAGAGGAGGAGATTCTTCTTTGGGACTAGGCACAGATAAATCAACATCAGCACTACCATTTGAAATGCTATCAATATCCACATTGGGTAATACCTAAAACAGAACACAACATCCAGCTTTCTATTCATCATTTTGACTTAACTATTTGTCAGTCTATACATCAATAACACACATTTACCTTTCTATTGAGAAGTCAATGGATAACATATCTTTTAAGTAATGAAAGCATATTTTATAAAATTTAGAAAATAAAAGGAGACACATAAAATCCTATCTTAAGATAACTTTATTTTCACTCTTCCCTTTATCTTTTTACTATCTACTTTTTACTATTTATTTCTGATTTCTCATTTTAATTAGGTCATAGCACCTTTCATAATTATATTTTAAATAACTACGTAATATTTCAAAAAATATGCATGCCTCAATTATTTAACCATTTTCCAGTTGGTAAACATTTATGATATACCTAATATTTCCACTATTACATCATCACAAAAAACTTCATATATATAGGGTTTTTCCCCCTAAACTTTGAATTATTTCATTATTCTAGATAGCCAGATACTAAATAAACTTCCTGAGTCACAGTGCATGAATATTTAAAATTCTTGATAATTAATGTCAAAATGCAGTCCAAATGAGTTCTATTTATGTCATCAAAAACATAATATCATTGTCTCAGCAATAAGTTTTTAAATGGAGGTATATTATTGTTATTTTAATTTGCATTATCTTGGTGACTAGCATGATTTAAATTTATTTTCTTACTCATGACTGTATTTCCTCTTCTGGAGGGTCCTACCTAGGTTCTTTGAATATTTCTGGATTTGTATCTACTTTCTTACTAATTTACGGAAGTTTTCAGATTTAAAAACTAATCCTTTCATATGTACTGACTGTATGTTTTCCTTTTGATAAGGAATTTTTTATATTGGCTTCAGTTTTAGATTTTATAGATTCAAATCTTTTATTATATGTAGGTTTTCTTCACTCATAGCCAGACTTAGTTTCAGCTTTGATAAAGATTCCATGCAATTATCTTCTAATTCTGCTATTTTTACATTTTACAGTTATACTTTTGCCTATTGCCTATTTAGAATTCATGTGCCATAGTGGAAGGTTAAAGCTGATCTATTTTCCACATTATTAATCAATTACAACATATATTATTTCACTTATGAGACTCCTATTTCCTACTGATACATGAAGTAACTACCACATATTACATTCCTTTTCTATTTTTTTAATTAAAATTTTTTTTAAGACTTTTATTTATTTATTCATGAGAGACACACAGAGAGAGAGGCAGAGACACAGGCAGAGAGAGAAGCAGGCTCCATGCAGGGAACCCTATGTGGGACTTGATCCTGGGACTCCAGGATCACTCCCTGGGCTGAAGGCAGGAGTCCTTCCTGAGGAGGGAAGGTGAGCCACCCAGGCGTCCTTCGATTTTTTTTTAGAGCAAGAGAGTGCATACACAAGTGGGGTAGAGGAACAGAGAGAGAAGAGAGAATCTTAAGCAGGTTCCATGTCTAGTGCAGAATCCAATATGGGGATCTATCTCACAACCCCGAGATCATGACCTGAGCTGAAATCAAGTTAGATGTTTAACTGACTGAGCTACCCAAGCAGTGCCCCATGCTACATTCTTTTTTAAATAACCAAGGCTATTTCTGAAATATGACCTTATACGGGTCCAGTATCAAAACCCTTTGTTTTTTCAAATATCAAAATGATCCTTAAGATAAAATTAAAGAAAACAAAAATAAATAAAACAAACAAAAAATAAATACATGGTTGGGGGGATTAGATTACAATATGACTTAAATTATACATTAATTTAGGAAGAATTGACAACTTGAATATTTAATCTTCACACATAAGTTCTCTTTCCATTCATTCAAACTTTATATATATTTAAAGTTATACTTATTCTTTTAAAATTAATTATAATATACTGTTCAACTGTTCCCCTTGGAATATCATCATGTCACCTGGGTATGAGTCACCCAGGTGACTTAAAGTCACCTTATCATGCAGACATCACATTAATATCAGTTTTAAAGAACAAAAGACCCATAATGAAAGCAAAGTTTTCATGAAGCAATGTAATAGATTTTAAGTGCTAAAGTTAAGACAAAGACGTTTTTTTTCCTTAAAATTTTCTATTTATGACATACCTGTACAGTAAGCTGAGGAGGATCTTTTTTTTCCGACTTCATTTCTATAACTGCAATGTTAGGTTTCTTTATACCAGTTTCCATTTTTCGTGATGATGGAGGAATAGAAGTAGTCACTGTTACAGGGTGTGCCTTGTTTATAATTACTCCAGTGGGTGGCATGGAATCACTATTACTTTGGGTTTGTCCTAAAAAGTTGGGGGAAGAGATAAGTCAACTACAGAAATAAAGGGAAAAATCAAACACATAGCCTAGATCTTTACAGCTGAATTCTCATCTGAAAAGGAAGTGCTATCTGCAATCACCTTTCCTTCTATTATCGCCACTGTCAACATACTCACCACATCATCCTTTCAACAGCAACTCACAACCAAGTGCTCATATGTGCCAGACACTTCACATACCCTAATTTAACCCTCAAAATGAGCCAAGAGATATTAATATTATCCACATTTCACAGCTGAGAAAATAGGTTTAGAAACAACATAATTTGCCAGAAGTCCTAACTGTTTATAAACAGCAAAGCCAAGACTAAAAGCGTAGTGTGTTACTCTGTATTATATTTATTCCCAAATCTTCATAGAGCAACAATGGACAGAAATAAAACCAACTACAAAATACTAGTGATTGGCTACCAATAAATAGCACATACTCCCACTATTTGGTAATTATCATAGCTGTCAGGAACTTAGCTTTTACTTCAAAAGTTCCATTTATTTCTTATATTTCAAAATAAAGAGGGACTGTACAGTGCACTCTTTAAAAGCAGACTTTAAAGCCAGACTGACTGGGTTTGAATCCCAGCTCCATTCTAATTATGTAGCTTTTGACAAATTACTTAATTCCTTTGTGCCTTGGCTTCTTCAATTATAAAACTGATACATTACCATGTGTTTTACAGGGTAGATTAAATAAATTAACATATGTAAGGTGCTTAGATCTGTCCCTGGCACACTGCAGGAACTTTATAAGTATTAGCTACTACATTAGCAGAAGGCATGTTTGAACAGACATAGCTACCAAGTTGACATGCCATTAACTCACAATATCAAAAATGAAAAATTCTCTCTTATGTTGGAAAATATTCATATTTAAATCACTCATCAACATCAAGAAAGAATAGCAAAGACACTAAAAGAAAAAGATAGCTAACTAGAATTGAAGAGCTGTTATAGGAACAAAAATGATTTGTTAAATTTTTATAATAATGAGTCTGAGAGACCTCAAATAAGTAAATAACCAACAACTACTGCCTTAGAATACACAGCCATGCAATTTTTACTTACCACAGCCTAGTTCAAAAGTACATAAAATTATTTTAAAGAACTTCACCTATGACATGACATTAAACCACTTAAAATTTTTGATATCTTTATTATGAATATCTATAACATATCTAAACTTTTAAAAAATTTGTTTCATCTACAGCAATGTATTATAAAATACCAAAGGCATGTTGTTTCCTGTGAGTGAAACTATAGCAGGAACCCATTATTTTAGAGAGTGCCTACTACATGGAGTAAGACACATTCTGAGGCCCTACCCACAAATATAACACACAGTTAGGGACTCTCATGTAAGGGAGAAAGGTAAGGGACTATCATGTCATTTTGAAAGTTCTGCCAACGGCTGATAAGAATTTAAAATTTACCCTGTGTATTTTGTTCGGACTTACCTAAAAGAATAGCCATAGGAATTAGATGACCTTCCAGTGTACCTGAAAGAGTAGGCATTTCTCTGCTTGGGCTGAACAAGTACTGCTGATCACCAGGAGGCAGCACAGTAGTAACAGAATGTTGTGGTTTAGAATCCATTTTCACAGGTTTTGTTGCATAAAAGTCAGTTTGTGTTCTTATTGACTTGACTTTAGTGCCTGTAATCATTATCAGTGGCAGAGACTTTAAAATATTATTTGGACATCTATCCAGCTAGAAATACAGTAACTCTTCTTCACAGAAAGATCTCCAAAATAGAAGTAATATACAAACCAGGGGCTGGCAAAAACTTTCTCTCAAAAGGTCAGACAGTAAACATTTTAGTCTCATGGGTCCTGTGCTCTCAGCTACAACATCTCAATTCTGCCACTATAACATGAAAGCAATCATGCTACAGTCACAAATAAATGAGTCCAGCTATGTTACCATATCATTTACAAAAACAGGCGGTTGACTTGCATTGTAGGCCATGGTTTCTGAACCCCCACACAACTACTATGACAAAATAGATTCAATGATTTAAGTGAATGTGGAGAAAAAGGAACTCTCACTCACTGTTAGTAGAAATGTAAATTGGTATAGCCCTGTGGAAAACAGTATGCAGTTTCCTCAAAAAATTAAAAATAGAAACACCATATGATCCAGTAATTCCATCACTGAATACCAAAGAAAACAAAACCACTAATTCAAAAAGATATGTGCATCCTTATGTTAGTTGTAGCATTATTTATAAAAGCCAAAATATGGAAGTAATTTAAATGTCCAAAAATAGACAAATGCATAAAGATGTGGTGTATCTATAGTGGAATATTATGCAGTTATAAAAAAGGATCAGATTGTGCTATTTGAGAAAACATGGATGGACCTAAAGGGTATTATTCTGAGTGAAATAAATCAGACTGAGAAAGACAAATACCATATGATCTCACTCATATGTGGAACTTAAGAAATGAAACAGATGAACATAGGAGAAGGGAAGGAAAAATAAGATGAAAACAGGTAGACAAACCATAAGAGGCTCTAGGAAACAAACTGAAGGTTGCTGGAAGGAAGAAGGGCACTTGTTATAATAAGCACTGTTATAATGCAACTGATGAATCACTAAGTTCTACTCTTGAAATTAATATTACAGTATATATTAACTAAATTGAATTTAAAAAAACATGCCAGCACAGAATATCAGAAATTTACCAAATTTGGCAGTGAGATTACAGAAGATACATTTTCTTTTTTTTTTTAAGGTTTTATTTATTTATTTATTCATGAGAAACACAGAGAGAGGCAGAGACACAGGCAGCGGGAGAAGCAGGCTCCTCATAGGGAGCCTGATGTGGGACTCAATCCCGGATCCCGGGATCACACCTGAGCTGAAGGCAGGCGCTCAACCGCTGAACCACCCAGGCATCCCCAGAGGATATAATTTCTTACAAAGCTTTTTTTTTTTTTAATTCAAACAGCATGTAGTTTTTAAATATAAAATTATTAATCCTTAGTTATGAGAGGAAATGTCTATAGCAAGGATAGAAAATTATCTATTGAGGCCTCTAGCCCATAGAAAAATTTTTATTTTTGCTTTTATTATGCTCAATAAACACAAGTTTTCTTTGTTAAAATAAAAATAAAAAACAACGGGCAGCCCAGGTGGCTCAGCAGTTTAGTGCCGCCTTCAGCCCAGGGCCTGAACCTGGAGACCTGAGATCAAGTCCCACGTCAGGCTCCCTGCATGGAGCCTGCTTCTCCCTCTGTCTCTGTCTCTGCATCTCTCTCTCTCTGTGTGTGTGTCTCTCATGAATAAACAAATAAAATCTTTAAAAAATAATAAAATAAAAAATCAAAATAAACAACAACCCTCCCATCAGACCTATAAATCAGAGAATAAAATGATAATTGCCAGAGGAGAGGTGGACAAAGTGGAAGAAGGGGAGTGGGAGATACTGTTTTCTGGTTATGGAATGAATAACTCATGGGAATAAAAGGCAGAGCATAAGGAATATAGTCAATGGCACTGTAACAGCAGTGAAACAGGGTGGACGGTTAGCTACATTTGTAGTAAAGGAAGCATAATTGTATAACTTTGTCAAATCACTAAGTTGTATATCTGAAATTAATGTAACATTGTATGTCAACCATACTCAAATTTAAAAAAAAAAGGAAAAAGAAAAGCATATAAAAAGTTAAAAACATAAATATAACATCAGATTGTGAAAAGTGCTATGAAGAATAATAAGGCTAAAAAAAAAAAAGAATAATAAGGCTGAGCAAGAAGATAAGAGAGGTGTAGGAGATCATCTTTTGGATAGGATGGTAAGGGTAGACTTCTCTGAGGAAATAACATCTAAGAGCAGAGATCCAATTAACTGAGAAAGTAAGCCATACAAACGTCTGAGGGAAAAGCTCTTCAGGTAGAGAATATGACAGGCACCAAGGCTCAAGAATAAGCATGTTTCCACAGGTTCTCAGTCACTTCTACCATTAAAAGCATTACTTAAAATTAATTTTGGATTTTTAGTATTTTAAGACCTCAAGTTATGTTTTGCAAAGGCTTTCAAAAGCCCAAATATAAGTTAATAACAAAGCCCCAATAAATAAGAGGAAATAGGGTTAAATATCATCCATAAGCTATACACTTCACTGAATAATATCGGTAGGATTTCTAGATAAACTGACACCCTATATGATCACTTAATCTTTAGAAATGAGAGGAAGGGAAAACTAAAAGCAATACCACAGCTCCAATTTCCAGAAAGGATAAGAAACAAAAATGAGTTGGTATCCACTAGTTAGGCCATACTGTTGAAATTCACTGGCTGCTAAAGTAAAAGCTGAGGTATTTCTAAATTTAACCAAAGTCAAGAGACTGGATATCTAATGAAGAGTTTTATTTAAATATACCAGAGAGAAGTGCCTGGATGGCTCATTTGATTAAGTGTCTGATTCTTTTTTTGTTGTTTGTTTTAAGATTTCGTTTATTTATCTGGGAAAAAGATAGTGTGAAAGAGAGCATGAGCAGGGGGAGAGGGAGAAGCAGGCTCCCTGCTGAGAAGAGAGCTTGATGTGGGGCTCAATCCCAGGATTTCAGGACTTCTGAGCTGAAGGCAGACACTTAACTGACTGAGCTACCCAGTCGCCCCAAGTGTCCAACTCTTGACTTCCGTGCAGGTCATGATCTTGGGTATGGGATCAACCCCTGTGGTGGGCTTCATATTCAGCGAGAATCTGCTTAAGGATTCTCTCTCTTTCTCCCTCTCCCTTTGCCCCTCCCACCCACTCACACAGGCACACATGTGCACGCTTTCTCTAAAATAAATAAATCTTCAATAAATAAATATACTAGTGAAATAGTAGATGTGAGCCAAAACACAGTAATAAATGAAGTTATTTTTAGTGGTGTACAAAAGTACCAAAAATATTTTTTCACCTTTACTACCTAAGGCTCGAGAATAAAGAAAACTGCAAAAATGTCATAAGCACTTTTATGATAATATGCAACAATGGCTGATCTTCATTCTTTCATAAAGAACATGATAGAGCAATGTCTTCAAGGAAATGTCCACTTTCCCCAGATTATAATTTAAATTGTTCAAGACATCATCTCATAAATGTAAATTTTAATCATACTTTATAAGAAGATACCACCTAACCCTATCTTTTCCCCCACTTACTCCTATTTTATGCATTGAGATAGTCTATTTCTTCCTACTCTTAGAAGGAATTATTTTCCATTCCTAAGCAGTATATAATTTGAACTGAAGTTATGAGTTACAAAAAAAAAAAAAAGGAAAAAACTAAACATTACATATTAAACTGACAGCATAAATAAATGAAGTCTGCCACAGAAAAATGAGGTTCCTTACCTTTAACTCGTTCTATTACTTTTGGTCTCTGTGGTTTAGATTTGGGAGATGGAGAATTAAATCGGAGATATGGTCCTTTTTTAAGAGTGCTGCGATGGCCCTGATAAATTGGTTTTCCATAAATTTGTAACATATAATCCTCATCTTGTAACACTGCAGTTGGTTTCAAAAATCCCTAAGTACACAAAGTTATTCAGCTCACCAAAAAAAATAGCCATCAGAAATCTCATTTTTCTAAAGCCCTCTTTTCCCAGCTTAAGAACTATCATAAAAATTAGCAAGTCAGAAAAATCCTCTATTTTAAATGATTCAAATTCTAGATATAATTTTCAAACTATAGCTTTAGAGTTTTAGGGTTTCAATGACATGAAAATTAAATATAAAAATCATCCACTCAAAAAACATAAAGGTTCTTATACTACTGAGTATATTTTTAGCACCAAAAAAGTAAGGTTTAAACACATTTTATCTATTTATTGTATTCAGTTACAATAATATAACATAAATCAAGTCTTTGAATATTTTTCTACATTCCTAATCGGACCTTCAATCATAATTTAAATGCTACAATAAGGTAGCATTTATTGAGGATCTACTAAGTGCTCAGCCCTGAATTAGATACTTTATTAATGTGCCCAACAATCCATATTTGGCTGTAAGACAGTTACAGTCTAATTACAGCAGCCAAAAACATACCCTCCACAGCATCTAGTACCAAACCTCACAATCACTAGGCACTAGACATACTTGTTACACTGAAAAATAAACAAAAATACATATATTCACATATATACATACAACAATGAAATACAATTTTGAGTACCAGAAACTAGAGAATCTAACTTTTGGACTAGGTGATATATACCAGCTATAACTAAAATATTATGTTTCTAAATGTGAGATCTCAGAAGGAAGAAATTAGGTTTTTTTGTACACTGCTCATTATGAATACCCAAAACGCTAAGTAATAGTTGAAATATAGTTTACATTTATATAGCCCTTATTTTTAAAATATTTTCATATTCACTTCATTATTTATATATAGCTTAAAGGAAATGAAATGATCAGTTATAATGCAATCTTCATGTCACAAAACCAGAGCAAGATCTTACTTTTCTCTCTTTCTGTAGATTTGAAGCAGGCATGCTCCTCATGGGTGGATTTCTAAAATGTTCCTCTTTTTGTTTTTGAGGATGTTTTCTTTGAATTACAGAACTGTTTACTGTTTTGTCTTGTATATTAGTTTTAATATATTTACTCATATTCTGAGTTTTAATATCTTTACTCATATTCTGAGCTTTCTTGGTCCTTTGATTCTTCTGATCAAACCTCTTTTGTTCATAATCTTTTCTTGCCAGTTCATCCTTAATATAATCAAAATTAAGATTACTTAAAACCTACCCAAGTAATGCTTTCACATCTAAAATATTAGAATTTGTTTTTTTATTGTAGAAATATACTTTAGCAATGCTTTATAAATAAATTATATTGACTTACATATGAATAAAAACTCTCTGGAAATAAAAACTCAAAAGATTACTGCCTTATGGAGCAGGGGGAATGAGAAATAGTAGACGAGATACAAGATCAGGAGGACACTTTTTCCTTATACACCTTACATTTTTTTGATGTTCAAACCACAAGACTACAGTAAACATTCAAAAGTTTAAAAAAATAAATTTCAAAGAAATAAACAATTTTGTAATAAAACTCTGTAATAAATATTTATAAGTTAACATTGTTTGAAGATTTAAACACACTTTGTAATGAATTCACATTAACAGAGTGACCTATATTTGCCAGTTGTCTGCAGAGCCAAAACTAATCTCCAAATCTTCTATTAGCTCAATTTTTATTTTATTTTATTTATTTATTTTTTTGGGTGCATCACATTGTAGATAACAACATTTCTTTATATCATTAGATATATTTTTTTAAACAACAAAGTTTAAAAATACATTTTAGTGGCTGTGGAAATGGAACTGACACATCGTCTTGCCACCATTGTGAGTAAGCACATACACCTGTCTTACAGCCAGAAAAAAACACTTTGCACCCAAAGATGAAAATAACAGGTTACTTTGTCTAGTTCTGCTTCCTCAAATGTATAAAATTTTAAGAATTTCTGTAAACTACTTACCCTCTAATAAAAACAACTCTCCTAGGTTTTTGCAATGCTAATGTCTGAAGATACACTGTGAGCTTCGGGATGTGAGAAAGTGGCATCTTTTTCATCTAGAAATGACTTCTGTAAACTTAGTAACCTTAGAAATCTTGTATGGTATTTTCCCTTTAAATAACTTTGGTGTTTTTACTTTGACAAGTCAGTGCTTCTAAATCTGCTGTCTTGAAACATTTTTAAAGTATATTTTCTTCTTCTCTAAATGCTTTTCCTAAATTTTGTTTCAAATTACTCATATTTTAGTTATTGTCCCACAATTTGCCACATAAGAGCTATAATTTACGAGAAGAAGCACTTGCTAGGTAAAATGAAACTCATTACTAAGAAAAGAATACAAAATGAAATTACAAGTATATATAAGTAGCCTTATACATAAGGAATATTTTTTTTTCATAAGGAATATTTTGAAAATAAGTATGGTACTTAGAAATGATCTCTTAAGGGGTGCCTGGGTGGGTCAGAGAGTGAGCATCTGCCTCCAGCTCAGGTAATGATCCTGGAGTCCAGGGATCAAGCACTTCATCGGGCTCTCCACTCAGCGGGAAGTCGGCTTCTCCCTCTGAATCCCTCCCCCTCTCATGTTCTCTCTCTCTCTCTCAAATAAATAAATAAATAAATAAATAAATAAATAAATAAAATCTTTAAAAAATAAAGATATTACCTCTTGAGAATTCACTTAATTCTGTTTTTTTCTAATACCCACCTGAATTTCTGCAGAAATAGTTTTAATCCATTCATCCACTGTCTTTCTGATCCGGATCTTCTCTGACATCTCTCTACGAAAGGGAAAAAAAGAATTGTGTTAAATTAGCATTTAATGTTCTGAGACTAGGACCTAGATCAGGTCTCTTATCTAGTTTTGAATCTACTATGTAAGCCCAACAGCCTTCCTTTGAAAAGGAAAAACCAATGTTATTAGTTTTTATCAAATGTCTGAACAATGTCTGGATAGATCCCTGAAGATATATACCAAAGAGATAACAAAAATTAAAGGAAAATTTTTCTGTAAAATTTAATAGCCACATGTATATATCTAAATTTTAACTTTATAGTGAGTGTCAAAGGAGACAGAGAACATTTTCAAAATACTGAAATACATTAAGCAAAATGAAGCACATAGAAAAATAATTAAGAAAGCCTATAACAGGCAGTTTCAAAAATAACCTTGGGATGCCAACATCCTGTCTTACCTGTTAGTAGATAGAGCATTGATAAATGAATACATGGCAGCTCCATCTTTTGCACGAATAATAGCTTCCAGGTTTTCTTCGAGGACTTTTTTATTGTTTTGTACTCCTCTCAAAATCTTCTCAGCATCTTTCAAGATGGATCTCTTATTGGTTGTTTGAAGCTTAATGGAATTCTGTGGAAGATCAGCAAGCCTTGACATAATCAGAGATTCCTTTGGCTTAAAAAGAAAATAAGGCAAAAATGTTACCATATAAAGTTCATATTAATTATTTTATTTTATTTTTTTAAGATTTTATTTATTTATTCATGAGAGACACACAGAGAGAGAGGCAGAGACACAGGCAGAGGGAGAAGCAGGCTCCATGCATGAGCCTGATGTGGGACTCAATCCCGTGACTCCAGGATCACGCGGTGGGCCAAAGGCAGGCACTAAACCACTGAGCCACCCAGGGATCCCCTATATTAATTATTTTAATGCAAACAAGAGGTATTACTATAGTTGGGGCCATACCCCAACTAAATGCCAATATATTCTAAGGACTCAATCTGTCAAATTGAAGAGCTATTAAACAGAACTTGGCTGATGGTAACTACATTTACTCTGGTTAGCATTTTAAATTTGTTGAACCTCTATCTTGTACACCTGAAACTAATATAATATTGTACGTCAACTATAGTTCAATTAAAAATAAAAATTAAAACATGAAGTTGGCAATTAAGGTTTCTTTCCATTTAGAAGTATTAACGTGAATGTTAAGTGAAATAGGGATGGGAAGTCCATAGAAGTACTGGGCAGTCCAATAGCCAATAAAAGTTATTATCCGGGAAAGAAAGCTAAAACAATATAAGAATAAGTTGGCATGAAGTAGGCATGGCAGACACTTTGTATTGGATAAACAGGTGTTATTCACAGTTTTCTTTCCCCCTTTTTTCCTCTCCAATAGTAGCTGGAAAGCTCGTAGTAGCTAGCCAAGGAGCCAGGAATAGAGATCACTTAGGGAGGACTCCTGGCAAAGTTTTATAAAGAGAACCGACAGGGCCTGACATGTCTTTTTCAATACTTTGTCTTTATCCTTCTGCTAGCTTTCTGTCCTGGTAACTTTTATATTTCTTCATAATTTTTACCTTTACTAAACCTCATCAATTTTAATATCCTATTCCCACTTTACCTGGAGTATGCCATTTGTTTCTTTCCTCTTTTGGCCAGGATCATGAAGAAAATCATCAGACCCCTGTACAGTCAAGTTAGCTGCTCCTAGTTCTTCATTGAAAGGAAATCTTTGAGATGATAGTGTATCAATGCTATGAAAGATTTAAAAATAAAGTTTCCTAAATTGTCATAAATTCAGTAAATATTTGAATACATAAATCTTTGATAACTTCTTAGTTATACAGTACTAAATGCTGTACTTTTATACTGTAAAATGAAATTAATCCATTAAGTGATTAAGCATATCAAACACAGAAAATCACATGATACAAAGTTACTCTGACCAGACTGGTTTAGGCATAGCAGGAAAAGAGCAGGACAAGGTTTTGCTTTGAAGAAGAGAACATCCAGAAGCTCTTCAAGAAGGGTAGAGTAAGAAACTCTAAAAATCCCCTCCTCAGCAAAGAGAACACTAGGAAAAATGTTCAAAATCAGCATTTCCAGAACTCTGGAAATGAAAAGCTTGCAAACAGCCCAAGGAATATTTAATCAAGAAATGACTGACTTTTATTAAAGACAGCAAGCTTTATGGTATTTTTAATTTGCTTCATTCCAAGAACCCTTTCCCCAACTCTCCAGCAGCCTTAAAAATTAACAGCTGCACAATCCTTTTTGCTGTGAAAACCAACAGCCTAACAACCACTCAAAAGGGCAGAACTTTGGACCTCCTCAGAAAGCCCCATTCACAGGGTTCTCTTTATTTGACCTGACTCAGAGCTAGCTCAGTGAGAAACCCTAATGGCAGATCAATTTTTGAAAACAGTAGCAAGTGTTTAACATCTAGCTGCCTAAGGTGGCTATAGCAGTTGAGACAAACAAGAGGAATGCCAATAAACTAAAACTCAGGGGAATGAGATGTCCATGGTGGAGCTTTGAAAAGCCCTAACACATTACTGCGGATCAAGAATGCCCATTGACAGGGCTCAGCGAGTGCTCAAGCAAGATACGAGAAAAGCCTAATCTCTCATGTCTCGCTGACCTTGAGGCTCTCTGCAAGTTAGAAGTTAAGGTTAAGACAGACTTATAAAGTGCCAGAGCACTGAAGATGTGCCCCAACACCACACACACATGCATTCATGTGTGCGTGGTGCACATGCACACATCCCCAAACACACAGCCCCTTGATACTCAAAGGGAGATTTATAGGTTCATTGTAGGTAAGGAAGTCTCTTTCTAATCACTAGCAGACTTAGCTAAACAAATAGAGACCCACCACACATGACAAAGAACAGAAACTTTACAGAACTCACCCAGGAAAGTCACTTAGCAACAACATATCCTGGGAGATGGAAGAATCTGATTTTCTGGGTTGCCACATTGTATTATTTGAAATGTCCAATTTTCAACAAAAGTTATAAGACACAAAAAGAAACAAAAAAAGTCTAGTTCATACACAGGAAAAAGCATAGTCAATACAAACTGTGCTTGAGGAATTCCAAATACTGGACTTACCAGGCAAGGACTATAAGTTAGCAATTACTGAAGGAAACTATGTTCAAAGAATTAAAGGAAAGTATATACATGAATGAAGTCTTACTAAGTAAAGATATCAATAAGGAGATAGAAACTATTTAAAACAAAGAAAGAAAACCTAAACAGAATTTCTAAAGTTGAAGAATACAATAACTGAAATGTAAACTTCAACAGGGGGCTAAATAGCATATTATAGTTGGCAGAAAAAAGAATCCATGAACTTATAGATAAGTTATTGAGACTATCCCATCTGAGAAACAGAGAAAAAAAAAAAGAACAAAGAAATTTTAACAGCCTCAGAGATCTGTGCAGTACCATTAAGTATACCAACAAACAACATAGTCCCAGGAGAAGAGAAAGGTTATGTGTACTATTAACTATATAAAGAAATAAAGGCCAAAAAAGCCCAAAATTTAATAAATATCAATCTACTCATCCAAGAAACTCAAAAAACTTCAGAAAGATAAACTCAAAGAGATCTACACTTATATATTATAGCCAAACTGTCAAATGACAAAAGACAAAGGGAGAATTTGGAAAGCAGAAAAATAATTCATCATATACAGGGGTTCCTCAAAAAGATTAACTGCTGATTTTCTACAAAAAAAAAAAAAAAATGAATCCGGAAGGCGGTGCTGACATATTCAAACTGCTGAAAGAAAAAGAATGACAAGAAAAATAAATTTTTTAAATAATTATTTATTTGAGAGGGAGAAGCGGAGGAAGAGGGAGAGAATCTCCAGCAAACTCTGCTCACTGAGTATAGAGCCTGACACAATGCTCCATCTCACAACTCTGAAATCATGACCCAAGCCGAAATCATGAGTCAGATACTCAACTGACCAAGCCATCTAAGGTGCCCTTCAAAAATTCTATATCCAGCAAAACTACCCTTCAAAAGTAAAAATAGACCCATAGATCAATCGAATAGATAAAGCCCAGAAATAAGCCCACACTTATATAGTCAATTAATCTATGATAAAAGAGGTAATAGGCGTGCTTGAGTGGCTCAGTCTGTTTAAGGGTCTAACTTCAACTCAGGTCATGATCTCAGGGTACTAGGATCAAGCCCTGCATCAGGCTCCCTACTCAGTGGGGAGCTTGCCTTTCATTCTGCCCCTCCCTACTTGTGCTCTCTCTTAAATAAATAAATAAAATCTTTAAAAAAAAAAGACATAAGAATATACAACAAGGAAAAGACAGTCTTCAATAAATGGTGCTAAGAAAACTGGACAGCTACATGTAAAAAGAAAAAACTGCACCATTTCTTACACAGTACACAAAAATAAACTCAAAATGGATTAAAGACATAAATATGGGACATAAAATCATAAAGCCCCTAAAAGAAAACAAAGGCAGTAATCTGGTACTGGCCTAAGCAATATTTTTCTAGATATGTCTCCTGAAGTAAAGGAAACACCACCAAAAATAAACTACTGGGACAGTAAAGGAAATCATCAACAAAATGAACAGGCAATCTACTGAATAGGGGAGGATATTTGCAAATGATACATAAATGGCTAATATCCAAAATATAAGAATGTATACAATTGTCAAAAAAATTTATAAAACTCAACACTAAAGAAATGGGCAGAGGACCTGGACAGACATTTTTCCAAGGAAGACATTCAGATAGCCAACAGACACATGAAAAGATGCTCAACATGACTAATCATCAGGGAAAAGCAAACCAAAACCATAATGAGATTATCACCTTACACCAGTCAAAATGGCTTGTATCAAAAAAGACAAAAAATAACAAATATTGGTGGGGATATGGAGAAAAAGGGACCCTTATACACTGCTGGTGGAAATGTAAATTGGTACAGTCACAATGGAAAACAGTATGAAGGTTCTTCAAAAAATTAAAAAGTAGAAATAACATATAATCCAGTAATTACAAAGGGGGACATTAGAATTGGACATGTACCAAATGGGGTTAAACTCCAATTCAAAAAGATATACGCACTTCTATGTTTATTGTAGCATTATTTACAGTAGCCAAGATATGGAAGCAACCTAAGTGTCCATCAATAAATGGATGAGTGTGGGCAGCCCGGGTGGCTCAGCGGTTTAGCACTGCCTTCAGCCCAGGGCCTGATCCTGGAGACCCGGGATCGAGTCTCATGTCGGTCTCCCTGCATGGGGCCTGCTTCTCCTTCTGCCTGTGTCTCTGCCTCTCTCTCTCTCTATGTCTCTTATGCATAAATAAATAAAATATTTTTAAAAAATAAATAAATAAATGGATGGGTGGATAAAGAAGATATGCATATATATACAATGGAATATTGCTCAGCCATAAAAAATAATGAAGTCTTGCCATTTGCAACAACATGTATGGACCTAGAGGGTACTATATGCTAAGTGAAAAGAGTTTGACAGAGAAAGACAAATATCGCATTATTTCACTTGTATGTGGAATCTAAAAAACAAAACAAATGAACAAATAAATAAAGAAAGCAGAAACAGAACCATCAATACAGGGAACAAACTGGTGGTTGCCTGAGGGGAAGGAGCCAAGTGGATGGGCAAAAAGGGGTGAATGGGAGAGAAAGGTACAGGTTTCCAATTATGGAATGAATAAATCATGGGGATAAAAGGTATAGTTCCGGGAAGGGACTCAATGGTATTATATTTAAAAAAATAAAAATAAAAATAATAAATAAATAAATACAATGTTATTTTTGTTTATAACTCTTTTCTTCTCCTATCTAATTTATTATTTTTTAAAGATTTTATTTATTTATTCATAGAGACACAGAGAGAGAGAGAGAGAGAGGCAGAGACACAGGCAGAGAGAGAAGCAGGCTCCATGCAGGGAGCCCGACATGAGACTTGATCTCGGATCTCCGGGATCATGCCCTGGACTGATGGCAGCACTAAACCGCTGAGCCACCTGGGCTGCCCTCCTATCTTATTTAAAAGACAACTACATATAGCAATAATTATCAACCTATATAGATGAGCTTATAATGTATAATAATGCAATATGCATTACAATAACAGCAGAATGAAAGGGGAAGGGAAGGAGCTATACTGGAACAAAGTTTGTGAATCCTATTGAAATTAAATTGGTATTAATCCAAACTAGATTGTTTTAAATTGAGGTATTAATTTTATAATCCCTAGGGTAATCACTCAGTGATTAAAAAAATCACTTTTTTAATATTAAAAAAGACAATATGGAAAAATAGGGGAATAAAAAAATACCTAAGACACAGAAAACATAGCAACAAGGCAGACATAAATCTTTTATCAGTAATTACATTAAAAGTAAATGGTCTAGAAGCACCTGGGTGGCTCAGTGGTTGAGCATCTGTTTTTGGCTCAGGGTGTGATTCCAAGCTCCTGGGGTCAAGTCCCACATCAGGCTCCTCACAGGGAACCTGCCTCTGTCTCTCCCTATGTCTCCACCTCTCTCTCTGTGTCTCTCATGAATAAATAAAATCTTAAAAAAAAAAAAAAAAAGCAAGCAAATGGCCTAAAACTGCAGTTTGGAGATGACAATATTAAAAACATAGCTTATTTTTAAGTTTTTATTACCATAGTTTCCATGACATTCAATATAAATAAAATTATCATGACCAAGAAGTACTTGATTTTTAAAAAATTTTTAATGTAAAATTTCAGACATACACAAAAGTAGAAAGAATAGTATGATGAACTCCATATTCTCCATTCACATTAATCATTAACTCATGGCTATTCTCATTTCATCCATAGTCTCAACCCAGTTTCCTCTACCCTGCACCGGATTATTTTTAAAGCAAATCTCAAATATCATTTCATCAAAAATAAATAGTCTGGGGTGGCTCAGTCAGGTAAGTGTCCAACTCTTAACTTTGGCTCAGGTCAGATCTCAGGGTTATGAGATGGAGCCCTTTACAGGATCCATGCTGAGGGTGGAGCCTGCTTAAGACTCTCTCTCTCTCCCTCTGCCCATCCCCTCCTCCCACCATGCGCATACGGTTTCTCTCTCTCTCTCTCTCTCAAAATAAAAATAAAAATATTCTGCATTCATTAGAATTAATCTGCATTTTGAGAAGTTTAGATACATTCATTTTATAACTATAGTAAAGGGGTAGATATAGTAGCAGCAGAAAATAGTAAATCTAATATAATTTTTGGGCAGCCTGGGTGGCTCAGCAGTTTAGCACCACCTTCAGCCCAGGGTGTGATCCTGGAGACCCGGGATCGAGTCCCACATCGGGCTCCCTGCATGGAGCCTGCTTCTCCTTCTGCCTGTGTCTCTGCCTCTCTCTCTCTCTCTCTGTGTGTCTCTCATGAATAAATAAATAAAAACTTAAAAAAAAAAAAGAACAAAGCATAAAAAAATTATACTATTATTATTTTTTAATGCTTTGGGTTTTTTTAAAGATTTCATTTATTCATGAGAGACATACAGAGAGGCAGAGACATAGGCAGAGGGAGAAGCAGGCTCCCTGGGGTAAGCTTGGTGTGGGACTTGATACCAGGACTCTGGGATCACGCCCTGAGCCTAAGGCACAGGCTCAACCACTGAGCCATCCAGGTGCCCCAATCTAAGATAACTTTTAATAGCAATGCTATACATTTATCAAAATTCCTAAGGAAATTTTAGAAATATAAACAAAGCTATTTTCAATATAGCTTTTACTCCAATCTCTTGTTTTTTACCTGTCTCTCCTCTCAGGATTCCATCCTATTTTTGACCTAGTTAGTGAAGTTTTATCTGAAGGCTCACTTTTTCTTGTCAAAGAATCATGGTTACTCAAAATCTGTTCCAATAGTCTTATATTTTCTGCAATAAAAGAAATATAGTATCATTTTTAAAGTATTGATTCATTTCTTTTTTATATAACAGCTCATATATATTATACTCAATTCATTCTATAATGTAGGTTTTAAATACACTCATCAAATAAAACCAAGTATTTATAACTCATGAAAACTACACTGGTAAAATTTTAGGCCTGAATTTATTTCCATCACAGATAAAACTAATTTAAATGAGACATGTTATCATCACAAAGCCCAAAAAATTGCATGATTTTTATCAATAGTTACAGGGAGATTTGACTATTTCTTTATAGCAAGTGTTAGTTGAATCTTTCTCTTAATAACTTTTATCTATTATCTATTAGTGAGGTTGGTTTGCTTATTAAATAACTTTTATCTATTAGTGAGGTTGGTTTGCTTATTAAAGATCTTAGTATCCTTAAAATGCTTTAAATGCACCAAGACAAAACTCAAATGTATTTAAGTGATTCTGAGAATAAAAGCTTATATGTACCACTTTCACTTACTTTTACTAGAAGAGCTTTAAGGTTCTGTAACAAATTATTACTTTAGGTCATTTATAAAAGTTCTTATTATCTATTAAATAGTTAATACCTTAACATTTTTCTAACTGAACACAGTAATAAATGTTAAATTTCTCCAAGTTTTACTATTGAAATTCCCACCTAAAAACAATATAAAGTAACTTGCTCTAAAATAATCAGCCTTACCTTTAGCAAAGCATTATTTTTTATTAATAACAAAATTTGTTCATAAAAGGTTTAAATAACAACCTATTGAAAATAACCAGAATAATTATAACTGTATATTTCCAACTCCTTCTGCAAAGAATCTAAGAAGCTTGATTTCCCCATTTAAAGAAAAATACTGGGATGCCTGAGTGGCTCAGTGGTTGAGCGTGTGCCTTCAGCTCAGGGCGTGATCCTAGAGTCCCAGAATTGAGTTAAACATAGGGAAGCCTGCATGGAGCCTGCTTCTCCCTCTGTCTGTGTCTCTGCACAAGATAAACAAAATCTTAAATAAATAATAAAAATAAAAAACAAAACAAAGAAAAATACTAAAAATAGAGACCCTACATTAGTTAGTACTAGGCACGTAAGAGAATAATAAATAAGGAGTATGGAAATCTGTTTAATTTGAGGTAGGTCTAATAAAGTAGTAGATGCTAGTTTTGATTGCCTTATTACCTGTATGATCTGTCATCTCCATATTTTCTTTTTCTTCCTTAGGATTTTCCCTCTTTGATATTTTATCATCCTTTGAAACAGGTATAGGAGCAAACCTGCGAGGTGCTGGTGTCTCTAACGGAGATTTCTGCTTATCAAAATCTGTATCTTCAACCTCTCTAGAAGGAACTTTAATAGAAAAAATAAATAAATTCAACTTATTTTTTTAAAAAAACTTTAATTTGTGAAGTGTTACTCTTTCCCAAATTTAAAAAAATAAAAACCATAATTAGATACGATATTCAAAATAAAAAATACATAGAAATAATTCTATTCTCACTAGAAATCAAAATATAGCTATAAAAATTTTATACTGGGATGCCTGGGTGGCTCAGTGGTTGAATATCTGCCTTCGGCTCAAGGTGTGATCCCGGAGTCCCAGGATCGAGTCCCACATCAGGCTCCTTGCATGGAGCTAAATGTCATTAAAGGATAGCCCTTGATTTTCATTAATTCATTAAATAATTTTAAAACACATTCATTCATTTGGCGCTTTTTTAACTTTTTTTTTTTTTTTAAATAGGCTCTATGCTGGGTGTGGAGCTTGAACTCCCCTTTCAACTCCCAAAGTGGGGCTTGAATTCAAAACCCTGAGATCAAGAACTGAGTGGAGATGGAGTCAGAAGTTCAACTAAGTCACCCAAATGCCCCATTTACTCATTTATTTTAAATTCCAGAGGTTTAATACAAACACATTATGCATTCCTTTGTTACTATAAACAAAGATCTTTAAAATTCTATTAAAACAGGCAAACTTGGGGCATCTGGGTGGCTCGGTGGTTGAGTGTCTGCCTTTGGCTCAGGGCATGATCCCAGGGTCCTGGAAACAAGTCCTACAGCAGGCTCCTCCCAGGGAGCCTGCTTCTGCCTCTGCCTATGTCTCTGCCTTTCTCTGTGTGTCTCTCATGAATAAATAAAATCTTCAAAATAAATAAAATAAAATAGGCAAACTTACATTACTAACTGAAAATAATTAGAAATAGTTTATTAGTGTACCCAGATCATTTCTCTCCTCACAGAATCAAGGAAAATGGTAAATATACAGTTTGTCAGAGAATTGGAAAATGGATTACAAGCATTGATACTACATGAGCAAAATTTTTCTAAACTTGTGACAAGTTATGAAGGTTATTTATTAAAACCATAAAGTAGGACATGATTCCTAACTTGACTGAGCAAGTTTCAAAATGACCTAAAAATTATTTAACCTATAAACAAAGACAGTCTTCTACCACCTAGTAAACACATTTTTGGCTGACATATACTGTAAAGAAAATTCATAGATGACATTTTTCATTCACAGAGAACTACATATTTTTTACCTTGTTTGGAAGCAAATGTGTTATGTGAAGATAGATTACTGCTACCAAGATTAGAAAAGTCTGGTTTTACGGAATACTTTTCCATCACTCTAGAAGCGGGCACAGCAACAGGCTGAAAATTACTGGTCTTGAGCGCAGCACTAATGAAATGACTCTGGAAGACATACAATTATTTTATTGATTTCAAATATCATTTGAAAGAGATGACAAACTACATTGAAATTTACTAGAGGACTTGAAAACAACATATTAAATAAACATGAAAATACATACATAACATGTAACTTTCACTGTAGCAGTGACATTGCTGGGTTAAGCCTAGCTCTGTAGTATGACCTTGATTGTTTTATTTAACCATTCTAAATCTCAGTTTCTTCCTTTCTATTTCAGAGATGGCTCAGAGGCCTGCGAGGCAAGGAGATAACCAAAAGGAGGGGCTCTAGTCCTAGACCTCTACTTCAACCAGAGAATTTCAAACCAAAACTTCTCATCTTTTATATCCTGGATGATTTTGTTTGAAGGAAAGGGTTTAAAACACTGCTAAGAAGCACTCAGATAAGTAGCAACAATAATACATATGCAATTAAAATATAAATGGGCACTAAAGTAACAACAATTTTCAGCATCATTTATTAAAACATCTGGAACGTTTATGTACCTGAACTACTACAACTGATTTCAAAAAAGACTTAAACCAGGTAAAGGAAAACCTAAAAATTTAGTTTTATAGAAGTCTTAAAACTGTGTGGAGATCTCTCTACATAAATAAATAGGACAAGCTCAACAAATTTCACTTCATTAAGCATTTATTGAACTACTAATATATCTGTCACTAAAACTTCAACTTTCTCTGAAATTATAAGCATTATAATAAGATGCCTGCATGAGAAAAGACTCCATTCTCCCAAACTCAGAAAGTCAATGAATTTTGGGTTTATTTATGGAAAAATGGATAAATGACAGACAGATATATAGGACAAGTAGAACTTTCTCCTTAAGAAATCAATGTGCGGGATCCCTGGGTGGCGCAGCGGTTTGGCGCCTGCCTTTGGCCCAGGGCGCGATCCTGGAGACCCAGGATCGAATCCCACGTCAGGCTCCCGGTGCATGGAGCCTGCTTCTCCCTCTGCCTGTGTCTCTGCCTCTCTCTCTCTCTCTGTGTGTGTGTGACTATCATAAATAAAAAAAAAAAAAGAAATCAATGTGCTTTTCAAACGTGTCATCTCCTTTTACCCCAAACAAACAAAATAAAATGTTTTCTAAGTAAAGAAATCAAGGCTCAGAGATGAACAGTTATTTGTAGACCAAGAACAAGCACTCTGAAGGACCCAGGCCTACCTTCTCACAAGATCCCATGCTGTCCACTCAATTTTAGTTGTGGAGTACTTACTAAAACTTTACTTTTTTTTAAATAAATTTATTTTTTATTGGTGTCCAATTTACCAACATACAGAATAACACCCAGTGCTCATCCCGTCAAGTGCCCCCCTCAGTGCCCGTCACCCATTCACCCCCACCCCCCGCCCTCCTCCCCTTCCACCACCCCTAGTTCGTTTCCCAGAGTTAGGAGTCTTTATGTTCTGTCTCCCTTTCTGATATTTCCCATACAGTTCTTCTCTCTTCCCTTATATTCCCTTATATATATAAGTTCCCTTATATATATATATAATATATATATATAATAAATAAATATTATTTATATTCCCCAAATGAATGAGAACATATAATGCTAAAATTTTACTTTGTATGGCCATAATCATTCCAATAAAAATACTTTCTTCAACCACATGGAAAGCTCAAACCAAGCTCTATTAAGAAGTTTTGAAAATTACAGCTTATTAGTGTTACCTCTGTGATAACACACGAAGCTATAATAAATTTATTGTATATTCTTTCAAATGTTCTATTTCAATTTTTTAAAGTTTTAAAGTTGCAAATTAGAAAAAAAAAGTATATTAAAACCAATGCATTTATAGTGCTGATCACTCATTCAAAAAAAAAAAAATCCCAATCATGAAATGGGCAAAAGACATGAACAGAAATTTCACAGATATGGCCAACAAGCACATGAGAAAATGCTCCACATCACTGGCCATCAGGGAAACACAAATCAAAAACACAATGAGATACCACCTCACACCAGTGAGAATGGTGAAAATTAACAAGACAGGAAACAACAAATGTTGGAGAGGATGTGGAGAAAGAGGAACCCTCTTGCACTGTTGGTGGGAATGTGAACTGGTGCAGCCACTCTGGAAAACTGTGTGAAGGTTCCTCAAAGAGTTAAAAATAGAAATGCCCTACGACCCAGCAATTGCACTGCTGGGGATTTACCCCAAATATACAGATGGAGTGAAATGCCAGAACATCTGCACCCCAATGTTTATACCAGCAATGTCCACAATATCCAAACTGTGGAAGGAGGCTTGGTGTCCATCGAAAGATGAATGGATAAGGAAGATGTGGTCTATGTATACAACAGAATATTACTCAGCCATTAGAAACGACAAATACCCACCATTTGCTTCAACGTGGATGGAACTGGAGGGTATTATGCTGAGTGAAATAAGTCAATCGGAGAAGGACAAATATTATATGGTCTCATTCATTTGGGGAATATAAAAATTAGTGAAAAATAAATAAATAAATAAATAAATAAATAAATAAATAAATAAAAATTAGTGAAAGGGAATAAAGGGGAAAGGAGTGAAAATATCAGTGAGGGTAACAAAACATGAAACACCTAACTCTGGGAAACGAACAAGGGGTAGTGGAAAGGGAGGTGGGCGGGGGGTTGGGGTGACTAGGTGACGGGCACTTAGGGGGACACTTGGCAGGATGAGCACTGGGTGTTATGCTATATGTTGGCAAATTGAACTCCCAATAAAAAAAGAAAAATTATATTGAGTACCTGACTGCTGGGTACTATCCCAGGACGTGGAATTCCCAAAATAAACAGGAAACTGTAGTATCAGTTCCTTCTGAGGATAACTCTTCTTTTTATAATAACCCCATGCCTCATATTCAAAAGCCAATTAAAAATGTTTATGCTTTTAATTAAATGCAGAAGCACTATGTATACTGGATGGTTCTTATCAGAATCATTACAGATTTCTATTCCCAGTCCCCATCTCAGACCTGCCGTCTCAATATCTGAGAGGTACATGCATCTGTATTTTTATAAGGCTCTTCATGTGCTTCTGATGCACATTCTCAGGCTAACAAACACTGATGTAAACAAGTCACTGCAATGCAGTATTAGCCCTTTAAAAATGGTATGAACAGGAACAGCTGGGTGGCTCAGTCAGTTAAGCATCTGCCTTTGGCTCAGGTCATGATCCTAGGGTCCTGGGTTTGAGCCCCATCTTGGGCTCTTTCTTTCAAATAAATAAAAAAAGAAATCCTTTTTAGAAATGGTATGAACAGAAATACCATCAAAAAAAGGAAAAGCTGGGACGCCTGGGTGGCTCAGCGGTTTGGCGCCTGCCTTTGGCCCAGGGCGTGATCCTGGAGACCTGGGATCGGGTCCCACGTCGGGCTCCCTGAGTGGAGCCTGCTTCTCCCTCTGCCTGTGTCTCTGCCTCTCCCTCTCTCTGTGTGTCTCTCATGAATAAATAAATAAAATCTTTAAAAAAAAAAAAGGAAAAGCCAACTCTATGGAAATTCTTACAGAATTAGTGATATTTGAACTAGAATGTGCAGAGAGAGGTCTCCACATGGAAAGGAAGAATGATGAACTCTCAGATCATTATTTAAGAACTAAAACTGTTACAATGTAATGAGCTATTGCAATTACCAATGAATATTAGCTTCGGAATCCAAGGGATAAAGACCATGGGATGTGTGCTGGCTTTATTACAGATACCTGAATATCTATTTGTTGTTGTTGTAATTTTTCAAGATGCCTAAGGTGCTGCTCCATTACCACATTCATTTGCCTTTCATGATCATGACAATGTAGTTTCTCATGTTTATTCTGAATGCTTGTTTGCCGCTCTGTAACACGTTGTAACTGTTTATCAGTCTCCTGTAACTTATTGAGTAATTCTGTAACAGAATTGACTTTTGCTTCCAAATCACTCTGTACCTAAAACAATAAAATATCAACACATCAAAAATATGCTCAATTCACTGGGTGTTATTCTATATGTTGGCAAATTGAACACCAATAAAAAATAAATTTATAAAAAATATGCTCAATTACTAGGAAAGTTGTTCAAAGTGACCGATAATAAAAATGATCATCTAGAGTTTTATTCTCTAAATCTCTGATGATTTTATACTTCTATTTTTAGAATCACAGAAATAAAAAGCCGAAGATAAGTTATCCTAAAGTAGATCTTTTCTCTCATTAATAACACATTTGCAACAAAGAACTGCTACAATGCCAAAAATAAAATAATTAAATGGTAATTAAAAAGAAGTAAATAACAAAACAAATTAGCCTTTGATACTCTGCTAATCTCAGACTGAATTAGGTCAGCATCCGGGAGTCCCATCTTAGCTCCGCCACCTATTAGCTCTGGACCTGCCCCTACTCTGACCCTGTTTCTCAGTTTTCCATTTGCCAACTGAGAGGGGTGGCAGAGATGATCTCTGAGTTCCTTTTTAGTTCTAATGTAAGGGTGACCAGTTGTCCCAGGTTGCCCACAACTTGGGAGCTCTCTGGATGTGATGGTTTCAGTGCTGGACCCAGTCATTCCTAGATTTGCCAGCATTATCACAGCAAGGAGGGGGTACATCTCAACTCCGGAGAGGTAATATATAACCACAAACAGGAAAATTTTTTCAAATTAAGAGTGACTAGAATGATCCTATTCAATGGTGGGATATGACCATTTAGGGACTTGTTCCTAATAAATACTTTTACATTTTACAAAGAAGCTGTGAATATCTAGGAAAAAAATATACTTTTATCAGTGGGGCTGCTGTAGCAATGGCAGCTGCTGTTGCTGCAGCCACAGTTGTAGCTGAATCAATTCCACTGGGTGAAGTTCTCATTTCCTGAGTAGCAGCATCTTTTTCTGTGCCTGCATCTTCCAAAAGCTGTACCTTTACTTCTTTAAAAACAGGCATGTTTTGAGCCCTGTAAATAAAAAGAATACAAATATATTCAGTAAGCCACATTGAGCCATTTCAAGAAGCACTTGTAGTGGTAATCTGCTGAAGGTGGGTTTTCTTGATTTTTTTTAAAAAATTAAATCACTTGGTTTTCCATATCAGGATCTTATCAGTCATTTGGCTAATGAAATCTATGAAAGGTCATTAAACACTAAAGAAATAAGAAGATAATTCCTGGAAGGTTATGATATCTCAGAAATAAGACTTGCACATAGAAAAAGACATTGTTACACAATTACAAAGATATATAATCAGGAAGTATAAATGCAAAACATGCAGAAAAGTTTCTAGGGATGCCTGGGTGGCTCAGTGGTTGGGTGCCTGCCTTCAGCTCAAGATGTGATCCTGGAGTCCTGCGATCGGGTCCCACACTGGGCTCCCTGCATAGAGCCTGCTTCTCTCTCTGCCTGTGTCTCTGCTTCTCTCTCTGTGTGTGTCTCTCATGAATAGATAAAATCTTAAAAAAAAAAAAGGTTCTAAGAATGCAAGTACCAAGTTTTACTTCCAAAGGAATACAACCCAAGAGAAACTGTTACAATTGCTAAACAACTGTTTAATTCTCATTTAAATATTTATTAACAAATGTCAGTTTGTTAAAAGAGAGCATCAAACACAGATTAAAGCAGCCTGAATTAAAAATGAGAGCAAATACAAACATATTCACAATGAAGGATCTAATTAAAGAAATATTAAGAAAAAACTCAATTTTGTAAAACAAAACAAAAAAACACAATAAAAGGAATGACCAACAAAACTGCAGAGTCCCTAGGTAAGTCTAAGTAAGATCAGAAGACCCAGAGCAGCTCTTAAACTTACTCCTCTTCCATATTTCCTCATTTCTAAGAGCATCATTTCTCTGTGTCTCAAAATTTTGAAGTTATCTTGACTCTTAACTTCTCCATTCTCCTCTTACCTTCTCATACCTGAGTTATCAAGTTTTGTCAATTATTTCATCACAATTGCAGGAATGGTGTCACAGAACTACGAGGCAAGGGGGAACTGAAGAGGTCACCTATCCTAACTTCCTAATTTGACAGATGAAGAAATTGAGGTCCACAGAGGTAACAGGATTTACTTGACCAAAAGTCACAGAACCAGTAAGGCAGAGTTGGCTTATTATTCCTACAGATGGTCCCAAAACACCTAGCTCTCTCAGGATAGTATGTCTACCTTCATGCTTCTCCCTCTGGTAAAAAAACAAAAACAAAAACAAAAACAAACTTCAACATCTCTTGCCAACTATTTCATTCTTGAAGATTTTACTCATTTAGAAACTTCCCAAACACATTTCTCCACCGTTTAGAAATCTAAAATTGTTCCATAGTGATAAGTGAATAGGCTAATGTCTTGTTTGACAGTTGACATGCACCATCCTGTCACTGCCCTAGCTTCCTATATATACCTATTACTTCACACACAACCTCTCGAATCACACTGCTGAACACATTACTTTGACCAGCAAGAGAAAATAACATTATAAGACCAAACCTCAACTTCTTTATAGGCTTTTAAATTTTATTTTTTTTTCTAATTGTCACATCAAATGCTCAATGTAACTAATGTAAATAGCTTCTAAGTGTTAAGAAATGGGAAAATACACAACTTTCTCGTTCAGAAGAAATTATTTCTTCTTCTTTTTTTTTTTTTTTAGAATTTTATCTTATTCCTAAATCCTCTGAATCTGGCATCTATACCAATACTGTGCAGAAACCGCCCTCACCAAGGCCAGTAATAGTTTTGGCTTATTTCAATGGATACTTTGAGTCCTTACCTTTCTTTATCTCTGCTTTGCCCTCTCATCAAGTCCCTTCAACTGTTCCCAGATCAGGCTACCATTTATACGCTACTTCTATCATCTAGAAGAAGCCTAGCTTAGACTTTTCATTAATTTGATCTTTATATTCAATTTCCTATTGGATACTTTTACCTGGATACCTCATAGAGATACTTCAAACCCCCGCATATGTCCAAAATGAAATTTATCCCCTCAAGAATTCTTTCCCAAAGATTTCCTTTCTCAGTTACTACTACTGACCATGCATTTATATAGCCAAAAATCTGGGATTCATCCTTAGCTCCCTTTTTTTTTTTTAAGATTTTATTTATTTATTTATGAGAGACACACACAGAGAGAGAGAGAGAGAGAGGCAGAGACACAGGCAGAGGGAAAAGCAGGCTCCATGCAGGGAGCCTGACGTGGGATTCGATCCCGGGTCTCCAGGATCACACCCCCTGGGCTGAAGGCGGCACTAAACCGCTGAGCCACCTGGGCTGCCCCTTAGCTCCTTCTTTACTCTCAGATCTAATCATCAATTTCTGTCCATTCTATGTCTATCTTCCAATCAGTTACTCCTCTCCAAACCAGCAATGATTCTGCCCTCATTCTACCACCCTCCCATGTACTGAGGACCAACTGAATCCCTCTCAAAGAGATTACCCCCAAATTCGTAGCCAGTTGGGTTCCTAAACTACAGTCCAGTGCTCTTCCAATTCAACTTTTGATACTTATTATCTGAATGAGCCTTTTTAGAAATATATATCATACTTTAATATTTTCAGATGATTTGCCACTTCTCTCCTTTAAAGAAGTTTATAACCTACCCCTTCCTTGCTCTCTATCCACCTGTAAGACATTCTACCCGGTTCTAGACACTTTGGCCAGATTCTTCATTACTCAAAGACTCTGGCCTATTACTTTTTATTAGTATAGCTTCAGAGCATATTATATCAAATAGAGCAAATTCTTCATCATTACAGTTTTTTCCCCAAATTAGCTATTCTCAACTATGTGTATTCTATAGTATGTATTCTTAACATCAGGTATACATATTCTCAACCATATGTCCTTCCAGGTAAATTTTAGAATGACTTTGCCAAATTCCATCTACCATTCTCTAAAATTAATAAATTTAAGTGACATTGACTACAGCAAAGTCTATTTCTTGAGACATAGACTGTCTTTTAACCCAACATGAGAGTCATTTTTATGTTTCTGACTCAATTATTCTCTACATTGAAAACACCTTCTCAAGACTCTTCCTAGTTTGTTTTGTTTGTTTTTAATTCTGTTCATTCATCCTGAAATGGGAAAAGATCTACTGTCTAAGAGGGGTAGTGCTCAGTTATCTCTCATTGTCCATTAGTTTATGAACTTCTCCCTTCCTGATCTGAGAGTTCTAAGAGGTCTCAGAGATTTCCAGTTAGAGAGTTCTGACTTGAAGGCAAGTTGGTAGGGCCCCTACTCTAGGTCTGCTGCATGGAAGTGGTATTCACTTTCTGTCCAAATGAGGCAGATATGATCTGCAATTTCTGGTTCAACTGCAGAATTTGAGAGACTGCACCACTTTTCATGCCCTTCTTTTCACTTTCTCATATATTTATAAGCCCCAGAATACAATTTACCATCAAAATTCCTCTCCTAACCACCATATTACATACTGGGAATTGTAGACTGAACAAAGATAAAAAGGAAAAATATGATGAGCCCAGAAACCAGCTCGTAAACTCTGGCTGGCTCAGACCACACCCCTGTGGTTTAGAGATAGTATTTATTTTTGTTAGTACAGTGTTTCCCAGAGTGTAATATGTTTGCCACAGATAACCATAGATGGAAAAATAATATTTTTTTATTTTAAATTGCATATTTATTTATTATTTTTTAATTTTTATTTATTTATGATAGTCACACACAGAGAGAGAGAGGCAGAGACATAGGCAGAGGGAGAAGCAGGCTCCATGCACCGGGAGCCCGACGTGGGATTCGATCCCGGGTCTCCAGGATCGCGCCCTGGGCCAAAGGCAGGCGCTAAACTGCTGCGCCACCCAGGGATCCCGCATATTTATTTTAATTGCATTATTTTTATTTATTTATTTATTTTTTTTTTTATAATTTTTATTTTATTTAATTTTGATAGGCACACAGAGAGAGAGAGAGGCAGAGACATAGGCAGAGGGAGAAGCAGGCTCCATGCACCGGGAGCCCGACGTGGGATTCGATCCTGGGTCTCCAGGATCGCGCCCTGAGCCAAAGGCAGGCGCTAAACCGCTGCGCCACCCAGGGATCCCTAATTGCATTATTTTTAAAAGCGATTTTCCATTCACTGAAGTAATATAAAATGGCCCCTTTGAATAAAATCAGAGTTCAAAATTATGTAAAAATTTAACTCATTTTCTAAGGGCCTTTCCAGACTACTCTAGTTCAGAAGTAGAATACATTTAGCCTAAGAATATGTGTCTCATCCTATCTCTGCTAATGATAAAAATAATACAAATTGCCTCCAGAGTAGTGGAGACATATGCTCATTATGGTGCTATTGTTAGGGTTAGTTTTGTATTCACTGGTATTCAAGATAAACTTGGAAGGGACCACTTAGAGCAGCAGCTATCCTCTCCCTTCGCTCCATTCAGATGCTAACCTTGTCCCTTTCTTAAATCTTGGCCAGGAAAGATGTCCTAAATGTCCTTGGATAGTAAATAATAAGTATTATGTATCTGGAACTACTTGAGCATTGCTGCAAGTAGTATAGTGAAGTTATTAAGAGAGCAAACTCTAAAAGGCAGACTAGTCTAAATCCCAGCCAAGTGAAAACGTGCTAAATGACCTTGAGAAAATCAATCTCTGTGTGCCTCAGTTTCCTCATCTATAAAATGGGGATTCTGTAAAATTGGGATGTGATAGAATCGACTTCATTGGATTTTGTGAGTATTAAAAGAGTTAATGCATATAAAGTCCTGAGAATAATTGTCAACAGCTATTTATTTTATACATGTTCAGCACTATGAAAAATGTTTCAAACATATTTCACACATTGAAAATTTATCCTACGTTCAAAGTATAAGTGAAGCTAATTTTAGAGAATCATATAGAAATAGAAGAAATGGCCCACCTATTTTCTGTAAATGGAACTTACTTTTGCTTTAAAACTGCTCTTAGAGCATCCTTCTGTCCCATGGTATACCGAGAAATAAAGATGTCATTTGCTGCAAAATTGAGAAACAAAATATATTTCAGATTCCTAAAAATTTGTTAAATTTTGGTAAGCTATCCCAAAACAGCTTTTTTAAATTAAGAGAATATTTAGGAATTCAGTAATAAGATTTCTCAATTTAATAAAATGCAAGGAACTGGAGCACCTGCGTGGCTCAATGACCTAAGTGTCCAACTCTTGATTTCAGCTCAGGTCATAATCTCAGGGTCATGAGATTGAGCCATGTGACAGGCTCTGCTCTAGGTGAAGAGCCTGCTTAAGGTTCTCTCTCTCTCCCTCTTCCTCCTCCCTCCCCTCTTTTCCCTGTCTTAAAAAAAAGTGCAAGGAACAAATTAAATGACCGAATAATATGAGTCATAACCCTAGACTTTAGAGAAAAAAATTTATCGAAAAACACCTGAGGCTGAGAGACATTTTGCTTAAACTCAAAAGAGAAAACTGCTTAGATAAAAATAAAATTACATTTAAGAAAAATCACTAAATTTCCTCAAAGCATATTTTTAATCTATTATCTTACCAATGACTACTCAAAACTTGAATTCAGAGATTATAAATTTTTTTATAAATATTTAATACCAAACCTATGGAACAGTTTAGAAATTATAAAATTACCTTTACAATTACAAATCTTTTTCCAGATTTTAAAGATTCCATTAATAGCTTAATTTGGAAGGAAAAGTTAATTCAAATGAAATAATCAAAATAAGAAAAAAAACTGTAAGCCCGTGTAATGAAAGTCTTTAAAAAAAAAATGAATGTCTTAAAATCTAAAGATCTAAAATTCTATCCCTACAACAAAATCCTGACATATAAAACATAGATGAGCCATGAAGACATGCTAAGTGAAATAAGTCAATCATAAAACTAGACTTGGGAAATGGAGAGTAAGTGTTTAAGGAGTACAGAGTTTCAAATGAGGAAAATGAAAAAGGTCTAGAAATGGATGATGGTGATAATTGCATTAATGTGAATGTACCTAATGCCACAGAACTTAAGACTTAAAAAATATGGTAAAAAAATGCAAATCTATTCTTTTACCTTTTTGTCTGTTGCTCTCTTCCAGTTTATCCAGAGGCAACTCTTGCATTGCAACATCTTTAGAAAAATCCTTTGAGATATGAAAGGAAAAATGAAAGACTAAAAAAAAAAAAACCAAACCTTTATGATTTATTACTTACCAAGTACCATGTGCGGCTATGTGACTACTGTGTTCCAGGAGGGCAGGATTGTGTGCTTTTAGATTCTTCATTTCCAGAACCACCATAATGTTTAGGTACCTTGAAGGTACTCAAGATTTTGTTGAATGAGTAAATGAACAAGCAAGCGACCAGTGGCCCTGAAATTCAGATTCAAACCTCAATTTGCCATGTCTAGTAGCCTGACTCATATAACAATTTAGCTGCTACAGTTTAATGTGAAAATCTGATTCATTTTGAGTCAAACAGAGTGCATAAGATGGCCAACAGTGACACAACATCACAAATTAATCACAGCACTCTTTATCCCTGAGCTTGTAATGTAGTCTCAGGAGGCTTCTCAATGAGTAAATAGCTTTCTGCTCACATGTGCAACCCTAGACTTCATTTCTAAGATTCTATCAGTGCCGAGACACCATGACTTCTTAAGTACTAGGTTCATTCAGTGTTGCTCTTCACCTTCCTTAGACACATCTTTTTTTGCCTTCTAAATTAGAAAAGAGTAAAGAGAAAATCATAAGAGGAAGGTGATCAGGCTATCCCCTGACAAACAAGTGTTAACTTCCTGCAAACCATGAGTGAGACTAACAATGCAACAAAATGCATCTGGGACATTAATACAAAGACCTCCTACAAATGAGTAAGAAAAAGTACAGCATGAAAATATGTAATACACAAAAGAATAAGGATGGCAATATACATGGAAAAATAATTATTATTAATAATAAGGGTATTAATAAAAATACAAAATAAAATGAGATGCATTTTTTACCTATCAAAATGGCAAAAAGTTTTTTTTTTTTTTTTTTTTTTTGTCTAATTCTAGTAATGCCTGTATTGGTAAAACTAGGGAAAAATAATACCACTAATTCCACTCAGGAGCTTGTTGAAGAATGTATACTGATACAGTCTTTCCAGAGACAATTTATATAATAGTATATCCATCTGGGAAATTATTTAGATAATGGAATTCAAACACCATTAATCATTAAATAAGAACTACTCAAAAAAGAAACAAAAAACCAACTCAAAGACCACACATTTATGCAGGGACCAATTATGGCACATAACTATACATTTTTATTTTAAATTTTTTACAGAGTTGATCAGTAAACAGTTTCAATTTCATTCTTAGTTTACCAGTTTCAATTTTCAAGATAATATATTGTGAAACTCTCTTCTTTAAAGACTTGTTAAATTGACAATCTATAGTCAACATTATGATTAGTGATCAAAATCTATTTAGACTGGATGAACAAAATACACTTATCATCAAATATTTTCAATATTATAAAGGTCAAGATGAGAATTTCATGTTATTATTTCTTAAAGACCTCTCAAAAAACTATACAAGGGATCCCTGGGTGGCTCAGCAGTTTAGCGCCTGCCTTTGGCCCAGGGCACGATCCTGCAGTCCCGGGATCGAGTCCCACGTTGGGCTCCCGGCATGGAGCCTGCTTCTCCCTCCTCCTGTGTCTCTGCCTCTCTCTCTCTATGTCTATCATAAATAAATCTTAAAAAAAAAAAACTACACAAAAGACCTCACTTTAGTTTGAATGACATGTAATCACACCTCACTTTTTAAAAATGATGTTGTTACTTGTTCTTTATCTTTACTGAACAGTATATTGAGTCTGGTCTAGAACACCATTTTCTTAGATAAGAGCAGAGCTTCTTTTCAGTTACAATATTTCTGTCAGTGACATCTTAGTAATGAGTATTTTTTATTCTATGGAAGACTTTTTGTTTATTGTCTCAAATACAGTCACAATTGTATTTCTCTTGGTAAGTGAAATTTAAGCAAAAACAAAGCCTGTTGCTCATCAAACCTGACTTAAGAACACATTACTCAACAATACTGAAAAGTTTAAAATGAATGTAATTAAGAATTCTTTTGCTTACACTTTCTGACACAGTAGAAATTTCTAATGGAGGCTGTTGATAATTTCTAGCAGAAGTCAAGTCTGATGAACCTAACAAAACAAAGGAATCAATTTTAGTGATTTTAAAATCAGAACCATATCTTTAGAAACCGTACAGGCATGATTCAAGAACTATAAACTCCATATTAATGCAAAATCTAAACTGGAAAGCCACTTTTCATGCAGTAAACTTAAACTGTAATTAAAATATATCCTGATGAAGGTTTTGCAGCTGATAACTTTGGAAAATAAGGATCAGAACTGACAATCAAGTGAGATAATTGTCTTAAAATATACCATTACAATGTCGGATTTGGACAAACTATGGGTAGAATCATTTGCCAGGAATAAAAATATGTACATACTATAAAAGCAGGCCTTTAGTATGCTGCATCTCCCCCAAAGCACATAAGCATTTTTTTTTGTTTTTGCACATATATTCATTAATTTGATCTTTATGATTATCACTGAAATGGGAAAAGCATATGTTTTCTTCATTTTCACTGAACTCCAGACAGGTTAAGTGAATTGAAACATGGAAAGTCATCAAAAGGCAGAAGTTGTGTTGTTCTACTACGCCAAACTGAATAATACTATCCAAACAGAAGGTAGAGTATTGGGTAAAAAGCCCTACCCATGAACAATAAACACATCATATTACTTAAGTGCGTCCACCATAGATGTGAACGAGAACAATGCGCAAAAACCACACAAGGAAAAAACACAGTAGAAGTGTTTCATTCATTCCGCCTATTGGATAGGATTCCATTCGACTGACTCTGCTAGCCATGTTCCCAGGGAAAGGGGTTAGCTTTCAAACACCTATACAATCTAGACGTATCATATGTTTGAGAATTTAAACGTTAAAAATCCTCTATAAATTTCGAAACTCACACACACACACACACACACAAAATGAAATGAAAATAAAGATCTACAAAAGCGAAAGCCATTCGGAGTCACATACCACGTAACGTTCCAGTCAAGCTAGCCTCGGTTCTAAGAGGAAGACGTTTATTTGCAGACAACGCTGGAGGAACACGGGGCAACTCCTCTTTCGGCAAAGCCAAATTCTCTCCCTGATTTGGAGAAACTACCTCACGAAGCCTCCTCGCTGGTATTTTAACCCTTCTTTTCTTTTCCGGGCTAAACTCAGTGCCTTTCATATTACGGGTAACAAAACTAGTCCCACAATTATGAATGGGAGAATTTCTGCTGGGTCCATAAAACTTCGGAACAAAATTTTCACCACTTTGAGGACTTGGGCGGGGGGACGGGAGGTAAGGAACGAGGGAGGAGTATGATAAAGGGGAATTTTAAGTGATTTCACAACATGCAGTCATCAACCTTTAAATAAAACAATGTCTAAGATTATCCGCAGAGCTAGAAATTCCCATTTGGTATTTAATCCAGAATTAGAGACCACTGGAACATCATATCTACCCATTAATCCTACTCAGTCCATGAAGGCACACGCCAATGAGTCGGAGAGTGAGGATGACAAGAGAATGGCCGCATGAGCAATAATGACCCTAACAATGCAGAGCACTTTCCAAGCAAAGAGCTGGCAGTGCAAGACCAAACAGATGTGGAGGCGGAGTTAAGATCTATTGAGAAGCAGGAATCAAGCAAGTAAAACTGACAATGCTTTTTTTTTTTTAATCACCCATATATGAAGCTTAATAGCTTTCTTCGGCCGCAGAGTCTTACACACGCCTCCAGGTGCAACCTCGGACACCTAAATTCACCCCTCTTCGTCTCCCGAGCGCTCGGCAACCCCGCAGTCGCACCTAAACCCGGACAACAGCTTCAGTTGCCCACGAGGCAACACCCACTTCCCTTTAAGCCGGCCCTTGAGACACAATACGCATGCGCGCCAAGAAAACTCTCATCCAAAACATCCAACCAAAAAGCTGAACGCTCTCCGGTGCACCTGCATCCCTCTCCGGGTGGAAACAAACTCCCAACGTAGAAGGTTTAAAACGCGCGAATTTTTTTTTTTTTTAAGCAGTACATTGCCACCACAAGACTTAAACATTGAATAAAACCAGAGATTCTCATCGAAGGTTCGCACAGGTCCCGACCTAACCGGTAATACTATCTCTGTTGATTAGGGACTGTTTACAGAGTAGCTCCGAAGACCGTTAGGGACAGGAAATTAAGTAAATTAGTTTGGCAGAACATCTCGACAGATTCGGGTGGTTGTTGGCGTGGAAGTCAGGAATAAAGAGCACTGACTGAGCATATAACTACAAAATTTAATCCATAGAGAACTTTAGAATCCATTGGAGATAGGGGCTATTCCTGCGGAGTGCCCAGCATTATAACGAATCCGCGTCTCCCAGTCTAAGGGCTATTTGACATCGCCTCTCCCACGTGCTCTCTTCCATCCAGCGGCTGCGGCGCACGCCCTGACCCAGACCTTCCGCCCCTAGGCTCGACTGGCAGCGCAGCCCCCCAGCCTCGCACTGGTGTCCGATGCGAGAGCCTGTGCTTAAGTATGGTCTCTTTTCTCTGCCTTTAGAGTCCCGGGTTCCCAGGCGGGGGGCAGCAGGCTTCGCTCCGGAAAGGTGGGATCTTCGGAGGAGGCCGCCGCGTGTACGTGGCGCGGTGGGTGCTGGGGGGTCGCGGAGACCCGCAGCGCGTCCCCCGAGCGGGTGTGGGAGCTGCCCCGGGCCCGGCACACTGGGACGAGGGTCCGAATTGGACGCTCTGAGCCACTCCCAAACCGGGTTTGGGGAGTCGGGGTCTTGTTTTGGAATAATGAGTTAGATTGAAAAGCATCCACGCGGTGACCTTGAGCTGACAAGCGGGAGACCCTCTAACAAAAAAATCTCGGGGTAGAATACCGTGGCCCAGGACCCCTTCTCTGGGTGGCTAATTTAGGAGGACGTACTATTTAGACGTTTCCCTTTACGCATTACTAAATATTTTTTAAAAGATGAAAGCAAAAATTATAATCTGCTGTAAAAGTTAAATAAGAGTGTCTTTATTGTTACATCTCATCTAACTCCTTTCATATAAAAAAAATCATAGAATAAAAGGGACATTAAGGGCTCAGCTTTGGAGAACCTTTTAATTATTCTTGATATATTTCCGTAATTAATCATTATTTTTTATGTCAGTTAAATTTCACTCTTCATTATTGGTCTCTTAGGTACCTGTTCACAATTTGTTTTATAATGCGGCAAATTAAAAGATATGACGATGTCAGAGACTTTGAAGATGACTTAACCCCCTTATATTCTAGGTGGAACTTAAATATGAAAGAAAAAGTGACCTTTCCTCTGTAGTCTCTAAGGTGTGAGCATAGGCATAGAAACTAATTAAAATGATTTGAATAAATGATTTGATTTGGATCTTAGAAACCCCCTTCATATCAGACCTGGGGGTAAAACCCAAGTAGTCTTGCCCCCATCTAGTCCAATGTTCATAGGCTCGTCCTTCAGGCCTGGAAGCCATGACCAGAAAGCAGTAATCTTTCAAAAGTATTTTTTGCTCTGATTAGTAGTAAGTTGAGTTGGGGTTGCCAGTTAATCAGTCACAACTCCTAAACCTGCCACAAATAATCTGAAGTAAAGGGACATGTAGCAGAGTCCTATTTTATATCAATCAGACAAGTTCAGATCAATTTGGACATCTGACCTATCAAAGACACTGATAGCCCTGAAACAAAAACATGGCTCACAAGATTTTCTCTCATTTCTTTTGCACTATTGTTAACATGTTTACTTACATGCTTCCTCTTTCCCACTGTCATATATCCATCCATCCATACATAAATAGATACACATTTTTTGCTGACTGGTTTGCAAGTAAGTTTCAAACATGACCTTTAACCCTAATTTCTTCAGCTTGTATAGCCTTAACAACAATCTATTACATAGGCACAGTAAGATTATCACACTTAATAAGGTAACATATTCAGATTTCTCCAATTATCCCAAAAATCTTTATTTTTAACTCAGAAAAAAAATTTTTTTTAATTCAAGGTCCAAAGTTCACACATTATTTAGTTGTCAATGACTCTTTAGTCACTTAATCTAGAACAGCTTTCTACCTCTTTTCTTTATGACCAGCTTTTTAAAGAGACGTGTAGCTGTGTTACAGATTGTCCCACATTGTGGATTTTCCTAATTATTACCTCATAATCAGACCTGGATCAAATATTTTTGGCAAGAATACTACATAGTTGATATTTTATCTTTATTGGCTATGATGGTGACTGCCAGATCTTTCCAGTATAAAGGGACTGTTTTCCTTCAGTGATAAGTAACCTATGGATTACTTTGAAACCCTGGATATATCCTATTTCCCAATTACCTGTACACAGTAGTTTTATCATCCATTCTTGCCTGAATCACAAGATTACCAATTACCAGTACCAGTCATGCAGAGACTAGGGTCAGTTATCATGATCATGGGCAAGGACATTAGAAGAATCATTTATTGTAAACTAAGTTTGAACCAAATTAGAAATTTGCTTCCAGACCTGGTACAAATCTGCATAGGATTCCAAAAAAGAAATGGAGGGCATCCCCCCTATCACATCCTGGTTAGTTTGGTTGTTTTCAGAAATTTCTGGGAATTACTGTCCTTTTATGTTCACTGGAAAGATTAGGAGGTTAAGTACTTGATACATGTAACACGTATGCTAAGGAATTGTAACCTCAGAATAGATTGAGGAAACTTTCACTTATGGAAAACAGTTTAGCCGACAGAAGTTTAGATTTCATCAAACAGACTTAGAGCTTGAAGAGGCCTCAGCCATATTGTAATCCCCTCATTTTTCAGGTAAGACATCAAGCCTTATTGGAGATATTCAAGCAAAGATTGGACAACAAATTTTCCGGAACAAAAGGAAACTCATGCATCAGAAAAGGTTTGAATTGATGGCTGATAAGAACTCTCTTAACTCTTAAGTTCCCTGGTTTTATTATATATTTTGTCTGACACAAAAATAACTTAGCATTGTAATCATTCCCAAGACCTAAGCCAGAGATTCTAGAACTCTTTTATCCCGTTCTTCCCTCTCTAGGTTTCAGGGATCTAACCATAAGGTAACCTCTAATTGGATATTTGCTTCTGTAATAACAGTTGCTGTAATAGCTGAAAACTAGGACTAAATCACAGGGTAGCCACAATGCTTCTACCTGTTTTCAACATCAGGTGGTCTATGTGGCTGTTGGACTTTGTCGGTCAGCCTAATATAGTATTAAATAACTGCAAAATAGAATATCTTAAGACTTAGAAGACCCCAAACTAGCAAGTAAATATGAAAATCATTCACTCCTTTATCTCCAATATTTTTTAGGAACAAGTGCCTATAATTAAGTGCCTATAATTACCATAAGCCTGATACTGGTGACTACAGAGAATTTGGAGAGACTTAGCCAGGCTTGAGAAAACTGATTGTTAGCTCCTAGTTCAGTTTGTAGGTCTGGGAAGATAGTTGAGAAAATAAAGTATATAATTGAAACTCTAGAAAAAAAGGAAACCATAATGTTAACATAGGAGTGTTGGGTAGTAGAACTATTTCTCTTTTATTTTCCAAATTCTCAAGAAATAGTTTACTCATAATATGATAAACTCTATTTAAAGGAGGAGATACTGTATATTAAAAACTATACCAAGAAAATAATTTTTTTAGAGATTTTATTCATTTATTTGAGAGAGTGAGCGAGAAAGAGACCATGTGTGCGAGTGTAGGGGCAGAGGAAGAGGGTAAGAGAGAGAAGCTGAAGCAGACTCTGCTATCAGCACGGAGCCAGACATGGGGCTCAATACCATGACCCTGAGATCACAACCTGAACCAAAATCAAGAATCTGACACTCAAACTGACTGAGATACCCAGGTGCCCCCCAAAATAGTAATTTTGAAATAAAATTCATACCAAGAGCATTTGGGGCACTCCTCATCTATGTGTTGTCAAAGACTTCCAAATAACAACCATCATTTGTCACCGTGAGTTATATACTAAGGGGTAGGTGGGATAGAGTCAGCATAGTATTACCAGTCTCTGAAAGTTTTTTTTTTTTTTTAAGGAATGAAGTAATTTTTTTAAAGATTTTATTTATTCATGAGAGACACGGAGAGAGAGAGAGAGAGAGAGAGAGAGAGAGAGAGAGAGAGAGGCAGAGACATAGGCAGAGGGAGAAGCAGACTCCATGCAGGGAGCCCGATGTGGGACTTGTTCCCGGGACTCCAGGATCACACCCTGAGCTGAATGAAGGCAGATGCTCAACCACTGAACTACTCAGGCGTCCCACCAGTCTCTGAAACTTAACACAAAGATTTCATACCTTCTGCCCCTCTGGACTCCAGCTAAACAGTGATTATATACAAATTTTAACCTGAAGAAATAAAAGGATAGGAATAGGAAAATGAATGGGATTTTGACCTCACAATCTGTGAATGTGCAGATTTCTGTGGTTTTTATAAGTAAGAAAATCAGATTTATTTTTGGTGTGAGGTATAGAAACACCAATGTCCTGAAGACAGTGAATGTACTATACAATTCAACAATTCAAAAGGCTAAAGAAGTTTTATAGATGAACTTCTGTCATTTGAGCTAGAGGCCTATTGTTTTGTAATGCATATTGTATTGTCTTTATATTTTTTTAAGTTCCCACAAAACAAGGGTTTCATGTAACACTTATTTTCACAAAAGTTATCTTACCAGTTATTGGATCTTTTCAGGCTGTTGAGGGAAAAGCCAAAAGAACTCTAGTTCTGAGCGTTTGCTAACCCTACACTGCACACTGAATCTTGTTCTTTGGCAGGGATTAGACAACTTTTTTTTATATATTAATCTTATTATTTTGAGATTGTTATAGATTCACATGCAGTTGTAGGAAAAATGCAGACATCCCTTGTGCCCTGTACCCAGTTTCCCACGACAATAAGGCTACAAAACATCACACAGAATATCACAACATGGATACAGAACATTTCCATTACAGAAATCTCATTTTGCCTTTTTATAGTAATAATCACGCTTCCTACCTATATTCCCTCCTTAACTCGTGGTAATCACTAACACTTTCTCTATTTCTTTAATTTTGTCATTTCATGAATGTTATATAAATCATATAGTATAGAACCTTTTGGGTTTTTTTTTAATTATTTTATTTTATTTTATTTATGATAGTCACAGAGAAAGAGAGAGAGAGGCAGAGACATAGGCAGAGGGAGAAGCAGGCTCCATGTACCGGGAGCCCGACGTGGGATTCGATCCCGGGTCTCCAGGATCACGCCCTGGGCCACAGGCAGGCACCAAACCACTGTGCCACCCATGGTTCCCAGTATAGAACCTTTTGGAATTGGCTTTTCTCACTCAGCATAATTCTCTAGAGATTCATCCAGTTTTTATGGAACAGTAGCTCATTCCTTTATTCCTGAGTAGTATTCCATAGTACTGGTATACCAGTTTAACCATTCACCGACTAAAGAATATATGGGTTGTTTCCAGGTTTGACTGTTAAAAAAATAAAGTTTCTGTATACATTCACATACAGGTTTTTGTGTGACTGTCACTTTTCATTTCTCTGAGATAAAGGAATACAATTGCTGGGACATATGGTAGTTGCATGTTTAATTTTCTAAAATACTGCCAAACTATTTGTTGGAGTAGCTATACAATTTTACATTACCACTAGGAATATCTGAGTGATCCAGTTTTCCCACATACTCACCAGCATTTGATGTTGTCGCTATAAATTGGAAGAATTTTATGTTTTACATTTAAATTCCTGATCCATTTTGAGTTAATTTTTATGTAAGTCATATATAAATGAGAAATTTAGTTTGAGGTTAAACTTTTTCCTATGGATGTACTATTAATTGTTCTAGTACCATTTGTTGAAAAGGCCATTCTTCATTTCATTGCTTTTGCCCTTTGACTAAAAATCAGTTGGACATATTTGTGTGACTCTAATTCTGGTTCTCTGTTCTGTTCCATTGATCTACGTGTCTGCTCCTCCACCCATAGCATACAATACTGATTACTGTAAATTTGTAAGAAGTCTTAAAATTAGGTAGACTGATTTCCCCCATTTTATTATTATTTTCTTGAATTTCTTTAGCTATTTTGCTTTCTAATAAAAATTTTAAAATAATCTTGTCTATATTTACAAAAAATCTTCCTGGGATTTTGATAGGAATTGCATTAAGCCTATATATGTTAATTTTGGGAAAATGGGTATCCTTACTATGTTGAATTTCCCAATCCATGAACATAATGTGTCTCCATTTATTTAGGTCTTTGATTTTTTTCATCAGCATTTCGTAGTTTTCAGCATACAAGTCCTGAACATGCTTTGTTAGATTTACCCCTCAGGTTTTTTTGAATGACCATTAATGGTATTGTACTTTTCATTGCGTGTTATCGTACTTTTCATTGCGTGCTCACTGTAAGTATCTAGAGACAGAATTGATTTTTTGTGTGCTTATCTTATATCCTGAGACTGCTGAACTTACTAGTTCTAAGAGTTTCTTTTTAGATCCCTTGGGATTTTCGATGTTCACAATTACGTTACCTGCGAAGAGAATTTTACTTTCTTCCTTTATACTCTGTATGTCTTATTTTGTTTTCTTGCTTTGCTCTTCTGGGTAGAACTTCCAGCGGAATATTAAGACTGGTAAGAGGGATGCCTTGGTGCCTGAGTGGTTGAACATCTGCCTTCCACTCAGGGTGTGATCCCAGGGTCCTGGGATTGATTCCAGCATTGAGTTCTCTGCAGGGAGCCTGCTTATCCTTCTGCCTATGTCTCTGTCTCTCTGTGTGTGTCTCTCATGAATAAATAAATTAAAAATCTTAAAAAAAAAAAAAAAAACTGGTGGGACACCTGGGTGGCTCAGCAGTTAAGCGTCTGCCTTCGGCTCGGGGCATGATCCCGAGGTACCAGGATTGAGTCCCACATTGGGCTCCCTGCATGGAGCCTGCTTCTTCCTTTGCCTGCCTCTCTCTCTCTCTCTCTCTCTCTCTGTTTCTCATGAATAAATAAATAAAATCTTAAAAAAAAAAAAAAAAAGACTAGGCAGCCCAGGTGGCTCAGCAGTTTGGTGCCTGCCTTCAGCCCAGATCCTGGGGGCCCTGGATCAAGTCCCACGTCGTGCTCCCTGCATGGAGCCTGCTTCTCCCTCAGCCTGTGTCTCTGCCTCTCTCTCTCTCTGTGTATGTGTGTCTCATGAATAAATAAATAAAAATCTTTAAAAAAATAAATTTTAAAAAAAGCCTGGTAAGAGCAGATATCTTGCCTTGCCCACAACCTTAGAGGCAAATATTTAGTCTTTCATCATTAACTATGGTTTTTTATAGATGCTCATTATCAAGTTGAAGAAGTTCTCTTTTCCTTTTCAGTTTTTTTTATCATGAATGAGTGTTGAATTTGTCAGATGCTGTTTCTGCATCAATTGATATGATCTCATGATCTTTCTCCAAAGACTGAACGAGCCTTGCATCTCTGGAGAAAACTCCACTTATTCAAGGTGTATATAATTATTTTTATATATTAATTATATTTGCTACTGTCAAGGATTTTTAAAGCTATTTTATGAGGATATTTTTCTTTTGTGTACTGTGGTTTTGATATCTAGATAATGCTAGATTCATGAATAAGTTGTTAGATTTCTATATATGGTATTTGTAGTGCTATTACCTTTTGATGTCTGCAGGGTTTACAGTGATATATCCTATTTCACTACTTATACTGATAATGTGATTTTTTTTTTATTAGTCTTGGTAGAGGTTTGTCTGTTATAATCTTCTCAAAGAACCAGCTCCTTGTTTTATTGATTGTTGTACTTGTTTTCATTTTCATTAACTTCTGCTCTTTATTATTTCCTTCCTTCCAAATGCTTTGGGTTTATTGTGTTCTTTTTCTAGGTGCGTGAAGTGAAAGTTTAGTTTGTGGATTTGAGACCTTTACTTTCTTTGGTCTCTTGTATGAATTTAGTTGTCAGTTTTCCTCTTGGCTCTGATTTAGCTGTGTCCCACAAATTTTGATGCGTTGTATTTTCAGTTTATTTAGTTCAATGATTTTTTATTTTTTTGAGACTTCTTCTTTGCCCCATGGATTATTTAGAAGTAGTTTATTTTCCAAATGTTTGGAGATTTTCCTGTTATCTTTCCATTGCTGATTTCGAGTCAGATTCTGCATGATTTCAATTATTTTAGATTTGCTGAGGCTAGTTTTGTAGCCTAGGATATAAATGGGCATTTGATAAAAATGTGTATTCTGTAGTGGGGAAAAACGTTCTGTAAATGTGGATTGTGTGTTGATGGTGGTGTTTTTCTACATCTTTGCAAATCTTCTGTCTAGCTCTGTTGGTTGTTAAGAGAGGAATATTTAGTACCCAACCGTATTTCTCTTTCTCCTTTCAGTTCTACTCTTGTGTATTTTGCAACTCTCTTGTTTGGTGCACACACATTTAGGATTGTTGTGTTTTCTTTTCTTGGTAGATTAATCCTTAATGTTCCTTTGTGTCTTGTAATTTCCTTTGGTCTGACATCTACTTTGATATTAATATATCCACTAATTTCTTTTGATTGATCTTTTTCTGTCCTTTTATTTATAACCTGCCTGTATCATTATATTTGAAGTAAATTTCTTAGAGACAGGGCAGCCCCGGTGGCACAGCGGTTTAGTGCCGCCTGCAGCCCAGGGCATGATCCTGGAGACCCTGGATCGAGTCCCACGTCGGGCACTCTGCATGGAGCCTGCTTCTCTCTCTGCCTGTGTCTCTGCCTCTCTCTCTCTCTCTGCATCTCTATGAATAAATAAATAAAATCTTTAGAAAAAAAATTTCTTAGAGACAGCATATAGTTGGTAATGTTTTTTAATCCATTCTACCAGTCCCTTTTAATTGATTATTGAGACCATTTATATTTAATGTAATTGTTTATACTAGGGCCTAAATTTGTTCCTTTTTAATTTTCAGAATAGAAAAACAGAATAGTTTTTCTCTTTCTTGCCCTATTATGGATTACATGAATACATTTTAGAATTTCATTTTGATGTATATGTAGCATTATTTTAAGATTTTATTTATTCATGAGAGACAGAGAGAGACAGAGACATGCAGAGGGAGAAGCAGGCTTCATGCAAGGAGTACAATGTGGGACTCGATCCTGGGACTCCGGGATCCTTATATATCCTTTATAGTGATTGCTCTGGGTACTACATGATATTTACATAGCTTATCACAGTCTAATGGTGTTGACACCAGCTTCACTGAAGTATAGAAACTTTACCTCCCCTTATCTTCATCATAATTATTAATATACATTTAAAACCACATTAGAGGGCAGTCCAGGTGGCTCAGTGGTTTAGTGCCACCTTCAGCCCAGGGCATGATCCTGGAGACCTGGGATCAAGTCCCACATGGAGCCTGCTTCTCCCTCTGCCTGTGTCTCTGCCTCTCTCTCTCTCTCTCTCTCCTATGTATTCTTATGAATAAATAAATAAAATCTTAAAAAAAGATAAAACCACATTTGACAGTTTTTTTTTTTAAGATTTTGAGAGTGTACTCACGAAAGAGAGCACAAGCAGTGGGGCGAGGGAGAGGGAGCAACAGACTCCTTGCTAAAAGCAAGGAGTCCAATGCATGGCTGGGTCCCAGGACCCCAGGATCATGACTGAGCTGAGGGTAGACGCTTAACTGACTTGAGTAACCCAGGTGCCCCTAATTAGCTTTATATTATAATTTTCGTTTCAACTGTCAAACAGTTTAGGACGTTCAAGAAGAGAAGGAAAGTGTTATACTTAGTCATATTTGTTATTACTGTATTTTTCCTCCTTCTTGATGTTCCAAGTCTCCTATTATCATTTCCTTTCTGTTTAGAACTTTAATTCTTCTCTTAGGCACAAATTCTAGTTTCTTTCATTTGAGAAAGTCTTGATTTTCCCTTCATTCCTGAAGCATATTCTTGCTAGTTTCAGGTTCTGGGTTGACTAATTGTTTTCCCCTAGGTAAGATGTCACTTTTTCAATTCCTACTTTCAAAAAGTTTTGTCTTTAGTTTTAGATGTTTGGCTGTACTTGATGTAGATTCCTTTGTGTTTATATGCCTTTGGCATTCACTCAGCTTCTCTTGGATCTATAAATTTATCTCTTTTGCCAAATTTGGGAAGTTTTTCGGCCATTATTTCTTCTAGAACTTGTACAGCCCTGCTCTTTTCTCCTCTTCTTCCAGGACTCTGTTGAAACAAATATTAGATCTTTTATTACCTTCATATGGGTTTCTGGCACTCTGTTCATTTTTTTCCATTATATTTTTCTGTTAGATTAGTTAAGTCTATTTTCTATCTTCTAATTTGCTGATTTCGTGCTCGCTTCGGCAGCACATCTACTAATTAGCTGATTTCTTCCTCTGTCCCTCATTCTCCTGTTGATTGTTCTATCAGTTTATTTTGGTTATTTTATTTCTGACTTCTTAAAATTTCCATTTGGTTCTTCTAACATCTTGTTTATTTCAAGCATATTCATAATTGCTTATTGATGTATTTTTTGTAATAACCATTTTTAAATCTTTGATATTTCTGTCATCTCAATGTCAGATATATATTGCCTTCTTTCATTCAGTTTGAGACTTTCTTAGTTCTTGGTATGATGATTTTTTTTTAATGATTATTTTCTTTTTATTGTAACCTGGACATTTTGCGTATTGTGTTGTGAGGCTCTAGATCTTGTTTAAGAAGATCCCTTCTTGTGCTTGCTTCGGCAGCACATATACTAAGAAGATCCCTTCTTTTCTAGGGATGCCGCTGACTCAGCGGTTCAGCATCTGTCTTCAGTTCAGGGCCTGATCCGAGGGTCTGGGGATCGAGTTCTACATCAGGCTTCCCACAAGGAGCCTGCTACTCCCTCTGCCTATGTCTCTGCCTCTCTCTCTGGGTCTCTCATGAATAAATAAAATCTTAAAAACAAAAAACCTAAAAAAAAATAAAAAACAAAAACAAAAAACCTTCTTTTCTAGCTGGCTCCTTTTGCCACTGCTCCATTAGCAAAAAGTAGGGGAGGGGGCCTCCTGCCTCATGACTACTAGATGTAGGCCAGAAGTCCAGGTAACTCACTCTGTCACTTAGGTATGTGGGGGGTGATGTGTTCCTCATTACTGCTGGGAAAGAGTAGGAGTTACGGCTCTCCAGTAGGTCTCCACTAGTATCACCCTGGCTGAGACAGACTGGAGTGCCTTATTACTGCTCCCCACATGGTCTCCACTGACACACTGAGTATGTGAATTTACCATGGGAGTATAATGCAGGCCTTGAATCTCAAAGAGGCCACCTTTTATACCACCTAGATTGGAGGGAAAAGGGTACCTCATTATTGCCAATTGAAGTAGAAGTCCAGGCTCCTCATGTTGTTTCCACTGACACTTGTTGGGGGTGCGGGAAGCCCTCATTAATGCTCAGTAAGGATTTAAAGTCCCTGCTTCCTAATCTCCCTTCTCTAAAGTGTGAGGATAGGAGTGCCTCATTACAGCTTAGTGAGGGTAGAAGTCTAGGCTCCTAACTTGGCTTATGTTGATGTGGCTGGATGGGGAATACAAGCCACAATGTTTTTGTTTGCCTGGAGTACAATAGCTATTGTTTAAAAGTTTTCTATTTTATAGGCTTCCCCTTTCCTGGCCCTTTAGCTAGAGAGGGCCAGCTTTGGGGAGATGGGGAGTTTTGACTGTGCCCATTGGCATTTGCAGATTGCTGGCTTCTTCAGCTCCGACTCTGTGATATAGGAGACAAAAAAGAGGGAGAAAGAACTCCCCACTGTTTTGTTTCTTACGTCTCAAGGGCCCTGGCCAATATATTTTCTTCTCTCCATCTTTAAGAGTCTTATGTTGGTTTTATATGTCAGATCCAGGGTTTTTAGTTGTACTTAGTTTGAGGAACAAGGAAAAACACATCTCTTGCACCATCTTTCCAGAAGCACAAGTCCTAAACTGCATTGTATGATATAGAATATTCTGTCTCTGGTGCCTGAGTGGCTCAGTGGTTGAGCATCTGCCTTTGGCTCAGATAATAATCCCAGGGTCCTGGGCTTGATCCCACATCGGGCTCACCACAGAGAGCCTGCTTCTCCCTCTGCCTATGTCTCTGCCTCTCTGTGTGCCTCTCATGAATAAGTAAATAAAATCTTTAAAAAAAAAATATCTTCTGTCTCTGACTGGTTAGTGGTGTTTTAGAACAGCACAGCAATACCTGAAAAATTGTGACTTTCAGTTAACTGTTGGTATTTTTCAGGTAGTTTATGTGGTAAAAACCTCTGCAGTTGACCCTTGAACAACAACAGGTTTGAACTACACAGGTCGACTTAAATGCAGATTTATTTTAGTACTGTCTTTTCCTTATAATCTTTTTCTTTTTTTTTTTTTTTAAGAGAGAGAAAGAATGCATGAGTTGGAGGCAGGGAGGTGCAGAGGGAAAGAGAATTTTTTTTTTTGTTTTTGTTTTTTGTTTTTTAAGAGTGATAGAGACTCGTAAGCACTCCCTACTGAGCATAGAGCTTGACGGGCTTGATCCCATAGTCCATGAGATCATGACCTGAGCTGAAATTACAAGTCTGACACTTAACTGACTGAGCCACCCAGGTGCCCCAAGTGGATGGTGTTTATTAATAATTATTAAAAATGTTGTATTTATGTAGAGATAATAAAGGGATCATTATTACTACAAGTCAAAGTTATATTAGCAACCAGCGGTACTTGCAGGAAGACACCAGAGATCTCTTCGTTTTCCCTTAAAACTCTATTAGGAATGAGGCTTTAACAAGTAAACCTTGCAACATAATAGAGCAAGCTGTCTTAAAACTAGAGATTTAGATAGAGCGGGCCTTTGGGGGGCCCATAACCAGCAGTAAAAAATCTAATTCTGTAAACTGTAGGTTTTTCATTAGAAGATTGTTGGGGGAGGGGATTTAATTAAAGACTCCATTAGAAATTTATAAAACAAGAGTAACAATTTCAAGTAAACTTTGTTCAGTTCTGTTCATAAACTGTTCTTGTTTTAATTATCTAACTCTTCAGCTAGCCTAAAAATATTTGTTCACAGACTGACAAACTTTTTCTTAATTTTTAAATCAGGTGACTAATAAACATACCAAAAGAATATGGCTGCACAAATGCCAGAATCTGATCAGATAAAACAGGTAAGGTAATACAATTAACAAAAAAGAATTTTGCAAAAAATTTAAGGCACAACTTGGTGCAACCATGTCAGTCAGTGATCTCACAAAATAACTTCATATTTCATTGACAAAAATGGATTCTAAATGATGTGAAACATACTTATTTTCCAGATAATTTGACAGATATCCAGGAATGAATAAATATTCAACTAGAAAACTGGACTGTATTTTGTAGATCATACCATATGGGTCATATTATGCCCATTAAATTCTGACTTAAGTATTACAGGGTATTTTCCCCAAATACAGATAATCAGTAATTAAGTTTCAAAACTTTTTTTTTTAAACCAAACATTAAAGAATGTTCTGATTTTTCATAGTTCAAGGAATTTCTTGGAACCTACAATAAACTTACCGAAACGTGCTTTTTGGATTGCGTTAAAGACTTCACAACAAGAGAAGTCAAACCTGAAGAGGTACGAAAAGTTCTGCCCACTAAAAATTCTCTAAGCTTGTCACAAACAATAGAAGTAGGATGCCTCTAACCGTTTTTGCTTGTTCCTAGTTATTTCAGAAATTTGGGCTACCTAATACATCACATTGCTCAGAGGAACTAAAGCATGGGTCCTGACCCATGGGCATTGAATTTAATGATCCCAAATATAATGTGACACTCATACTGTAGCATGGCAGTTTTCTTTCTTTCTTACTCTCTTTCTTTCTTTTAGTTAAGATACCTAAGGTTTGCTGAATTATTGTTCCATAGCAAAACTTCTTACTAATTAGCTTTCAGTCAAGATGGCCTGGCTTGAGAAACTTGATAATGGCTTTTCTATCTGACCCTGAGAACTCAGGTTAATTCTGGAAAAAGCAGAGCTTGAATATGGTGGCTGATATTGCATAGGTGGACTCTGAAAACTCAATCCTATGCAAAATTTTAACTTTTAATATCCTTATCAAAACATTTATATGTTGGCCAAAACTTTGGCCAAGTTTGTTGACACAAATTTCCTCCAGTGTAAGATATTGACCAATATCCATGCCAAGAACATATAACCAGTAATCAGCAAGTCCTTGTTAAATAATGACAAAGCTTGAAAAATGCCAAGCATAACATTCTTTTTGTTAAAAAGAGATGTTGAAATTTAATAATGTTAGGAATGGAGTTTCTAAAAAGGAACAAACTTACTACTGGGCCTACGTTTTAACAGTCAGAATGAGAGATGAAAAAGGCAGGGACATATCATTGTTTTTGTTTTAGTGCTACAAACTGATAGGCATTCAGTATATGTTAATTTTTGTAACTGGATAAAACTATTAGCAATTGAAAGCTGTGGTCACTCACTAGTCGTTTTAGTTCTCATATATTCAAAGAAAAAAGCACCCACGGCTGTTCATTTAGAATATGTGTACTTTTTAAAAACTAATAATTCTATCTTTTCTATTGGATCTTTTCTTATTTCTAGACCACCTGTTCAGAACATTGCTTACAGAAATATTTAAAAATGACACAAAGAATATCCATGAGATTTCAGGAATATCATATTCAGCAGAATGAAGCCCTGGCAGCCAAAGCAGGACTTCTTGGCCAGCCACGATAGAGAAGTCCTGGTGGATGGACTTTTGATGAAAGATTGCCAGCAGCTGTTGTGATAGAAATGATTCATCTGCTAGAATCCCCTGAAAGCAGTAGCCACCAGTTAAACTGTCTGTCATGACTGTGGCAAATGGAAACAACTGGAGAAACAAAATTGCTATTTACAGAGAATAATCAAAATAGAAGGTCTTACTGTTCAATGAAAATAATAAGATGCAACATTTGTTGAGGCCTTAAGATTCAGCAGCTTGGTAACTTCATTAGAAAAATAAACCATTGTTTCTTCAATTGTGACTGTTAATTTTAAAGCAAACTATGTGTTCAATCATGTATGAGATCGAAAAAAATTTTTTATTACTGAAAGTAAAATAAATGGAAATATCACTGAGCAGTTGTTTATACTATATATAGTACCATAGTATTCTGACTGGACTGTGGATACGTTGAAATGTTTTTCAATCACGATCATCCTCCAAGTATTCCTGTTCATTCATGTCTGCCTCAAATTGCTGGTAAATACATAAAATAGTTACTTGCTAATCATTTCAACCCACTATCCTTTCTTGCCTCCCTTCTTGTGTTAGGGTGGATATTATACATTCATATTCTAGCCATATTTTGAGATGTCTATAGTAAACATCCCACCTGAGACTACCTTGGGAGTGTGTAAGAATTGACTGTTACGCTCTAGTAGAGACTGTGTTTTGTGTTTTGTTCAAAAGCTGAGTCCAACATGAATGATACTGAATCATTCCAACATTATACAGTGTATTCTCAGCCATGACATGTGATCAGTGCAATAAAAAGTGAACCGAAGTTAAAGGAGTGTTTTATGGCTAAATGAATCCTAAAACAAATACAAGCATCTGCAGGAAATTCTAGTTGATGCATAAATATACCAAACAATTTGGCTGTTAAATAGACTAATACCTACTACTAAATTGGCTTATGAGTGGATTTCATTTGGTACCAATCTAAACTTGCACTTAAGAGAACACTAATTATAATTCTTCTATACATTTCTTTTTATATATATATAATTTTTTTTAAGATTTTATTTATTTATTCATGAGAGACACACGGAGAGGGAGGCAGAGACACAGGCAAAGGGAGAAGCAGGCTCCATGCAGGGAGCCTGATGTGGGACTCGATCCTGGGCTGAAGGTGGCACTAAACCTCTGAGCCACCCGGGCTGCCCATCTCCTATACATTTCTTTTCTTTTTTTTTTTTTTTTATGATAGTCACAGAGAGAGAGAGGGAGGCAGAGACACAGGCAGAGGGAGAAGCAGGCTCCATGCACCGGGAGCCCGACGTGGGATTCGATCCCGGGTCTCCAGGATCGCGCCCTGGGCCAAAGGCAGGCGCCAAACCGCTGCACCACCCAGGGATCCCCTACATTTCTAATACCAAAGTGATTTCTATGTATTGTCACATTTGAAGCCAAAAGTATTATTCTACTTTGATAATTTATGGCTTTCTGTATTCTAATTTTTTAAGCTATTGCATCATTTAACTAACAATACCATTTAACTTACAGGCCTTTGTTGACATTGCAGTCAGTAATGGTTAGGTCTTTGAAAGTACAAAGACAAAATATTAACAGTGCTACTTTTAAAGTTGAAATGTTGGAACAGGGGATCCCTGTGTGGCTTAGCGGTTTGGCGTCTGCCTTTGGCCCAGGGTGCGATCCTGGAGTCCCGGGATCGAGTCCCACATCAGGCTCCGGGCATGGAGCCTGCTTCTCCCTCCTCCTGTGTCTCTGCCTCTCTCTCTCTCTCTCTATGTCTATCATAAATAAATAAATCTTAAAAAAAAAAAGAATTATGGAACATCTATAAGATTCAACAAAATATACAATTCACTGTAGTAAAAGGAACATGAAAAAAATAGGCTTGTTTCATCATAAGGCAAGAAAAGCAACCAAAAATTCAGAAATTGTACTCATTTAAAGTTCCCATCCACACAGACTTTCCTGTTTTTATGTAATCAGGCCTAACATGTTATTTACTGTGTTCATATAGCAAAGATAATTAAGTATGTGCTCACCTGGCAAATAAGGGGAATTTTGCGCAACAGCATCTCAAATACCTGAGGAGGGAGTGTGTGTTTGAAAACCTTCAGAAGTTCCTGTGGTTGTCTACACACTAAAAGGGCATTGCTGAGATGTTGAACTCCCAATCGGTGTTCTCCTGAAACAGATTGATAAGGTTTAAAGCAAAATTTTAACGTTCTTCAAAATAGTCTACAAACTACCAAGAAAGCAACAACTATTAAAATGAACAAAGGGATGCCTGGGTGGCTCAGTGGTTGAGTGTCTGCCTTTAGCTCAGGGGTGATCTTGGAGTCCCTGGATTGAATCCCACATGGGGCTCCCTGCAGGGAACCTGCTTTTCCCTCTGCCTGTGTCTCTGCCTCTCTGTGTCTCTCATGAATAAATAATCTTGAAAAAAAAATGAAAAAAAGAAAGCATATCAAACTATGGACTACTTAAACAAGTCTTAAAAACAGTAAAGACAAAATGGGGAAAATGTTGAGCTGCCCATTAGACTCACTGTGATCAAAAATACACTCTTGCTTTAGAAATGCTCACATTCCGCAATGTGGATTTGCAACGGGGATACTGAATATTTTTTAAAGATTGTCTTCTGCTGTTACTGAAAGGGGATAGGTTATCCTTAACTCTACATGTGTGATTGATGAAATATAAAGGAAACACCTATGTTCTGGCTAAATGAGACTTTTAGGGTTTTGTTTTTATTTTTATTTTTTTTAAGATTTTATTTATTTATAAGAGACACAGGCAGAGGGAGAAGCAGGCTCCATGCAGGGAGCCCGATGTGGAACTCGATCCTGGGTCTCCAGGATCACGCCCTGCCCTGAAGGCGGCGCTAAACAGCTGAGCCACCGGGGCTGCCCTAGGGTTTTGTTTTTAAAGATTTTGTTTATTCATGAGAGACAGAGGCACAGACATAGGTAGAGGAAGAAGCAGGCTCACTGCCATGAGCCTGATGCAGGACTCGATCCAAGGATCCCTAGATCATGAAAGGTAAACACTCAACCACTGAGCCACCCAGGTGCCTGGAATGAAACTTTAAAAAAATAGATTGTATTATCAAAGAGTTTAAAACAGTTTAAAACATATTATGCTAAAGCATAATATGATTACATTGCTAGGGAAAGAAAAGAGATTTATGAACTTTGATTTCTAAGTTTTAAAATGTTTTAGGGTGATTGGCTATAAAGTAAGAATGAAAATTTATGTAGTATGGAAATTAGTCACAGAATTTCTGTTTAAGTTAAAACATGGAATTACTTAGTCTCACTATTTCATTCCAGAAAACTGAGGCAAAGATCAGTAAAATGACTTAAAGTTTCAAAATTAGTGCCAAATTAGTAACTGCATCTAATTTTCTGAACCTTGAGACCACAATATGCTGTCTCTCTTAAGGTGTTACATAATTTCCCACATATATAGAAAAGTGCATGACGGACAAAATAATGCTTCCTGGATTCGTATTATATTTAAACTGAAAAGCCATCAGAAGGACATGACCTAACTTAAGACACACAAAGCAAAACTTGCCTATATTACATAAGTTTTAAGAATTAAAGTCTTGTGTCTAGACATCTAATTTTACATTTTCAACTTAAATTATCTTTTTTTTTAAAGATTTTATTTATTTATTCATGAGAGACACACAGAGAGGCAGAGACACAGGCAGAGGGAAAAGCAGGCTCTATGCAGGGAATCTGACATGGGACTCGATCCCAGGTCTCCAGGATCAGGCCCTGAGCAGAAGGCGGCGCTAAACCGCTGAGCCACTCGGGCTGCCCCTCAACTTAAATTATCATTGCCAGGTATCTAGTAAATTTTCATAGACATATAAAGAAGGTATTTCTTAGATGAAATACTGTACTAGAATTTCACTAAAAGGTCTAGTTTATTTTATTAAGACTTATTTGTTTTAGAGAGAGGGAGCAAAGGTTGGGGAGTAGGGGCAGAGGGAGAGAGAGACTCAAGCAGACTCCTCCCTGAGTGAGGAGCCCAATATGGGGCTCTGTCTCTCCACCCTGAGATCATGACCTAAGCTGAAACTAAGATTCAGATACTCAAACAACTGAGCCACCCAGGTACCCTAAAAGGTTTATTTTAAATTAATAAAAGTACAGCTTTATGGAGATGACACATTAGGTCAAAATACTTTGATCATATTAAACCTTTTAAAGAAAAAAAAAGGTAAAATAGTGCCTCCTCTCAAGTTGACACAGCTGATGTGACAAAAACAATTACCAGTTTGATCAAGTAAGCCAACCAACCAAAAGATTGAATCAATTCAGCTAATCAGAAATTCAATCAAAATTATTGGCTTTATCGTCTTATATAGACAACCACAATTGAGATGGCTCTAGGAATATCCTCCTTGACAGCAAGGTAATGAAAATGGGGGATAGTGACAGGGGGTGGAGAAAACTGAAAGGATTACGGAAAACTCGGTGAGAAATTATGGCATTAGAACTTTGGTTCTCAGTGTATTGTAATAACCTAGAGAGTTTGAAAAAAAATACTGACACCTGGGTCCCACCCCAGAGATTCTGATTTCATTGGTCTGGAGTTTGGTGTGGATTTCAATAAGCAAGCAAGATGAGAACTCCATTAGAAGTAAAATATGGACATAAAACCCTTAAAGAACTAACTAATCAATTTAAGATTTCACAGAAATAATGTTATCACCCTTAAGAGGGAAAATTTTAAAAACCATATTTCCAATTTTTAATCTCAGTATTTGTAACATCTTCACCTCTAAGTTAAACTCAACTATTACAAGAAAGCTTTTAAACATTAAGAATATGTCATAATTTTTTTATTTATAATTCCCACCTTTCTCTCCATATTTATATCATCCCAATTCAAAAAATGTTAAAGCAGAAAGGGTTTATCTATTTTACTTGCCCCTGTATCCCAGGAGTATCCACATTTAGGAATTAATCTAGATTCTGTGAGGACCCTAGTTTGTTGTTGTTTTTAATTTTATTTATTTAGAGTGTGCATGCAAACAAAAGCAGGGGGTGGGGCAGAGGGAGGAGGAGGTAAGAAGGAGGAGAGAGAATCTGAAGCAGACTCCATACTGAGCGCAGAGCCCTACTGTGGGTAGAGCTCTGGATGCTGAGATCATGATCTGAGTAGAAACCAAGGGTCAAATGCTCAACTGACTGAGCTACCCAGGCGCCCTGTGAGTCCCCTAGTTTACATAATTTGAGGGAGGGGACCCTTTTTGTTTTTAAGATTTTATTTTTTTTAAGTAACCTCTACCCCCAACATGGGCTCAAACTTACAACCCAGAGATCAGGAGTCACATGCTCTACTGACCAAGCCAGCCAGGCACCTGGAGAGCCCTTTTAAGAAAGACAATATAAAATTATGAATAAAAAATTAGGACTCTTCCCAGAACCCATTCTGCTCAGTGGTTAAGCATCTGCCTTCAGCTCAGGATGTGATTCTGGAGTGTGGGGACTGAGTCCTGCATCAGGCTCCCTAAAGGGCGCCTGCTTCTCCCTCTGCCTATGTCTTTGCCTCTCTCTGGGTCTCTCATAAATAAATGAAATATTTTAAAAAGCGGGGGGAATCCCTGGGTGGCTCAGCGGTTTGGCGCCTGCCTTTGGCCCAGGGCGCAATCCTGGAGTCCCGGGATCAAGTCCATGTCGGGCTCCCTGCATGGAGCCTGCTTCTCCCTCTGCCTGTGTCTCTGCCTCTCTCTCTCTATGTCTATCATGAATAAATAAATAAACAAATAAATCTTTAAAAAAAAAAAAGCCTGTGTAAATGAAGGTCCTTAAAGCTTATGCTTTACTACCTTGGTTAAAATCACTTCTGTTTATATCATTTAAGTCAGTTCTTACCATTTATTTTGCCATTAATATTTAAGATATTTTTAGTCCATTTTAAAACTTTCTAAAAGATTAATATTGAATAAAATACTAAAACTTCAAATTACAATGATTAATGTGCTATGACTGAATATCTTTTTCATTTCTCAAAACCTTTATCATGTGTTTTAAGCCACTGAATTAACATAAAAATCTTGGATATTGAGTCATCCAGGATCCTGACTTTGTTTTCATAAATTCTGGAGCATGCTACCTCTTAATACAGGGTGAAAAAAGAAAATCTTTTCAAAAAAGACAAAAGAGCAAAGCAGCTACAGGCACTGTGAAGAGAGGAAATTTACAACACTTGAAAAAAAAAAAGGATACATAAATGGGTATAAGCAACATCATTCATCCCTTACATAAGATTATAGCCTGGAGAAAAAAAAAAAAAAAAGATTATAGCCTGAAAACAATTCTTTTCCTTTCCAGGGCTTAACACCAGAACAAAGACACAATTACTACATACAGCATTTACAAATACTTAAATTACCTACCATCATTTTATGTAATGATGTTGTGATGCATTGTGGATAAAGGGGTGGGGATAAATTATAATTCAATATATAGTTCATGGTGAGTCCAAGGTAGCCCCTACATACATCACTACATTAGACGCAATACAAGAATGGGCATTTATAATTTCACCATCAAAAATAAGTAATTGTTGTGTTAAGAATACTTATAAGAATGCAGGAAAAGCTTTATGAAACAGTTCAAATTTTTTAGGTTTTAATTCATAAAACATTTAGTCATTTGGAGCATTCATTTACTTAGAATTTTACCTGACAATAAACGAAGAGTTACTATATTTGGTTTTTTTTTGCTTCTCCATCTGCCCATTTCCAATGTATAATAAGCCCGAATGCTATGTATAATATGATGGAAATAGGGGTGCCTGGGTGGCTCAGTTGGTTAAGTGTCTGCCTTCAGCTCAGGTCATGATCCCAGAGTCCTGGGATCAAGCTGCATGTTGGACTGTTCCCCTGCTTATTCTTTCTCAAATAAGATCTTTAAAATAAAATAAAAAATATACATGGTGGAGATGAACAGTGTGATCAAGTGAAAATCACTTTAAAGCTAGTTGGTTAACACATCTAGCTAGTTTTTCTTTTCCTTTGAGAGAAGAAGATAGTGGAGGTCAGTAGGGGGAGAGGGAGAGAGAATCTTAAGCAGGCTCCACACTCAGCTCAGAGGCCTGACAGGGAGCTTGATCTCAGAACCCTGAAATCATGACCTGAGTTGAAATCAAGAGTCAGGAGGTTTAACTGACTGGGCCACCCACGTGCCCCAAGTTTTTTGACATATAACCACCAAATATATTTTGAACATATATTATCAAAAGTAACTGGTTACAAAAAAATGTTTACATTTTTACCTCTGGATAACCAAAGTTCTCCCATTTGTACCTCTTGCAGAAAAAGTTCTTGCAATTTTTCATTCTTTGCTGGATCCCACAACTAAAAGATTCATAAAATATTAACAATGATTAATGAATGTAAGGTATAGGCTTAGTGATCAAAATTATCTAATTTTTACTTAAAAGGCATGTCTTGAACCTCATCTAAATCCAAAGTCTGATAACCACAGTTGTTCTTTATAATATTTAAAGTAATTTAAGATGGAATTACATTTTCAGGTAATTAAAAATCCATGGCAGGGATCCCTGGGTGGCTCAGTGGTTTGGTGCCTGCCTTTGGTCCAGGGAGTGATCCTGGAGACCCGGGATCGAGTCCCACGTCCTGCTCCTTGCATGTAGCCTGCTTCTCCTTCTGCCTGTGTCTCTGCCCCTCTCTCTCTCCCTCTCTCTCTCTCTCTCTCTCTCTCTCTGTGTGTGTGTGTTTCTCTCATGAATTAATAAATAAAATCTTAAAAAAAAATCCATGGCATATTGAAATTAGGTTGAGATACTTGTAGTAACTCTCATTTACATTTTAACCAGCTTCCTAAATACACATAGCAGAAATCCTACTGTAATTAACTGCAACAAACGTGACTTTGTAGGTTGCAAAATTGTTTTTCTTGCCTAAGGGTATTAAGGCTGTTTGTTGATTTGGCAAAGGGCATGCATGGCCAGGAGTTGGCAGGACAGTTGGTGGTGTTCTGAAGTACCCTACAGCTTGCTTCAGCCTGGTTGGGGAAGGTGACCAGGGTCACAGGATAGCATCATTATTGGTACCATGAGCAGGCTGGTCTTGAAAGGTACGTAGAGTGGACAATCCTTGACCCAAAATGTCAACTCCCCTGTCAGTCACTTCAGCTCAGTCTGTTATAGCCGGAGCGTTTCTGTGTTTTCTGTTTGCTGTCCACAAGAATTCTCTTTTTAAAACGGGATGAGTTGGGAAGCCTGGGTGGCTCAGTGGTTGAGCTGCTGCCTTCGGCCCAGGTCGTGATCCCGGGGTCCCGGGAGCCCTGCATGGAGCCTGCTTCTCTCCCTGCCTAGGTCTCTGCCTCTCTCTGTGTGTCTTTCATAAATAAATATTATTATTATTATTATTATTATTATCTATGAAAGACACAGAGACCTCGGCAGAGGGAGAAGCAGGCTCCCTGCGGGGAGCCCGGTGTGGGTGGGATTCGATCCCAGGACTCTGGGATCACGACCTGAGCCGAAGGCAGACGCTCAACCACTGAGCCACCCAGGCGTCCCAATAAATAAATACCTCTTAAAAATAAAAATAGTAAAATGGAATATGTCTTTTTATAAGCCCCAAGTGGTTGTTCCTTCCGTCCTTTCCGCTGCAAGCTAAGCGCACAGTGAAAGCCGCCGCTGGGGGCGGTGGGAAACGCCTGCGGCCCAGCTCGGAACCCCGACGCCCGGCCAGGCCCGCGCCGCCCGGGCCGCGGGGACTCGGTTACTCACTATCACGCCACCTCGGCGCCCCCAAGCACCGCACCTGGGCGCCCCGTGCCTCCGCCGGCCGCCGCTGGGCTCCTCTCTCTGCAAACACCAGGCGGCACGTGCTGCCCCGGGGCCCTCCGACGCCCGCGGGGCCGCCCGCCGCCCTCCCGGCCGCGCAGCCGCACTCACTGTCCCGCAGGCGGCGCCTGAACGCGGGGTCGCCGCGCCGCTTCCGGTCCCAGTGAACACAGTAGGCGAGGAAAGCGACGGCGCCGCAGGCCGCCAGGGCCGCCAGGGCCGCCAGGAGGCCGAGGACGGCGCGGACGCGGGGCATCCGGCCGCGGGCGCCCGACGGCCGAGCGTTGGGCGCGGGCGGGCGAGCGCGGGGAGCCGGCCGGCCGGCAGGGGGCGTCGGCGCGGCGCCCGGAGCAGCGCGCGGGCGCCTGGTCCCGCGGCGGGCGGCGCGAGGAGGAGGCCGAGGGTCGGAGACGGCGTGCGAGCTCGCGGCCAGGTCTGTCGCACTCCAAATCCTGAGCCCCCGACCCAGACGCGCTCTTGTCCCTGTGCCCACGACCCCCACCGAGGCACATCACAGCGTGGCCGAATGCGGTTAAGCGGCAGCCGAATCCTCCCCAAGCCCCTGGCCCCTCTCCTGCAAACTGAAGTTGACTCCTGACTTCGTCTGCTCCTAGCTCGCAGCCCCGCGCCCGGAGCATCGCTAGCCCGTGCTCCCCGACCCGGTCAGCCTGGTCCCCTGAAAAGAACACAGGCTCCCAAAGTCCCCAACCACCTTAGCTCAATAGCAGGAGGAAAGAGGAGTTTGAAAGCAAAATCATATTAGCCCGGGATGGGGTGGGGGTGGGGGCGGGGGTGACAGTGGATCTGCAGGCCTGAGCCTCGCAGCAGCCAAAAGTCCCAAAGCAAAATCAACTGAGACGCACGATGCTTAACTAGTCTAGGTGCGTTTCTTTCTAGTATTTGCTTTATTCAGACAGCAGGAACAATGGAAGTAAGACTGACCCCAAATACAGAGTTTGGATTTTTCTACTAAGTCACAGAGAAGGCCTAACTAAGCTAGGTAAGGACCTAAAGGAACTAAATATTTTTGTTGTTGTTGTTGTTGTTAGGCTATTCAACTGGTCTTTATGATTTACGGATATTACTAGTGTGTGCCAGCCAGGTGCTCATTACTGCTTGTTTCTGTCAGGGCCCAGAAGCAGCCCAGGTCCTCACAATTTGAGAGTTAACAGGTGTAAGTTACATATAATGGTTTTCTTGAGTACTCTTGTGTTCCTTCCACAGTCTTCTGTTTGGGAGCTTGGTCTAGTGTCAAAACCCAATTGTAATCATGAACACAAGAGAGGAGGGCATCAGCCTCCAGGGTTACTGGTGATCTGGGAGTGGTTTTTGATTTGGATCTTCGTAAGGGGTTTAGCCCAGTTCCAAGTGATCTTTTTCTAGGCTGGCTGCTCTTACCTTCTGATAAAACCACTCTGCCACTCCCCCGTCCCTTCCTATCCTTCACTTCCACTGAGCTCATAATTAATCCCTGAGGTACATGGAAAAGATTGGGGCCAGGATAACTGTGGAAATTGCCGGGTGTTTAAGGACACAGTAAACAGCGACATATAAAGGTAAGAGAATCATTATAGCAATTAGAAAATAAACAGAAATTGTCACAGAGACCATGCGGGAAAATAATTGAAACATTCTCAAGCAAATTTCTATGGTAAAGGTAGGTTTTTCTTCTCAAATGTATAGACATCATTCTTGCTAATTGGAGGATCCGAATTTCTACAATGCTATGGTCATTTTCCAAATTGAGACAGTATTAATAATTGTCCAGAAACCATGGTTCTATGCTGGATGATAGCTCCTTCTTCCAAACAGTTTTATTGAAGTATAATTGGCATATAATAAGCTGCATAAATTTAAACTATACCATTTGATACACTTTGACATATGTATACATCCATAAAACCATCACCAAAATCAAGATAGTAATGATATCCATCATCCCAAAAGTTTCCTTCAGTCATATGGTAGGAGTATGTTTAATTTTTTAAAAAACTCCCATTTTTCCAAAATGGTTATATCATTTTGCATTCCCACCAACAGTATATGAGACTTCCAATTACTGCATATAGTCACCACCCACATTTGGTTGGTCAGCCTTGTTAATTTTAGCATTCTAATAACCATGCTAGTAGATTCTCGCTGTAGTTTTATCTTGCCTTTCCCTAATGCCTAATGATATCCAACACATTGTTTATAAATAGACTTTATTTTTTTAGAGAAGTTTTAGATTTACAGCAAAATTGAGTGTAAAATACAGAAACCTCCCATATAATCCCTGATTCAACACAAGCACAACCTCCCCAAGTACCAACTTCCCACACCAGAGTGCCACGTTTGTTATAATTGACGAACCTACATTCACACATCATTATCACCCAAGATTTGTAGTTTATACTATAGTATGGCTTGATACACAAATGCGTATTTTGACAAATGTATAATAACATGTATCCATCATTATAATAACACCCAGAATACTTTCACTGCCTTAAAACCCCTTTGTGCTCTACCCATCCATCCTTCCCCTCCCCAACCACAGCAACCACTGATCTTTTCTCTGTCTCTATAGTTTCACCTTTTCCAGAATGTCATATACATGGAATTATATACAATCTGCAGCCCATGAGAGATTGACTTCTGTCACTTAGCAATATGCATTTAAAATCCCTTCATGTCTTTTAATGGCTTGATAGCCAATTTCTGTTAGTGCTAAACAATTTCCCAAGTCTGGATAGACCAAGTTTATACATTCACCTGCTGAAGGGCATCTTGGTTGCTTATAAGTTTGGACAATTATGAATAAAGCTGTTATCAACACCTGTGTGCAGATTTTTGTGAGGACGTAAGTTTTCAACTCATTTCAATATATACACTAAGGAATGTGATTGCCAGATTATACGGTAAGAGCATGAGTTATTTTGTAAGAAACTAAAGGCAGCCAAACTGTCTTCTAAAGTGGCTGTACCATTTTTGCATTCCTACCAGCAACAAATGGGAGTTCCTGTTGTTTCACATTCTTGCCAACATTTGATGTCAGTATTTTGAATTTTTGTATTCTCATAATGCAGAGATATCTAATTGTTGTTTTAATTTGCATTTCCCTGATGATACATGATGTGGAGCATGTTTTCACGTGCTTATCAGCCATTTGTATGTCTTTTGGTGTTAAGTGTTAAGGTCTTTGGCCCATTTTTAAATCTGTTTTTTTATTGTTGAATTTTTAAGTTTTTTGTTTATCTTTAGATAACCGTCTGCTTTGATAATGAATGTTTGTGTACTCCCCAAATTCATATTGTGGAATCCTAATCTCTAATGATTGTATTGGGAGTGGGGGTTTGGTGAGGTGATTAAATCATGAAAGTGGAACCGTCACAATTAAGATCAGCGCTCTAACGAAAGTGGCCTCACAGAGCTCCTGAGCCTCCTTCCTCCACCCCAAAGTTCCACCCAACCATGCTGGCACCTTTCTTGGACTTCCCAGGCTCCAGAACCATGAGAAATAAATGTTTATGAGTCACTGAATTTATGGTATTTTAGCAACCTAAATGCTAAAATAGTCCTTTATCAGGTACGTCTTTTATAAATATTTTCTAGTTTGTGGCTTGTTTCCTCATTCTCTTGACCACTGTTTACACCATAGATGTATGTTCAAATCTTTAGTCTATTTCTTTTAATTGCATTTTTTTTTATTGTTGACTTTGAGAGTTCTTTATATATACTCTGGATATAAGTCCTTTATCTGAGATAATGGTTTGCAAATATTTTCTCCCAGTCTTTATCTTTCAATAATGTATTTTAAAGAGCCAAAGTTTTTCATTTTGATGAAGCACAATATATCAATTTGCTCCTTTATGGATTGTGCTTTTGATATTGCATATAAGAAATCTTTGCCTAACTCAATTAGGCATAAGATCTCCTCCTACTTCCTTTTAGAAGTTTATAGTGTCAGGTTTTGTGTCATTTTTAATTTTTGTATGTGGTGTAAAGTATGGGTCCAAGTTCTTTTTTGTTATTTTGCATACGGTTGTCCAGTTTGGACATTATCATTTCTTTAGAAGGCTATCCTTTTTTCATTATATTGTCTTTGTGCCTTTATCAAAAACCTATTGTCCACATATGTGGGGGCTTATTTCTGATCTGCTGTGTTTTATTGCTCTATTTGAACAAAATGTTGTTTTTATTGGTGTTAGCTTCATAATAATTCTTGAAATCGGGTAGCGTTAGGCCTCCAACTTAGTTTTTTTTTTTAAGATTTTATTTATTCATTCATGAGAGACACACAGAGAGAGGCAGAGACACAGGCAGAGGAAGAAGCAGGCTCCATGCAGGGAGCCCAACGTGGGACTCAGTCCCGAGTCTCCAGATCAGGCAGGCCCTGGGCCAAAGGCAGGCGCCAAACTGCTGAGCCACCTGAGCTGCCCAATGTCTTTGTTTTGGTTTCAGAGTCATACTGGCCTCATTGCATGAGTTGGCAGATTCCTTCCTTTTCAATAACTTTAAGTAGAATTACTTAAATTAGTATTTAATTTAGTATAAATTAAATTATAAATTAGTTAAGTATAATTTAGTATAAATATAAATTATAAATTAGTATAAAATTAAGTATTTCTTCTGTAGACATTTAGTAGTATTGTCCTTCCTTAAACTTAAAAGTGAAGGTAGTTGGACCTGGAGTTTTCTTTGTTGAAGTTTTATAACTTTAATTCCATTCCTTTAATAGATACAGGGTTATTCAGCTTATCTATTTTTATTTTAGTGAGCTTTGTTAATGTGTCTTTAGTGCATTTTCCCACTTCATCTAAGTTGTTGAATTCATTGGCTTAAAGATGTTTGTGATATTTCCTTTTTATCCCTTTAATAGGTACGGATACAATCTTCTAGTGATGTCACTTCTCTCATTCCTGATACTGGTAATTTGTGTCTTCTCTGTTTCTTAATCAGTTTGGCTAGAGGCTTGTCAATTTTACGGATCTCAAAGAACTAGATCTTTATTTTTGGAGACTCTTACTGTCAAATTGAGTCTGTTGTGCTAAAATCCTACTCTACTAGGGCAGTACATATACTGAAAGGACTTGAATGAAAAAAAGAACCACTGATTTCTGGATGTAAAGTCATTTTAATATTACAACTTTCTTTTAGATACCAGCCATTTCCTTATCCCTTACTTATGTCAGTACTTTAGTACTGATAAGATATAACTGAGCAGAATCTCCAGAGGCCAGATTAAATGCTTGAGGATATGACCCAAGTGAAGGC